AGCAGCTTGACGGGTCGAAAAACAACAACAAATTACATTTATAGTGCGCCTTTCACGTCAGGAGGATGTCCCAAGGCGCTGAACAGTCAGGGGTCAGGACCTGAGCATGGGGGAGGGGTGGGGTAGGGGTGAGGGAAGGCAGAGAGGTGGGAGGGAGACCAAAGGCACGATTGAAGAGGAGGGTCTTGAGACCAGCCTTGAAGGAGGCAAGGGAGGACGCGAGGCGAAGGGACTGTGGGATGGAGTTCCAGAGTGTGGGGGCAGAGAGGCTGAAAGCCCGGCCACCGATGGTAGGGCGGGTCGGGTGGGAGACATGGAACAGACAGCCCGCTGAACGGAGGGAGCGGGCAGGTTGGTAGGGAGTCAGCAGGTCAGAGAGGTAGGATGGGGGAAGGTCATGGATGACCTTGAAAGTGAGGGAAGGGAGGTCTGAGGATGAGAGGGCATTTGTGAGGGTCTTGGGGGGGAAGCCTTTTCCATAGGCAGAAATGTATGGTTGAGGTCTTGATGGAGGGGAGAAGGATGCAAGATGAGAAGAGATGAGGAAGTGGTCCAAGATGGCCTTGTCCATGATACACAGGTTGGAAATGTTGAGGCCATGTGTGATGACAAGGTCGAAGGGATGGCCACGATTGTGGGTCGGCAAGTTGATGTGGAGAGTGAGGTTTAGGGAGGAGAGGAGGGCAGTGAAATCTGAAGATGTGGTGCAAGGGGAGTTTAGGTGAAGGTTGAAGTCGCCCATTATGAGCAGGCATTCTAAGTAGAGAGACAGGGAGGAGAAGAGAGCAGAGATATCGGAGAGGAAGGAGCCATGGGGCAATAAACCAGGAGTACCTCTCCGCATTTTCATCTGACTCCCCAAACCTTATTAAAGATGTAAATTGTTGATTAAAATTAAGGTATCAGCCTGGCTCAGTTCACTCTTACAACTGAGTCGGAAGGCTGTGGGTTCCAGCTTCATGTTGGTACGTTGAGCTCATAATCAAAGCAGATATTCCGATATGGTGCTGGGGCTGCACTGCATTGATTGTCCTTTGGTTGAGACAGTAACCAAAGTCCTTTCTGCCTGTGGACATAACAACACAACAAGATTTCATTTATAGAGCGCCTTTCACGTCGGGAAGACGTCCCAAGGCGCTGGGCAGTTGGGTCAGGACCCGAGCAGGGGGGATATGGTCAGGGTGAGGGGAGGGAAGGGAGGGGCGAGGAGGGGGTAGAGAGTTGAGAGGGGAGCTGAAGGCACGGTCAAAGAGAAAGGTCTTGAGACCGGCCTTGAAGGAGGAAAGGGAGGAAGCGGCGAAGGCACTGGGGGATGGAGTTCCAGAGCCTGGGGGCTGAGAGGCTGAAGGCCCGGCCACCGATGGTAGGGCGGTTGGGGCGGGGGATGTGGAGCAGACCGGAGCCAGAGGAACGGAAGGTACGGGCAGGTACATGGGGGGATAATAGGTCGGAGAGAGCAAGGCCTTGAATGGCCTTGTAGGTGAGGATGAGGATCTTGAATTCGATCCTCTGGGGGATGGGGAGCCAGTGGAGGCGAGCGAGGGTGGGAGTGATGTGGTCCCGAAGCCTGGTGCGGGACAGTACACGAGTTGCAGAGTTCTGAATGACCTGCAGCTTGTGGATAGAGGTCCTATGACACTAATTGAAAAGAGAAGGGAGTTTCCCCTGGTATCCTGGCCAACAATCCTTCAAATAAAAGTAATTATTCCCTTCATGACTGTTTGTGGACATTGTGGTGCATAAATTGGCAGCCGCATTCACCCACAAATACACAGTAAATCCTGTGCCATATCAAATGAAACGATTAATATCATCATTATAAAATCATAGATAATTATTTGCAACATGTTTTATTATAAACCTCTAGATATCAAATTGCTGAAACGCCATTTGCACAAATCACAGAACCAAAGCAGCTTTTAGCAGTCTCTGAGGTTTGCCAAAATGACTTATTTGGATTGCTTCAAAAGTCCCGCTTACAAAAACTGCAACTTCTCTAAATCTGTGACTTTCTATCATGTGCCCAACATACCATCATACGCTGTGGGCAAACCACAGACTATCAATATTACTAGTCATTTTCAGTCTCAGTAGCTGGTACATTTAGTTTTGCAAAGCCCATAGCAGAGCAAAAATGGTTACACCCATCGCACACCCATTACACACCTATTGTGCTTTCCAGAATTAGGTAAGCAGGATGCGTCCCTCCAGGGAGAGTGCGTTTTCCATTCCAATAAAGATTTCATGAATTTCCATGTATAGGTGGGATGCATGGGATTCTGTTTGGTGATGGGTTTCTGCAAGTATCAGACCCCCAGCTGACCAACAAAAACAAACCTTAATAATAAAGGGAGTCTAAAATGCTACTCCATTTCTTTGACCTCAAAATAGAAATGGATTAAATAGTACTTCCTGCAGTTATAAATACTTTAATAAGATATCAACATTAGAGTTACCCAGGTAAAAAGTAAAATCCATGATCTGTTCTTTCTAAAATCCCTGTAGATGAAGAATGTTTACCTCTTAGTGCCTGCACTTGCTCTTCCTGCAGCATTCAGGTGGACAATTTGGTTCGCACTATCTATAGCTGCATGTGTTCAGTAACTATAGATCTGGCCCAAATTGACTGTGGGAAGTCATAAACATATTGTACCTAGACTTCTAAAAGGTGTTTAACAAAGTACCAGATAAGAGAGACCTGCACAAATTGAAATCACTGGGTATCAATGGCAAGACATGGATTTAGAATTGGTTGAAGGGAAGGAAGCAGAGGGTGGTTGTTAGGAATGGGGGGGGTGGGTGGGGGGGGCGGCGTTAAATGCAGTGCCTCAGGGTCCTGTAATGGGATGTTTGCTGTTCCTTCTATATTAATGACCTGGATTCTAAGGCCTTGTGTAAGGCAGTTACATTTGCAGATGAGATCTATGTTAACTCACCGTGACATAAAGGGGTTGCCTAGACTCTAGAGGCGGTGCAGAAGAGCACAATAAGGATACAATACAAAACCACTTCTCAGCCTTTTGGCTAAGATCAAATGTAGTTCTGTTCTTATCAGTTACACCTTGAGCTAGTAATGCTGGGAAGGTTCATCTCCTGTTGAGATTTGATAGTGTTGGTCACCATGACGCAATCTCACCTCTAATTGGGGCATTAGGGGAGGGTGATACCAGTGTTAGAGGAAGGAGCTACGAGCGACGTTTAGACAAGCTAGGACTGCCTCTTCAGTCATAAAAGATGATATCTCAGAGGGGACCTTATAGAGATGTATAATGTTTTATACGCAAATGAGAAAGACTTTTGTATGCACCAAGAGGATGCAGGTTTAGATTACAAAGCTAAGTTTTTCTTTTACCCAGAGGATAATCAATTACTGGAACAGGTTACTGAGGTGATTGAGCCAGGAAACTGGACTCATTTTTAAAAAAAATTGCTTGATGCTGTGATGGGAAGACAGTAGGGTCGGTTTTATGAAAGGATGAGATTAAATAGGCCGAATAATCTTGTGGGTTGTCTCATCACTGAGCACAGCGTGCCATCCAGTGGCCAGATCAAGTATTGGCTGAACTCAGAGAGTGCAATAGATCTGAATTTCAGTTTATTATTAATCCCCATTAGTTACCGTAACAGGGTGGAACGAGAGATAACTTTCATGACAAGATGTTTCCTAAATTTAAACGAATGGTACCTGAAAGCACAGAATGAGATTTGAATTAATTGTATTGTAGCTTAATGGTTAAAGCACTCGCCTCACAAGTGAGGACTGGGGTTTGATTCCCAGCAGGGCAAAACATTGGGCAAGTTTCCTTACTCCACACGCCTGTTTACCGAGCAGTAAGTAGGAACCCAATTGTTAGTCGATTGGCGGATCGCTTTTCCGGTGGTAATAATTCCTTCAAAAAAAATGTGGTTGCTTAATCCAATTGGCTGCCGCGTTTCACCCACAAAACATTCAGTCAATTCACTTTACAGTATATTCTGTGAAGCACTTTGAAACGTCTAGAAGACATGATAAGGCAATATATCAAATGCAAGCATTATTACTTTATTATTTTTTCTATTTGTCTAGCTAACATTGTATCACATTATTGAAATGTCTCAAATCATTTCCCAGATATACTGTATATTGTGTATTTGTCGGTATATTTATACTTGTACTGGGATACTAATGCCAAGATTTTTCAGTTGAAGTCTAACGCCAATCAACTATGTTTCATTGAATGGCAATTTAAGCATCAGCCTTGCTCAATTGGTAGCATTTTTGCCTCTGAATCAGAAGGTCGTGCTTTCAACAGCAATCACAGTAAATCCTATGAACAGCTTTAAAACATCCTACGGACATGAAAGGGGCTACATCAAATGCAAGGATTATTATTATAGAGTATCCAAACCAAAGAGTTCCATGTATTCATGGAAGTTTCTGTTTCTTTGGAACTTCAGTGCCTTGGCCATCCTCCCGACGTGAAAGACGCTATATAAACGCAATTTGTTGTTGAACAGAATACTCTCCATCTGGAGAAGTATTCCTGGGAAGTATTAGGTGCAGCTTTCCAAGAAGCAAGGATTGAGGACCCTAGAGTGTGCACTGTAGTTTAACCAGCTAAAACTTGCTTGCCACTGCTAAGGTTGTCTGGCTAGCTTCCCACTGCTTGTCAACTAGGACCACCCTACCTGTTACAGCTTTAGCTTTCAATTGGTACTATGCTTTTAGCTGACTCCCACCCCAGCTTGGGTGGCCAGGAGACATTACCAAGTGTTTTAAGATGTCTTCCCAACGTGAAAGATTAATGTAAATTTTATTGTGTTGTTTTCCAGTAGCATTCTTGCTATTTGTTTTCTCNAAAAAATACACAAAATATCTGATCTCAAACCAACATGTAGAGACAATTCAGTGACTCTGGCTTTTCCTAGTAACAGTTAATATATTACGAACGTTAATGATAACAGCAGAGGAGCTGCTTTTCCTTTTCAAACTTTNAAAAATAGGCATCTCAATTACAACAATGGTGTAACATTTTAATTTTAATTCATTTTCTTGTCATGTAGTATACTGTACTTTCAACAGAGCAAACTTACATAGGAAAGTATCAAGCAAATGATCTTAGATATTCCACTTATAGTGAAAATGCATTTAATCTAAATGATGGGTGCAAGTCAGATTATGTCAGCTAGATTTTCTTTAGGTGAAACTCTGTTTTACTTTGAAATTAAGAACAATTTCAGTGGTAAATGTAGTTTGTACTTTATGGCTGAGAAGAAAAAAAATAAAAAGAAAAAAAATGAAATTAATTGTTGGGATATTTGGAGTTGATTACAAGGCAGTAATCTTATCCAATGATTTTCATAGTAATTGGAGCCCGTAGCATTGCGTGACTGCTCTGAAATGACTCCTGCGTACACATATTGTTGATTCACGTTTTATACAATGGCTTTAGTGTGTTTGGGATTTGTGCTGATATTGGATGACTCCTGCTCCATTTCAATGCACAGAGATCAACAAATAATCATTGTGTTACCGTGATATTCTTTACCATGAAATGATACCAGGAACATATAATATAAAAGGTATAATACATGTGGGTGAAATTAAAATGTTAAACATAGCGCCTCGCTGACTAAGATTTTGACAAATCCTCCAAAATATTGAGATCAGATTGAATGTAGTAGGACTTTCTCTCTGAAGTTTCCTTTCTGACACAGCTTAACAGCTGAAAACTGTCACACAATGTTCTTAGTCTTCTGGTTCATACCTGAAGACATCAAACACACAATATTAATGTTCCATTTTAGGAATAATCACAAATCTCAAACACTACTGGTAACAAAGGAAGAGTTTCACACAGGAGTTGACTATTCCATCTATTTACAAAAGATTCCTTCAAACCATCTCTCTTAACATCTAATTACATTAAATCCTTTTAATTTCCAGGGACTTTATTGTTCCTGTTCCATTACCTGTGTTGGAAGTTGTTCCACAAATGCGATAATTACCTAAACAATTTAAATAATTAAGCATTTACTGTTTTCTCTGGCGTGAAGTTATTTGCTTAGCAATCTGTTTTGGTAGACTTCATAAGAATCAGAACGTAGCTAAAGTATTGCTAGGGTTCGCATACACCAGCCGTTCACAAAAGCTGCTTTAAATCTTGATTTCTCAGGAAATATATAAAAACATAAACTGGAAAATAACTACCTAGAACATATCTAGAAGCAGCATTTTACATTTAAAATACTTCAAAATATTCCTTTCCTATGTATTTTCCAGGCACTTTAAATCCGAATGAGAAACAGGAAAGGAGATGAGAGCTTGCTTGGTACGAGTAAACATTTAATAATGAGGAAGATTGAACATATCCTTTCTCAGTCATGAATCCTCTATATATCTAGCATAACATATAGGGTGACCAAAAAGTTGTAGTAACTACCGTATTATCTAAAAAAAATACTAATTTCTTTAAGACTTATTAGACATTGTAATGGTATCACGACTTTTTGATCACCCTGTATATCAAGGATTTTTGTCATTATAGTAGATAAGACAGTTTGTTTTTATTTGCGCATTCTTTTTTGGATTCAGATATTAACTTACTTTGAAAGGCGTTTGCGTAGCTCCTTTATTTGGTCATTCTTTTTTGTCAATATTTCTTTCATATTACGATATCCAGCCGTTTGCTGGAACTTCTTTTCCAATTCCTGTCATTAAAATAAAGAAATGTCACTATTAGAGTGTATTAAAAACTGCCACTCTGTTAATTGATGCTTAGCAATTGGGTGTGACGAACAACAATACTTCTGTTCCAATAAAAGAGAAATACATTTCTGTTTCTGCAGAAGACTCTCTGATGTTTTGTTGCCTGGTGACTTGGTTCATACAGATTTGTTGTTGTTATGGACTCCATTCATACAAAGGAATGGCCAAACTCAGCTGATCATCCCCTCCTATACTGAGGGAGGAGTTGCTTTGCACATGTAAGTTGTTGCCACATTGTTTGGGATCTTGCCTGGGTGGTCATCACCATGTTCTTCTCAGCACTTCATTGAGACAATTAAAATGGCAGAACTGAATTGTGCTTGGAATCTGCAAATGAACAACTTTCAAACAAAATGGCAAAACTCACTGGTTGCCAAAATGTTAATAGTGCATCTAAGTAGATTGGACATCTGGCATACAGAGATTTTAAATGTCTATAATACATTTCAAGATATTTCCCTTATTACTGAAGTAAGCTCACATGTGAATTGAATATTTTGGTCACCATCAGTTTCAAATAATAAAAAATGTATGAAAAGGTGCCTTAAAGCATGAATTGCCCTGATTACTGAGGTTCAACTGTACCTGCTCGGCTGTAACACATGTATGAGGATTGACCATGTGGACTATGATGGAACTGTTAATTTTGTTAATAGTGAGTATCCTAGCCTCCATGATCATGGTTTGTAATCACACTGCATTGATAAATATAGAAACCCAGGTATTAGTCAAACAGTTGTTCATGTTCCTNGGGGGGAATAAGCCCTCCAAAAAAAAAAAATCTGGTCACTCAATCCACATTTATTTGTGGACCACTGCTCTGAGCAATTGGCTGCCATGTTTTGCCCACAAAATACAAGTCACTTTACAATATATTCTGTGAAGTGCATCGAGATGCCATGAAAGGGCACTATATCAGAAGATTATTATTATTAAATGTCAATGCCTTTTTTTGTGTCACCTTGAATCACTGCTTTCTAATATGCATATAAGATGGGAGTAATTATTTGTTTATGGTTCAGTTTTCCTACCCATTTGTTTTCAACAGGAACATATAATTTATGTACAAGGTGGGGTTCCAAATACAAACCTTCTCAGCCATTTCTAGTTGCTCCTGTACTTTGAGAAGGTTGTGTTTAGTAGAAATCAGATTATCCTCTAATGATTTCTGGCTTTCGGTGCTTGCATTCAGAGTCTTCTCAAAATCTTCCCTCAGTGTTGCCACTGTCTTCTCAAGATCAGTCACCTCCTTAGTATTCAATTTAGGCTAAAAGAAAGTTTGAGGTTTCTGGTCACAATGTTCACCTTCACTCATAAGAAAAATGAATGTCAATTGGCAAAATTGACATTTTACCAATATACAGGGAAATATGTATTGAATTGCTCTTTGCAGAAAGAATAAACAAGCATAGGTACATACCAAAATGTCATTCGAGGAGGCAAAAGGGAGCAAGAACATTTTAATTAAAATGTTGTGCTATTATACAAAAAGAAAACAGTTTAAAAGAAGGTATATCAATAAAAGAAATCACCAAGTTTGCAGATGATAGAGAAGGCTTTGTATGGCTGAGGTTTCTGAGTGGTGGTAGCAACTGCAGGGCAATTTGTGTTGAGTGCAAAATAATTACAGTACTTTGGAAGGAAACAGTCAAAAGAGGGAGTGTGTGTCAATTGAAACAGTTACATTCTATGGATTAATAAGAATATAACCATGAAATCATAACAGCCCAGTACTTGGTTTCAGTAAAAACACAACATGCAATGCCCGATTGCGACAGAGAGAGGGCAGAATACAAATCAAATAAATTATATTATAGCTGCACATGGAGTTCTTTAGATCCATCACCTAATAATAGGAAAGATATTGCAATTGACAGGGGTGAACAATGATTCTGTGTATGACAAATTTAAGATACGAGGAAAGGAAAAAGACTTTCGGTGCTTGCATTCAGAGTCTTCTGAAATCTGCTCTCAGTATTGCAACTGTCTTCTCTTAATTCGCAGATGATATTAAGCTAGGTGGGAGAGTAAGCTCTGAGGATGACACAAAAAGATTGCAAAGGGATATAAATAGGCTAGGTGAGTGGGCAAGAAGGTGGCAGATGGAGTATAATGTGGGGAAGTGTGAAGATATTCACCTAGGTAGTGAAAATAGAAAAGCAGATTATTTTCTAGAGGGGAGAGATTAGATAGTGTTAGTGTTCAGAGGGATTTGGGTGTCCTTGTACACCAGTCACGAAAAGTTAGTTTGCAGGTACAGCAAGCAACTAGTAAGGCTAATGGCATGTTAGCGTTTATTGCAAAAGGGTCAGAATATAAGAGTAGGGAAGTCTTGCTGCAGTTGTATAGGGCCTTGGTGAGACTGCACCTAGAATATTGTGTGCAGTTTTGGTCTCCTTATTTAAGAAAGGACATACTCGCCTTAGAGGGGTTGCAGCATAGATTCACTAGGTTAGTTCCTGGGATGAGGGGGTTGACCTATGAGGATAGGTTGAGTAAACTAGGCCTATATTCTCTAGAATATAGAAGGATTAGGTGTGATCTTATAGAAACCTATAAGATCCTTATTGGGGTAGAGAATTCCATAAATTCACCAGCCTCTGAGTGAAGAAGTGTTTCCTCAACTCTGTTTGAAAGGGCTGTCCCTTAATCTTAAGACTGTGACTCCTAGTTCTAGATTCTCCTATCAGGGGAAATAGTCTCACACAGGTGAATCTAGAACTAAGGGTCACAGTCTTAAGATTAAGGGACAGCCCTTTCGGACAGAGTTGAGGAAACACTTCTTCACTCATAGTGAATTTATGGAATTCTCTATCCCAGAAGGCTGTAGATGCTCAGTCCTCGAACATATTCAAGACTACCTCTGTGATTTCCTAACCCCTACCATCTTGCTCACTCCCTCCGCTCAGCGGGCTCTGACCTGCTTCACGGCCCCTGCATCGCTCGCTCCACTATTGGCGGGTAGGCCTTCTGCCACTCTGCCCCCCTCCCTCTCGAACTCCATCCCGCAGTCCCTCCGCCTTTCCCCCTCCCTTGCCACCTTTAAGACCCACCTCAAGACCCTCCTCCAACCTTGTTTTCGATCACCCTGCTTCCCCTCCTGCCCTCCACCCTCCCCGACCCCCAATCCCCAGCTCAGGTCCAAAACTCTATTTGTCCATAGTTTTGGGATGTCCTCCTGACGTGAAAGGCACTATATAAATGTAATTTTGTTGTTGTTGTTTGTTCTCGCTGGTAAAGGGGAAACTGAGATATTTAAACTGGAAGTTTTCAAAATTATGAAGAATCTGTACACTCTTGACAAAGTGTTCAAATAGCACAGGACATGGTTTAAGAATTAAGAGAGAAACAGAGTGCAAAATTGAGCTCAACATTACTGAGCTAGGGAAAATGTCACCCAGAGATCCCACTCAAGATCCCCATCCAGGGACTGAGATTAGAAAATGTTGGATGAGGGTAGGAACAGACTCAAATATCCTTCCCGCTATCAAATAGTCTGACAATACTCACTGTTTGTCCTCACACATGAAGAATAGCCATGTGACTAAGATACTAGAGGACACAGTGCCCAGGTGCGAGGCATCCTGTAATGTAGTGGTTACTGTGCTCGCCGTGCAAGCAAGAGGACAAGGTTTGACTCCTGGACAGGGCGAAACCTTAAGCAAGTTTCCTTACTCCACACACCTCTGTTTACCTCGCAGTACGTAGGAACCCGGTTGTTAGTCGATTGGCGGATTGCTTTCTGGGGGAAAAATTCCCTCAAAACAAAATAATAATAATCATTTGGTCACTCAATCCACGACTGTTTCTGGGACACCCCTCTGCACAATTGGCTACTGCATTTCGCCCACAAAATATACAGTCATCACTTTAAAGTATATCCTGTGAAGCGCTTTGAGATGTCTTGAAGACATGATAAGGCGCTATATCAAATGCAAGGATTATTATTATTCCACTGCCAGACACAGGCTCCAGGTAATGCTTTCCAGAAGCTGTCATCCCAAGCCTTAGTGTGTGTTTCAACGACTCAACAGACATTTTCATTTCTATACAGGGCAGCTTGTGATGTGCCAGCCACCTCGATGTTCCAGAGCTCCAAGTCTAATAGCCTCCTATTGTGCTGAAAAAGTTTATATTTCTATGAGATAATAATACTAATCCTTGTTTTGATGCAGCACCTATAACACTGGAATATCCCAAAAGAATTTTGCAGGGAATTGCTGTCTAGTGTAGTGATTGAATATGTGTGTAGGCAAATACTGCAGCTAATTTAATCACAGCAATCATGAGTTGATTGACTAACTTATTTGGATAACTGTTTGTCTGGACTTAAAAGCTGCCTTCTCTTTTTGAATAGCATCATTAAATCTTTAGTATCTATCTCAAAGGCAGATAAGACTTCAGGTTTTCTCATCCATAGCCCTGGCAATGCAGCACTTTTCCGGTAAAGTCCTGCAATGTCAGCCTGATCTATGAACTTAAGCCCCAATGCGGAGCTTAACGTCTACCAAATCAACCCAGCAAGAATATTTTTAGGACTTCATGATAGTTTGTGGGACATTACTGCATGCAAATTGGCTGCTTTGTCTGCCTACAAGTACACAGTCACTACACTTCACGGTAAAATCCTGAAAAGCACTTTGAGTCGTCTCAGTGGTGTGATAAGCTGCTATGGAGTCCTGCAGCTCAGTGCTCTGGAGTACTACAGCTCAGTGCTCTGGTTAGAGCATTTGTCTTGCAAGTGAGAAACCTGGTTTCTATTCCCAGTAGGGCGAAATGTTGGGCAAGTTTCCTTATTCCACAAGCCTGTTTACCTAGCAGTAAGTAGGAACCTGGTTGTTAGTTGATTAGCGGATCACTTTCCGGGGCTAATAATTCCTCAAAAAAACAATAATAATTTGGTCACTCAATCCAAATAATTTGGTCACTGTTTGTGGGACACTGCTGTGCATAATTGGCTGCTCACCCTGACCATTTCCCCCCTGCTCGGTTCCTGACCCAACTGTACAGCGCCTTGGGACATCCTCCCGAAGTGAAAGGCGCTCTATAAATAGAATCTTGTTGTTGTGTTTTGCTCATAAATATACAGTCAATTCACTTTACAGTGTATTCTGTGAATCGCTTTGAGACATCTAGAAGACGTGAAAAGTGCTATATCAAATGCAAGGATTATAATTATTATCTTCATATCACAAATTTACCTTACCTTTTGGTCTTGTTGAACTTTTTCCAGGTCTTTAACAGTTTTTTCAAGTTTCAACTTTTCATCCAGTGCACTTGTAGCCTGAAATCACAGGTATTACAATTAACACCAGTGTCCCACAAAAGAGAATGTGGGTCCATTGCAACTATCAAAAGTGAATGTGGGTCCATTGCAGGCAGACACAGGAGAAATTATAATGGGGAATAAAGAAATGGCAGAGTCATTTTAAGATATTTAAGATGAGTGGGAGACAAAAAAATTTGCTTCTGTCTTCATATTAGAGGACACAAAAAACTTATCGAAAATAGAGGGGAACCTGGAGACTAATGTTAGTGAGGAACTTAAAGAAATGAACATCAGTAAAGCAATAGTACTAGAGAAATTGATAGGATTAAAAAACGATAAATCCCCTGGACCTGATGGACTGCATCCTAAGGTTTTAAAAGAGGTGACTGCAGAGACACTGGATGCTTTGTTTTTGATCTTCCAAAATTCCCTGGATTCTGGAATGATTCCCAGTGATTGAAAGATCACAAACGTAACGCCGATATTTAAGAAGGGTGGGAGACAAAAAAATGGGGAAAGTCTGACATCGGTGGTAGGAAAAATTCTAGAGTCCTTAATTAGGGACGTCGTTGTGGAGTACTTAGAAAATCATAACATGATTAGGCAGAATCAGCATGGCTTTACGAAAGGGAAATCATATTTAACAAATCTTATCGAGTTTTTTTGAGGATGTAACTAGCAGGTTAGATAGGGGAGATCCAGTAGACGTGGTATATTTGGAATTCCAGAAGGTGCCACATAAAAGGCTGTTGCATAAGATTAGAGCTCATGGAATTAAAGGCAATATATTAGCATGGATTGGAGAGTGGCTAACAGGACGAAAACAGAGAGTAGGGATAAACGGGTCCTTCTCAGAATGGCAGGATGTGACTAGTGGAGTGCCACAAGGATCAGTGCTTGGGCCTCAAATATTTACCGTCTATATCAATGATTTAGATGAGGAAATAGAACTTAACATATCTAAATTCAAGGACAATACGAAGATAGGTGGGAGAGTAAGCTTTGAGGATAGCACACGAAGAATGCAAAGGGAAATGAACAGGCTGAGCGAGTGGGCAAGAATAATAATAATAATAATCCTTGCATTTGATATAGCGCTTTTCACGTCGGGAGTTGACTGTATATTTGTGGGCGAACGCGGCAGCCAATTGCGCACAGCAATGTCCCACAAACAGTCGTAGATTGAAAATGACCAATTTAATTATTGGTTTTTGGAGGGTGGCAGATGGAGTATAATGTGGGAAAGTGTGAAGTTATTCACCTAGGCAGTAAAAATAGAAAAGCGGATTATTTTCTGGAGGGGGAGAGACTAGGCTGTGTTAGTGTTCAGAAGGATTTGGGTATCCTTGTACACCAGTCACAAAAAGTTAGTATGCAGGTACAGCAAGCAACGAGGAAGGCAAATGCAATGTTGGCATTCGTTGCAAAAGGGTTAGAGTACAAGAGTAGGGAAGTCTTGCTGCAGTTGTATAGGGCCTTGGTGAGACTGCACCTAGAATATTGTGAGCAGTTTTGGTCTCCTTATTTAAGAAATGACATACTCGCCTTAAAGGGGGTGCATCGTAGATTCACTAAGTTGGTTCCTGGGATGAGGGGTTTGACCTATGAGGAGAGGTTGAGTAAACTAGTCCTATATTCTCCAGAATACAGAAGAATTAAAGGTGATCTTATAGAAACCTATAAGATTCTTAAGGGTCTTGACAGGGTAGATGCCGTGAGACTGTTTCCCCTGGTTGGAGAATATAAAACTAGGGATCATAGTCTCAGGATTAAGGGTCAGCCTTTTCGAACTGAGTTGAGGAAACATTTCTTCACTCAGGGGTAGTGAATTTGTGGAATTCTCTACCCCAGAAGGCTGTGTATGTTCAGTCCTTGAACATATTCAAGACTGAGGTTGATAGATTTCTGAAGGAATAGAAGGATTAAGGGATATGGGGATAGGGCAGGTAAATGAAATTAGGTTAGAAGATCAGCCGTGATGTTATTAAATGGCGGGGCAGGCTTGAGGGGCCAAATGGCCTACTCCTGCTCCTACATCTTATGCATTTATGCCAAGAAACTTTGGTATGAAATCAATTCAAAAACTAACAGATGTAGAAAATTATCCAGCTCTCCGAGATGTTACCCAGTGTGAATGGTGCTATATAAATGCAAGTTGTTATCCTGTTGTTTCCTGTTGTCAATCGTGTAGCTCAGTGGTTATAGCACTCGCCTCACAAGCGAGTGACCTGGTTGTGATACCGGCAGGCTGAACGTTGGGCAAGTTTCCTTTCTCCACACGCCTGTTTACCTAGCAGTAAGAACCCAGTTGTTAGTCGATTGGTGGATCGCTTTTCCAGGGGTAATAATTCCTTTTAAAAAAAATTGGTACTCAATCCACAACTGTTTGTGGGACACTACTGTGTGCAATTGGCTGCCGCGTTTTGCCCACAAATACAGTCAATTCACTTTACAGGATATTCTGTGAAGCGCTTTGAGATATCTCGAAGACATGATAAGGTGTTATATCAAATGCAAGGATTACTATTATTGTTTTTGTTACTGACAATCAACCATCGTGACACAGTTACTTTACCTGTGTTTCTATAGTTTTAAGCCTGGCTTTTAGTTTTTCATTCTCATCTTGGAGTCTTGCAATTTCCTGCACAAGGTACATAAAATGATAGTATTATTGTACTAACGCACATTAAATAGTACAACATATCTAATCTCTTTCCTCCCACCGCATGAGGGATAGTGTGGCCTATATTCCACCGGAATACAAGTAATAATTCTATTTAAACTCCAACCTCAACTCAACTCCAACTCAACTAAATCCTTGTAAGAACAGAGCTGTGAGTTTTTCTTCTGAATTCAACAAATCAGATATTATACTTTGTTAGTTGTAGTGCAACATCAATTATATTTTTAAACTGAAAACCTAGATTACTTAAATTAGATTACATTGGAAGATTCTCCTCATTTATTCACTTTCCTTTCTTTTACAGTCTCTAAATTTGTCACGCACTGGGAGATACCAAGTACTGTAATTATAAGAAGAGGAGGGAATCTTTTGCAGGGAGTAGAGACTCCAGGTGCCAGGATTGATCTATCAAACTGTCATTTTGCGGCATTAATATTTTGTAAAGGTGTAATCTATTGAACATTGTTTCAACAAACAAAAGGATTGGTTGTTAATTATACAATTCAGACCACCTATATACAAAAGTGTTGATAAATGTGTTGACACATGGTTTACACAACTTGCAAATCAGATTCCTCGGCAGAGATTATTTATTCAGGCTTTACACAACTTTCATACTGCACAAGTTTTTGCATGGTTCACGCAACTTGGAAAATAGATTTTGAAGACATATAATAGCTTGCTTTAGGTAGCAATCTGGCAAACATTATCAAGTGATATTTTTCTTCGTGCTGGCCAAGACTTGGTTGTAAAATGAGTTGATTCAGTTACTCTTTACTGAGCCAAGTAAATCTTAAATCTGCTAATTAATAGGCATGTAGCATACAATCTCCTTTTACCAATCTTTGCCAGGAAATTGTGTTGCCCTCTGTTCTAGGGCCACAGGATGTAGGGCCACAGAACTGTATTCTGTGAAGAAATGCTAAAATTCTGACTCACCATTCAGCTAAAACCGTTTTGACTACCCCTGAATAGCAAACATTTTTCAAGTTGTACCTTGCTTAAGAGTCCAGATGATCCTCCTTCGTTCAGTGGAGCAAGCTTTGGCTTCATGGCTTCAGAGTTTGTCTGTGCAAAAGTAAAACAACAAAAATCAATCCTGATATTATGGTACTAGGTAACATTGCTATACAAAATGCTTCAATCTCAGTTTTCAGCTAATAGTGAGCTTGAAGCAGGTCAAGGCAGGCATTGAGAAATGTTTGAAACAATTACTATCAATTGTGCTATAATAATAATAAACCATTTCTGTAGTTGGGATGTCCTCCCAACGTGAGAGATGCTATACAAATGTTATTTTGTTCTTAAGAGATTTTCCACTCTGATCAGTAACCTTCCTCTGCTTTGCACATTATCAATATATTTAGAGCATGGAATAAGAAAAGATCATTTGGCTAAATATTCCTATTACGTTCACATTTGTTTAATGTGTTCAATCTGGTGAAGAAAGTTTCTTCAAATACTGCCCCTCAAAGAACAAGTACAACAAGCACCAGCAAACCTATCTATTATCACATTCTACAGCTATAATGATTAATGGAAAGTATGTCATCTAATTAGACTAGTGCACACTAAATTTTCTTTGAAAGCATTATTTAAAGAATTTATAGAATTACGTAGCATAATATTCAATGGGCCCAATTAGACTGTGCCATTCAGTCCAGTTCCATTTCAGGATTATAATTAATTTGCGAAGCATTCAATCAATTTCAGTTCAGGCATCAAATAAGGCAGTAGCTATTTTACTGAGCTCCTGATCAATTATCTAAGCACAGTATTCAATGCCATTAAAAATTTAATATTTTAATAAGGAAATAGTCTGAAATTAGATTGTCAGATTCCTTCCTGTATATCACAGGAAGTATGTCACTCCAATCTGCGGATTGATCTACTTTAGAGTGTGAGTTTCCTGTGATATACTTCAGGCTACCACAAGAAGTCACCATTGGTAATTATTATTAACAAATCTCTGTGTCGAGAGCCACCCTAACGTAGTAATAAATAATAATATGGATAGAATTGCAGCTTATGGACCAAGACCTTGCTGCTTCAAATCCAGGTCAATGTTGAGATTGTTGAGTCTGTTCTGTGTGAAACTTTCCATGAAATTTATATGCTGTGTATTTTCTCTTTGCTAGAATGCTCTGGATTCACGGTTAATTTGTGCACCTACATTGAAAACAAACGAGACATAATAAATAATTTCTTTCATTTACACTAATTTGAGCTCACTTTCTTTCCTGAAGTAAATTCTGCCTTTTCAAATTCTGCCACTTGCTCCAAGAGTTCTCTGAAATAAAAAAAAGGAAAAGAATACATGAGCATATGAGTATTTTTTTAATAAGCAAATTCATTTGTAGGATTTTCCAAATACATTTCTATGCCATATAACAGCTATCAAATAAGCTGTTGTAAACATGCAATGCCAACTTTATGCATTACAATGCAAATACAATGCATAACCAATTATGAAATATATATTATATATAGATATCTTCCCACTTGTGGGATGAGGGAAAGCACTGTAGTTCTAAATGATTTATTCATACCGTACCTAAAAGTGGGAATAAATCGACAATCAATATGTACTTTACTTTTTAATTCCACACAGCAGAATAACGTAATGATAGTATTGGCAAGAGTAGACTAAATGGTCTATCTAGCCATGCAATTATATTACCAAAAGGTTTCTATGCCCATTTAATACATTGTCATCTAAGTCATCTAATCTTTGCACAGTAGTCCATGTGCAATATTGTCAAATGCCTTTCTAAAATCCAGAGAAATAAAATCCATCATTTCGCCTTCTCTAGATTTGGTCTATAATTTCTTCAAAGAAATCTAATAAATTTGTAAAGTGATATCTTCCATTTCTAAAGGTGTACTAACTGGCTCTGATTAACATTTGCACATCAAGATGTCTCTTACACCATCATTTCAAACATTTTTCCTACAATTCTTGAGTCTCCGTGGTCTGTTGTTTGATTGGTTCATTCCTACATTTTTTTAAAAATGGGATTTGCATTTGCTATTTTCCACTTCTCCAGAATTAGCTTTGACAAGAGCAATCAGTTCAAAAGCTTTTTATTTAATTTTTAAAAATTATTATGAACAGAAGAACTTACTAGAGAATAACCCCATTATAATGCAATCATCCTGGTCAAATATCTCAACGGCCCTGTTAAAACTATGCGGAAAAAGTACACATTTTGGGCTGTCAGAGAGCTGTGTGCACGATTTTAATGACTTTATTGATTGCTAGCATACTTCCTGCAATGCTGCATCCGAGCTGGGAGTTGGGATCGGGGAGGGTGGAGGGCAGGGGGTGGGGGAAGGAGTATGACCAAAGGTACGGTTGAAGAGGAGGTTCTGGAGACGGGTCTTGAAGGAGGCAAGGGAGTGGGCGAGGCGGAGAGACGGCAGGATGGAGCTTCAGAGGGTGGGAGCAGAGTGGCTGAAGGCCCGCCCACCAATGGTAGGGCAGGCAAGCCGGGGGACGTGAAGCAGGTCGGAGCCCACTGAGCAGAGGGAGCAGACATGTTGGTAGGGGGTTAGGAGGTCACAGAGGTAGGGAGGAGCAAGACTGTGAAGGGCTTTGAAGGTGAGGACCAGGATCTTGAACTGTGGGTGGGGGCAGAATGGCTGAAAGCCCATCATGGGGGATGATGGCAAGTATACTGGACTTCCACATGAAAAATAAACCTGAACTCTAGTAAAGCACATTATAACAGAATACTATTAACAGAGTAATTGGGGAACAGATGCTGATGGTATGAAGCCACTGAAAACCATGGAGAAGAAGTTCCAACAAAGAAATCAAACAAATTTGAAAGGATAGTTTCAGAATTTTGCTGAATCACTGTAGAGGTAAGACTGTTTTTTTTCCAGGATCATGAAAGTGCTTAAAGATTTGTTAACCTATGCCTGAAATGATGGCTAAATAAAGATTATGTTGATGAAAAAGCTTGATGATATTGATCAAATATTTACAATTATGTTTATTTAATTATTAAGTATTGAAATATACATTTTATTTGTGTATAGTTCATTGGTCACGGTGAAATTATACATAAAACACTGTGTACAAAAAATTCAACTGGCAAGGTCAATTGTGCAGTTTAGGCATCCAATCTGCAAAGGACTTTAAAACTTTAGAGAGGTATTAGGTAACACTGCACCCAAAGCAGCAAAGGTTGCACACAGAAGACAACCACTTCACAAATGAAATGACGTTTAAAAACTATATGGAGGACTTCAGGTTAACGTCTCATCTAAAGGATGGCACCTCCAAAAATGCAAAATAACCCCAGTACTGCATTGGAGTGTCAGCTCAGGGTTCCAACTCCTGACATGAAGCTTAAATTAACAACTTTCTGACTCAGGCGAGAATGCTATCAGCTGCGTCGGGCTAACATATGGAAGCTATCAGGTTAGTTGACATTTGGATATCATAGAACTGCACACAGCTTGATAGATTGTTAATGAAGTGATGAAGCAGCTTCACACGCTCCTCCAGTACGCTTTGAGATGACATCAGTCTTGCACAGGTGATAAACCCATAGTCAGATTTTCTGGGATATACATTGTACACAGGCATGGGATCCAGCAACAAGAAAAAGGTCTTCCTGTCATGCAGTGCTGGTTCTAATCCAGGTGGTAAATCTTCATTAGTTGAATCAGATTCCTTTTTTCCTACGAATTTTAAATTCCTCTTCACCTAGTTAGGGTCCTCCTCCAAAATGGTTATTGCCTCAGAAATGGGCAGAACGAGATGAATTTATCTGTGGACATTGGACATAAGGATATCGTTCTATTAGCAGCTTTAGACTAAGCATGTATTGGAAATATAGGATAGCTATGGTTACAAAATGCATGAATGTGTAAAGTCCAAATTCAGTTGAGGATTTTTTTTACAGAGCTTTCAGGTTCCTCAATAAATTTAGAACAGTAAGCTAATTAAGGTAGATATATTGAAAGGCCAAACAAAATATTTTAAAAGTTGTTTTCAAACTTACCAGACTCCTCAGCCTCTAAGGAAGTGCCGTCTTCCCGGTAAAACAGTAGTAATGTTTAGGTAGTGATACACAGCAAGCAAAGGCTGAAAGGAAGTATTAGCCCACTTAAAAAATAATAATGGAAAGCTAGAATCCAGAAACATTGGAGAAGAATGATTAAATATTTATCTCTTATTCATCTTAACTCAGAAAGAAGTGGGAAAGATGCCTTAAGGCATAAACCGTATTCTGAGCACAATAGAGAAGCACAACAGCATACAACTGTGAATACTATTGTGAGAAGGGCAGGTGAGCTTAAACTACACAATGTACAAAGTGCCAATAACAAGGTGCAGATGCATCCAGAATTTTTTTTTGAAGAAAAATGTGTAAAATTCGAAACTCTTTAATTGATATTTTTGTATGTTCATATAGACTTGAAAAGCAGCTAATGTAACTTATTTACTTAAAATGATCACAAGACATACCAGAAAATTAGCAGACCAATAAATGACACGTCAGCTTGGCTCGGATGGTAGCACTCTTGCCTCTGGGGTAGAAGGTTATGAATTCAAGTCCCATGCTGGAATGTTTATAGTCCAGAGCTCACTGTCTGGGCTGACACTGCAGTACAGTTTTGTAGGGAGAGCATAGTATTGTTGCAGGTACCATCTATCACATGATATTTATCTGTCTGTCTTCAAGTGACATTAAAGATCCCAAACACTATTCAAAAAAAGTTTCTCCCAATGCCCTGGGCAACAGGTCCTCATGATAATTAGATATTCACCTCATCACTGTTTTCAGAGCTTTTCTGATACAAATTCTGCTCCACGTGCCTACAAACAGTCTACTACACTTGAGAGTAATTAATGTGAAGCTCTTTGATATTTCGACTTGATAAGGCGCTATAAAAATATATGTTCTATTTTCTTTCTAAATGTACCTTAATTTGTTGGAAATTAAGGTACATTTCATTTCGCCTCTCCTCTGACCTCAATCTTCACGGCTCTGTCCTTGACTGGTTCAGATCATATCTCTCACACCGCCTCCACTTCATCTCCACAAATGGTTTCTTTTCTAGCCCCCGCACAATCTCATGCAGCATTCCTCAGGGCTCTGTCCTCGGTCCCCTCCTCTTCAATATCCATATGCTCCTTCTTGGTGACATCATCCGCAGACATGGGGTCAACTTCCACATGTATGCGGATGACACCCAACTGTACCTCTCTGCCTCCACCCTTCCCATCCTTGCCCGACTCCACTGGCTCCCCATCACACAGAGGATACAGTTCAAGATCCTGGTCCTCATCTTCAAAGCCCTCCATGGTTTTGCTTCCCCTACCTCTGTGACCTCCTAACTCCCTACCATCCTACCCACTCCCTACGCTCAGTGGGCTCCAGCCTGCTTCATGTCCCCCGCCTCGCTCTCCCCACTATTGGCAGGCAGGCCTTCTGCCACTCTGCCCCCACCCCCTGGAACTCCATCCCACAGTCCCTAAACCTCGCCCCCCTCCGTTGCCTCCTTCAAGACCCATCTCAAGGCCCTCTTCGACCGTGCTTTCAATCACTCTGCTTTCCCTGCCCTCCACCCTCCCCGATCCCGACCCCCAGCTCCGGTCCGAAACACTGACTGTCCAGCGCCTTGGGACGTCCTCCTGACATGAAAGGCTCTACACAAATGTAATTTTGTTGTTGTTGTTGTAAAAACATCTTTAAAAGTATATTGAGATAATTCATGAGTTAACACTGTAATACGTAACTAAGGACATCGTAGACCCAGAAAAGAGAGCTAATGGTTAACCTGCTTGAATATTTCACAAACATTGCTGATTGAAGAATATAGTTGTTAGAGACTTACATTTTCAGAAAGAGCTTAAGTTTCGACATTGATTTTCAACCATATTTTTGGTCACCATCCCCCCGACCCCATCCCTCACCTTCCTCAGCTGCCCCCATCCCCAGATCGTGCTCCCAGTCAGCTCTGTAAAATACTTTGAGACATCTTCCGAAGTGAAAGGGGCTATATAAATGTAAAATGGTAACTGTTGGTGATTAATGGCTACGGTAAAGGTCAATGTGTGATGCTGAATGATCATCTTAAAAACTTTTGCTGCTTCCCATAACACATGACACCAGAGTGGCCTTGCAAGAAAGGAGGCAATTCACAGATCTTGTATTTGTTGCCATATAGGAAAAGTACTGTTTTGTTACTTTAGGGTTGCAGCAATTTGAACGGCATTGATCACATTACAATTCCCGTCAATCCTAGATAAACTCAGGGCAGAGCTCTTGCTGATTATTATGACATATTTCTAGTTGCCAGGGGCAGTTGCCATTTGCACAATTCAGTTTCCTAATTAAAGAATCCCACTAAGAAATATTGCAAATTATACTCCAGTCACTTTTCTTAACTTCTAATAGAAGTACTTTGAGGAAAGGAACACCCTCTGGAGTCCTGTAGCTCAGTGGGTAGAGCATTCGCTTTGCAAGCGAGAGACCCGAGTTCAATTCCAGGCAGAGGGCGAAACCTTGGGCAAGTTTCCTTACTCCACACAGAGCCTAATAATAATCCCTCCAAAACCAAAAACAATAATAAATTGGTCATTTTCAATCTACGACTGTTTGTGGGACATTGCTGTGCGCAATTGGCTGCCGTGTTTGCCCACAAATATACAGTCAATTCACTTTACAGTGTGTTCTGTGAAGCGCTTTGGGACGTCCTCCCGATGTGAAAAGCGCTATATCAAATGCAAGGATTATTATTATTATACTTATTTCCCCTTCAAAGTGTAATTTAATCTGTAAATGAACAGTAATTGCTGTGAATGAAAGGTGCAAGTCCTCAGCATTATAAACATTTGATAGCAGGTTTTTTTAACCTTGGTGCGTTTTAATCTGGTAAATCAATTGCAGCAACTGTTGTTCCTCTTCACTATGCTTTAAATAGCTATGACTTCAAGTAGAAGCCCTACAACAGGGTCAAATCCTATGCCAAATCTGAGTCTGGAGGTCTCTTACAACATTGGCTGAAGACTTAAAAATCTGAAGAACCAAAGAGGATAACCTCACAAAGGTGGCACTGGGTTGAGTAATTCAAGGAAATAAAGAGAGAAGGGAAGGAAAATCACACCTAAAATACTGAAGGAAGCATACTGAATTGCTCCATTGGATGACTAGCTGAAATTCAAAGGTACAATATATAATATATATAAAATAAACAAGAGCGGATAATACAAAGAGAATTGAATATGAGGTCTGAACAAAAGGTATACTAGTTATTATTCCATATATATTATGACGTGCCCATGGGCAACACCAAGCAAGAGCTTTTGCAGGGCCTTGCACACTGCTATTCAAATCCGTTGATCAAGTATCAATGTGCTGATAGTTAATTTTATAATGTCCAAAACATTAAAAACAATTATTACTTATTAAATACATTTCAATGTCTAGATTACAAACAATAAAATTTGAATGAACTGTTTTTCAAACAAACTTACAACTCTCTTTGAAATAAAATGACTCCAAAGTGATTTACCTGTTTTCCAGCTCAGAGATATCTGTTTGTAGTTTCAGGTACCATTTCTCAGATTGAGATAAGAGTTGGCGTAGAAGCAGCACATTAGTGTAGGCAGTGTTGATGAGCTCTGACTCCACCTCACTGTGAACCACAACCTGTAGTCCATCTAACATCTCTGTCAGTTCATCCACTGTGAACGTGTCTTCTGTCAGCCTGGCACATACAAAAAGTCACTAAGAGGCTGAATGGAGAACAATTCAAGAGCGCAAATCAATTATCTCTTTTTTCCCCAGAGCCGCTCTAGATGAGCATTTCATAAACACCTCAAGTCAGAAGACAGGCTGAAGGGGAGCATTCTGTATTGAGAGCTAAAGCCTGGAAATAGTTACCAATGTGTTTTTTGTGGGGTGGACAGATGGTGATATAAAAATAGATAGCCTTGGAAATAGATTTTTTTTAGGTCTATTGTATGGAATCTTTAGGTCGATCGCTGCCACAGTGCCAGATTTATCCAAAATAGTGAATATCTTAGCTAATCTTAAATATTTCTCATTTATCACATTGAATCCCTTTAAATCTAAAATGTGACAATAACCATTAGATTTTTTTAAGTACTATGAAACGACTGAACAGTACCCTTCTTCTCTGTCATTGTGCTGCTCTTTCCTAGTTCGGTGGAGTGCAGATGCTTTCTGTCAGAAACTGTGACAGATGAGGTTATGCTGAGGTTTGATTTGAAAATCAGGGTGACATTCCTCAACAATGAAGGGAATATCCCCTGCTAATTCAATAACAACTTGCATTTATATAGCGCTTTCCATGCCAATTGACATCTCGGAGGACTTAATGGATTTGGTTGCAATTTTCTCCCAGGTGGCTGCAAAATAAATCAATTGAATATTCAGTGGAACCAGGCTGAGGAAATCGCTGTGGGGATGAGGAAACAACAACAACAAAATTACATTTGTATAGTGCCTTTCACGTCAGGAGGATCTTCCAAGGCGCTGGACAGTCAGTGTTTCGGCCCCATGTTGGGGGTCAGGATTCGGGAGCAAGAAGGGCGGGGGGAGAAGGAAGGTGATCAATAGATCGGTTGAAGAGGAGGGTCTTGAGATGGGTTTTGAGGAGGCAAAGGAGGCGACAGGACTGTGGTATGGAGTTTCAGCAAAGGGTAGCTGTAAAGGCAGAGTTTGTATACTGCCATTAAAGACAATGAAAAGTCATTATGGCTGTCTTGTAATCCACAACAGGGCTGCTGAAATAAATATACGCGCCTCTGCAGTGTCCAGGGAAAGTAAAATTATCCTCTGAACAACAATCTCCCACAAGGGACTGTACCAAGGACAATTATCAGGCACTGACTCTTAAAGCTTTCAAGTACTGTACTGTAGTTCTTTCGGATTCCCCAATAACCTTTTCCTTCAGAGTGCATTTGTAACAGATTAAGTAATTCTTCAGGGACCTTTTAAACTGCAACCAGGTCCAACTTCAATGGATCCTGTTCCCATGTCTGGGATATTCACAACTGCCTTCAGTTATACCAATGTTACTATATGAGCTCCTCTTTGCGGGTAAGGAGAGGCAGTCGTGTCAGTTGCTGCGATCCTGACAGATGAGGTTATGGTGCGAAACCTGTGTCTGGTAAAACATGTCACATATTGGCATCCTAATGGTCAAATATACTTTCCCCACAAGGATAATGTTAAATTTTCTCTCATGGGATATGGCTCGTGACAGGAATATTATTATACTCAGACAAGAACTTTAAAACTTCAGAATATGGTCCTATAGTAATTCCGCTCAGGCTCTGGGACTTCATATGCTTTCTATACATAGGCCATTAATGAAAATTGCTTAGACCAGTCCAGGGAGGCAACTTGTGTGAATATCCGTAGATAGTTAGAAGTACAAACACTTAAAATCTCTCTTGTAAAGTTGACAATATCTCATAGAGCCTAAGGTACCTCACTTTGCTTTCTGCCACATTAACATTGGGCTTAACCCTGAACTCATGCCCTTGGTTGCAAGATCAGCAACCGTTTCAAGGTCCTCCCTCTGAATATTCAATATCTCACACCTGAGTATCTAATTGGCAAGGTGAAAGGTCCTGCCAATAGTTAATTGACCAGTGAGCAGACTGAATGTTCAAGGTAATTTATTGTGGTGGAGGTAAGTGCAGCTACACCTTGGGCATATCTGCCCAGAGGAACTGACGTTCAGAATTCAGTGTTCAGTTTACTTTGTTGCAGTGAACAGTTCTCTCAGTTAATTATGATGACTGTGATGGGTGGACAGTAGGGTAGAAGGATGGACGAGATCAAATGGGCCGAAGGGCTTTCTTCACCTTGTGATACACAAACATTGCCTCGTGTTGCTTCTTCTAATCAAGCAATATTCTCACCTGCTGTCTTTAAGGTCCTGAAAGCAGGAGTCAACAGTTTTCAGCCTCACTGTTCGTTTTGAACGAGCAAAGCGCATGTAGTTGATTACTTCATTTTGATGGTGTTCATTTAGCCCTAGTTCAGCCTAAAACAAACAATTTTAAAAAAAATCTGAACTATCAAAATAAATGTTCAACATTTAGCAAATCATTTAAATTTGAAACTTAATCTCAAAATCAGGAGTACGGGGAAAAAAACTAAAACTGTTATACAGAATTATAATTGAACACTTTCATATATTGTTTATGTTGCACGTTTTGAGGACTGCAGAATATTGGCTTCCAGGATTTATTCATCCCATGAAGGAGCTGAATGAAGATCACTTGATACCACAAATAACCAGGAGATTTCAGCCATGTGTACACATACATTAACTGAGCTTCATGTCACATACACAACAACATCAGTTGATGCAGGTTTCATTGTTTCTAAATTTAACCCTTGCTAACAATTCATTATATTCTCTGCACTTCAGCTCCAAATCTCCAACGTTTTTCCTTTTTCTGAATAAGATAGATTGCCTTTCTCTTCTAAAGGAACATGAATGCCAGGTCAGATACACCAGTTCAGTGGCTATTATTCACATGTAAGCCTGGAAGTGCGTGACCAATGAGGGGGTGTGGTGGGGGGGGGGGGTTGTGGGGGAGTAAGGTCTGATCTGGGGAGCCAGAATTTCTGGTTGTGTAATTACAATGCCGGAACCATCGGAAAAATCCTTGCATTTGATATAGTACGTTATCACATCTTCAAGACGTCTCAAAACGCTCCACAGACGATACTGTAAAGTGATTTAACTGTATATTTTGTGGGCAAAACGCAGCAGCCAATTGCTGGACATCAGTGTCCCACAAACAGTCGTAGAATTTTTTAAAGGATTATAGCTCCCAGAAAAGCGATCCGTCAATCGACTAACAAGCGGGTTCCTACTGACTGCTGGGTAAATAGAGGCGTGTAGAGTAAGGAAACTTGCCTAATGTTTTGCCTTGCCGGGAATTAAACCTGCTTGCGAGTCGAGTGCTCTAACCAATATGCTACAGGACACCACAAATGTCTGTACAGGCAGTGTAATTGTGTGAATCGTGTAAGCAGAAGATAGCAAATAAGCTTCTCTCAGGATTCAAACTGAATCAAAGTCGGTCCCTTGCCAGTAGAATAGCGAGGTGGGTGCTGCTAGGAGAGTGGCCGGTGGGAGTAACGGTCCTGGGGATTTTGTTTTGTTAAATTTTGTGTGTCCGGCCTGGTCCAGTTACATCCGAATTCCAGATACCCGAGGATTTACTGTATGTACATAAATCACAGCTATATGACCATGGAAAGCAAGGCAGTCAAACCCGATCCCTCTCTCCTTATGTTCACGACAAACCCAATCCTTTTTCTCCGAGTGTTCATGAGAGATCACTGGATGGAGATCAGGAGAGACAACTAGGTGATATTCATGTCCCTAACAAGGGGCACTGAGGCAAACTGCAGTAGTATTCATACTCTTAAACTGGAACGAATGAATCAATTCAGCAAAGACCAGTGATTGAATTAAGATCTTCCTAGGTTGCGAGGCTCAATTCCTCACTCAATAATCTTGTTGAGTCCATCAGAGGCATTTCTCTGCACTTTATATATGAACATTCGTTCAAAAATAGCCTTTACAATTTACAGTAAATACTGTGAAGTGCTTTGATATGTCCTGCCAATACGTAAAATGATATATCAAATGCAAGATTTTATAGGATTATTAGATCTCATAAAATGCTCTTTAGCACTTCCCCACTACAGATATGTAGTCTAACTGTTCCATAATTGCTGACTTCATGTTTTATGCTAGTTTTGAAAAAATTAGGAGATTAATTGCTTTCCCGAAGCATCCGGTCCGAACAATATTTCAAAGCTTAACCTTAACTAGTTGTTAAGGGCCAACTTTCTCCAACTCAACGTTAACAAGACTGAGGCCCTCCTGATTGCCAGGCGCTGGCAGCATCAGCCTCCACGGCTGCACACTCAACCTCACTAAGCCAGTCAGGAACCTGGGTGTCTTGTTTGACTCTGAACTGTCCTTTCTCCCCCACATCTGCGCAATGACCGTCACTGCTCACCACCACCTCCGCAACATTGCCAGACTCCGCCACTGCCTCACCCCTCAGGCTGCCAAAACCCTCATCCACGCATTCGTCACATCAAGGCTCGATTACGGGAACTCCCTCCTCATCGGCCTTCCCAACTCTTCCCTTCACAAGCTGCAGGTCATCCAAAACTCTGCAGCTCGTGTACTCTCACGCACCAGGCTCCGTGACCCCATCACTCCCACCCTCGCCCGACTCCACTGGCTCCCCATCCCCCAGAGGATCAAGTTCAAGATCCTCGTCCTCACCTTTAAGGCCATCCATGGCCTTGCTCCCTCCTACCTCTCTGACCTGCTGACTCCCTACCAACCTGCCCGCTCACTCCGTTCAGTGGGCCCCGGTCTGCTCCATGTCTCCTGCCTTACCATCAGTGGCCGAGCTTTCAGCCTCTCTGCCCCCACACTCTGGAACTCCATCCCACGGTCCCTTCGCCTCACTTCCTCCTTTGCCTCCTTCAAGGCCGGTCTCAAGACCCTTCTCTTCGACCGTGCCTTTGGTCTCCCTCCCACCTGTCTGCCTTCCCTCACCCCTACACCACCCCTCCCCCATTGCTCGAGCTCCGACATCTGACTGTTCAGAGCTTTGGGACGTCCTCCCGACGTGAAAGGCGCTCTATAAATGTAATTTTGTTGTTGTTATTAATTTAATCTAGAATTTATGCTAAATAATTCAGATGCTCTATAAAAATTTCAATTCTTAACTTTTTCCCCCCATAAGATATACTCACTGTCCTCTACATAGCTAATAGATTCCTGAATTGAAATGACTGGATCTGAAATTCAACTTGGATTCACAGTTCATTAACATGTTTACATTTTCCCGATTCTGTGCAATATTTATTACCCATTTGTATCTTAAAGGACTGATCTAATCTTTAGTACTTTTGCCTACTCCTTTACATGGTTCTTACAAAAATCGATGGGATCACACTTTTTATGATTTACATTCTGTCTTCAATTAATTGTCCTCTTGACACCTTGCAATACGCTCACTTATCCTGAACTGGTTTTAACTCTTAGACCTCATCACTTTCTGCTTGTTTACATTATTTAAAAACACTTTAAACTTCATTCTGGCTTTGCAATCTAGGTTTCTTCCCATTCCAAACGCTTACCGCAGAAAAGCTTTGAAACAATCCTTTGTTTCGCTTCTATTTTCCAGTCTGGGCTCTCACTTGAGTTACAACAAGAGTGTTTTTTCGCAGCCCCAAACTTTCGCCGCCAGCATCTTTTGACCACAGCAAGTGCTGCTGCATCTTAATTGAGGATGTTGTTGCATTGATAATAATAACCTCTGCAGTTGGTATAGCACTTATCACGTTGTGGAAACGTCTCAAAGTGCTTCAGAGGATATATGTAAAGTGTATATATATATATATATGTAAAATATGTAAAGACTGTTGTGCTAAACACAGCAGCCAATTGCAAATTGGCACAACAATGTCCCATAAACAACCACGGAGTGAGGGACGGATTTTATTGGGAGGGATTTGCTGACCAATATTTGAATACAATATTAAATCTAATTATAGCCTTCACTCCGCGCTAACTACTGAACCCAGTGAAGCATCTGCTGTGCCTCACGCACTGAAAGCGGAGGCTCACAGCCTCAATGCGGGGAGTGCCGAGCCAGGCCAGGCCAGGCCCAGACAGTGCCCCGGGCCGGCCTGCCCTGCCCTGCCCAGCCCTGCCTCCCTGCCCCGCCAGCCCTGCCCAGCCCTGCCCTCCCTGCCCCGCCAGCCCTGCCCCGCCAGCCCTGCCCTCCCTCCCTCCCTGCCAGCCCTGCCCCGCCAGCCCTGCCCTCCCTCCCTGCCAGCCCTACCCTCCCTCCCCTGCCAGCCCTGCCCTCCCTCCCCTGCCAGCCCTGCCCTCCCTCCCTGCCAGCCCTACCCTCCCTCCCCTGCCAGCCCTGCCCTGCCCTGCCCTGCCCGCCAGCCCTGCCCTGCCCTGCCCCGCCAGCCCTGCCCTCCCTCCCTGCCCCGCCAGCCCTGCCCTCCCTGCCCTGCCTGGGGACTGAACAAAGCCACAGCTTGGGGCACTCACCATGGCCGGGCTTCAGGCGCTGCAGAGTGACTCCTCACGCGAGCCGCCCTGACCGTTACAGCGCAGCCTCTCCCCCCCCCCCGTGTGTACTGTGCACAGCTCCAGCCTCCTCACCGCCGCCGCCTCTCGTCGCCCAGGAAACGGCCCTCACAGCCACTGCGCATGTCACGCCAGACAAACCATTCCGCCCAATACTCCCCCTGAAGTAGCCCAATGTGAGGCATTGATCCAACGGTGTCCATCCCGCACCTCCAATGGGGCAGCGGAGCAGATCAGAGCGGCCGATTAGGTCCTAATACATTTGCAAAGGTGTAAGAAAGCGTCTCCACGAAATCTGTTTCGCAGGTTTCAACTCTCGACGTGTTTTTTTCTTTAAAAAAATTAGCACGCGATTTTTTTTTACACACGCGCCGCGCGTGCGCGCGCAGCCAAAAAACACAAAAAAAACCGCCCAATTTGGGCGTGAATCCGCCCGACCTGGACACGTCGTGCACGTCATTCCTCGGACCAGACACCCACGTGACCACACGCAACAATCGCTGCCCCCCCCCCCCCCACCACGTGTGTTGGTCACACAGGGTCACTTTGGATCATGAAGGCTCCTTTGGTCCCAACCTCTGAGACCCTCCGCCCTCACCTCCTTCTCTCACCTCCTTCAGTGTCCGTCTCAAGACCTTCCTCTTTGACCACACGTTCATAGAATCCTAGAACTATGCAGCGCAGAAGGAGGCCATTCGGCCCACCGTGTCTGTCGCCGGCTCTTTCAAAAGAGCTGTCCAAATCAATCCCACTCCCCCGCGCTCTCCCCAGAGCCCTGCAAACCTGTCCTCCCCCAACCATCCTCGATCATCTTCACCACCCATCTGGGCTCCCATCTGCCCCAAATCCAATCCCCAGCTCGGATCCACCAATCAACTAACAACCGGGTTCCTACTTACTGCTTGGTAAACAGGAGTGTGGAGTAAGGAAACTTGCCTAATCTTTTGACCTGCCCGGGAATTGAACCCAGGTCCTCTCACTTGCGAGCAGAGTGCTCTAACCACTATACTACAGGACTCCACAGTTACATATAGATCCCATGGCACTATTCAAAAAGTGAAGGGAGTTTGACCTAGTGTCCTGGCTAACAATACCCTCAAAATAAAAATTGGTGATTCACTTCATTCATGGTTGCCCTCTTCACCTCACCTAGTTAATAAGAAACCTTGGTGTCCTTTTCAACCATCAGCTATCCTTCGAACCCCACATTTGTACCGTGACCCATTCCACCTTTCCCCACTTCTGCAACATTGCCCGCCTCCGCCACTGCCTCTCACCGCAAGCCGCAGAGACCCTGATCCACGCTTTCATCATGTCCCGGCTTGCCTCCGCCAACTGCCTGCTCACTGGACTTCCCAACTCTTCCCTTCACAAGCTGCAGATTATTCAGAATTCTGTAGCTTGTGTCCTCTCCCACACCAGGCTCCTTGAACCAATCTCCCCCGTTCTGGCCTGGCTTCACTAGATCCCCATCCCTCAGAGAATCAAGGTCAAAATCCTTGTTCTTACCTTCAAAATCCTCCACAATCTTGCTCACTCCACCTCTCCGACCTCCTAACCCCATATCAGCCTGTCCGCTCCCTCTGCTCAGCGGACACCGGTTTGCTTCAGGTGCCCTGGAATTTTTCCACCCCACCATTGGCGATCGGGCATTCAGCTTCTCCGTCGGCACATGGCCTCCTTCTGTGTTGTATAATTCAATGATTCTATGATCTCAGCCCTCACACTCTGGAACTCTATCCCACAATCTCTCCTCCTCACCCCGTCTCTTGCCGCCTTCGAGTGCCATCTAAAGATCTTCCTCTTTGACCGTGCCTTTATTGATGAAATACCTTCAAATAAATAATATTTTTTTAACAATTTGATCACTCAATCCATGACTGTGGGACACTACTGTGCGCAATTGGCTGCCAAGTTTCGCCCACAAAATGTACAGTCGATACACTTTACAGTATATTCTGTGAAACACTCTGAGACATCTCAACGACGTGATAAAGCGCTATATCAAATGCAAGGATTATTATTATTATACTGCTTCTTCAGATACTGGGAGTCCATGTTACTAAAGTAGCAAAAAATCAAGTCTTCAACTGGGACATGAATGTTACATTCCAGACAAGTCCAAGCACGCTGTGCTACAGTATTAGTGTTAGGTCTTCCAAGTTCTATGATTGTTGACATCATGAACAAACAAAAATGTTCTTACAAATGAGGTAATGATATTCTGCATCTCCAACACTGTTGTATTCGGTGTCTATTCTCAACAAACTTTACACTTGAATTGTAAAAAAATTAGCAATGTTTCTTTTTTCTCGGGTGAGACAACAGAACGGAGATTTACAGATTAAGCAGTGGTTTGTTCACATCCATCAAAATGAGAACTGAACTCTGTTTTTGTGAGGCAACCTCATTTGTTAATAAAATTAATAAGACTGGTTTACAAAACAAATAAGATACTAGCTGGATTAAGTTAGGAACATGGTACCTGAAAAGTGATCACCTCATCCAATTACAATATTATATTTCCTTTAAAAGTGAGCAACGAAGATGCCAAATTCTGAGAGCCTAAATTACAAGGAAAAGTTACGAAAGTTAAGTTCCTAATGTGATGACCTAATTAAAAGGATATTGTTAGCAAACAGGAATCAGGAAACCATAGTTGGTTGAGTTGCTTGCACTGTTGCCTCTGAGTAAAAAGGTTGTGGGACCGAGCCCCATGTTGGTAATTGGAGCTTATGTAATACATAGTGACACTTCAATGTGGTGCTAGGGAGGTGTTGAACTGTTGGACATGCCATTCTTCAGATATGCTGTCCTTCAGATGAGAGATTAAACCAAGGTCCTATCTGCCTAATAGGGTGGATAATAAAGATCTCATGGCACTAGTTGAAAAGAGAACAACAACAAGATTACATTCGTATAGCGCCTTTCACGTCGGGAGGACGTCCCAAGGCACTAGACAATGTACAGCATTTCAGACCCGAGTTGTGTAACATCAATTTCTCTGGCATTCTAACCAGTATGACAACAGGAGTTGAGAATCAATTCAGAAGTTTTCTACAAGATCAACTGTAAATTTGGATCTGCAATGTTCTGTACATATTGTTCTGTAAGGAGCTTAGAGAAGCTTAAATTTCACACATCAAATTTTCTATTTTGCTTTGGCTTTTAATTACTTTCACTCTCTCCCCAAGCAGTTTCTTAGAATTTTTGATTAATCTCTGGCTTGCTCATTTTCACAGGTTGAACATTACAATATTTCACTCTGTCACTGAAATATGGAATTTCCTATTTCCTTACTGTTGTCTGAAATTCATCTTCAAAATTGAAATCTATTGTGCACATATTGTAATACAAACCAATTACCTATTCACAATGCATCTTTCATTCTCTCATTATTAAAAATAATAATTGCATTTGATGTAGTGCCTTCCACATCAAGAGGACATCTCAAATGACATGATTTACTGTGAAGTATAGTTGCTGTATATTTTGCAGGAGAGCACGACAGCCAATTTGTGCACAGTAATGTCCCACAAACAGCTATTAAGTGAATGACCAATCACCACTGTGTTGGTAACAGCATGTATTATGCATTTGCGTTTTCCTTCATTTATGACCACTTAGTAATTACTTGTTCTAGCAGTCCATTGCATCAAGGCTTTCGAAAAGATGAGTACAATTTTGTAATTTGTACCTGCTGAGTTAATCTTGGAGATTGAAAAAAATAATTAAAAATTTTATAACTTTATACATTGGCCCTCAGCTTAAAACCCCAAAACCTGTACAATTTTTACAGAATAGTTTATTTCACCCAAATGTTGCTTACATATGTTTGTAAACAGTTTTCACTTCAGGAAAAAAACAAAACAAAACAAAATCTAAGCCAAACAGATTTGTGACTTGTGACACAAATCAGCTACTTAGGGAGCCTGAAGACTGATGGGGCTTTGTACTTTGAAAGGAAGTCATATGAAAAGAAGCGTTTGTCATTCTAATTTACTAATTTAAATATTAATTTATCAGCTAGCTTGCTCACTTATGAAAGTCAGATGTTGTTCAGAGCACATGACATTCTTTTTTTGCAAAATCTTCTGAGAAGCAGGAGTATACTGAGGATCTGGGCGCTGCTTCAATCAACATTAACACGTTTGCTTTAATCATGAGGTCTGGGTAAGTACTTATTTCTGCTTGGGTTTATCAACATTTTATGTTCTACTTATTCTTAGTATTTAATGCATTTTGTTTTACATTAGGTAAAGCAAAAAGGAAAAAATAGGATGTTCTGAATCACCATGTACATTCGATTTTCTCATGTTCAACTGAGTAGAATAATCTTTCCTTTTAAATAAACTATTGATATATCAAAATGTTTTACAAGATTTACAACGATCTGAAACTTTAACATAATTGATATCAATATGGCTGTTGAGTTGAATCAAATTAAGATCATATATCAGTGGCTCTTAAAATAAAACCTTGAAGCAATGGTCGATAATTGTCAAACATACCTTTATATTCCCTCGTGCATGCAGTTGTCACCTCCCGCTTGGATTACTCCAACGCACTCCTCGTAGGTCTCCCCAGCTCCACTATTCACAAGATCCACCTCATTCAAAACTCTGCGGCCCCATACTGACCAGCACCAAACTCCGTACCCACATCTCACCAGTTCTGTCCGGGCTCCACTGGCTCCCCATCACCAAACGGATCGACTTCAAGATTCTCATAATCGTGTTCCAATCCATTCACTCTCTGGCACCTCCCTACCAGCGCCTCTGCTCAACTGGCACCGGCCTTCTGCTTGTCCCTCACACCCTCCGCCCTATCATTGGAGGTTGCGCTTTCAGCCATTACGCCCCAAAACTCTGGAACACTCTCCCTCAATCCCTCCACATTGCCCCCTCTCTCCTCCTTTCAAGTCCCGCCTGAAAACTTTCCTCTTCGATCGTCCTAACGGCCACCTTCCACCTCCACGGCTCGGAGTCAAGCTCCGCCACTGTTAAGCGCTCTGAGACGCTACCCTGCGTGGAGAGCACCATATAAGCATGTTGTTGTATATATGACAATAATCTTGAGGTATAGTTTTCTTGTCTGTCAAACATCAAGTCCTGGATGAGAGGCAATTTCCTACAGTTGAATGTCAATAAGACCGAGGCTCTCCTGCTTGGCTCCCGTCAGCGCCCCCTCACCCTAGGCACTGACAGCATCACTATTCAAGGATCAAGTTTGTAGAATTTGCTGGGTGAAAGAAGACCAAGGTCCATCTAGTTCACCATCCACGATCCTGGAGTTGCTTGACATATCTTGTCCCAAACTATAGACTATATTGTGAGATATTATTTTCTAGCAGAAATCTATCTAATTTGTCCTTGAAACAAATGACATTCCACTGACTCCCTAGGGAGCCTGTTCCATACATTTATTGCTCACGCACTGAAGTAGTGTTTCCGCAGATTTGTTCTTGAGTTTGCCCCATTGTTGGGATAGTTTCAATGTATTCTCAATCAGGATCCCCAGGGCCTTTTCATTTTCCATACAGATTATTTTCTTAGCATTTAAATGCTAAGTCCCTTCTTGGACTTTTTGCCCCCATGTGAAGCACTTTGAATTTCTCTACGTTGATTTCAGCTGCCATCGATCTGCCCAATTCCCAAGAATGTTCAAGTCCTCCTGTAATAATAATAATATAATATAATCTTTGCATTTGATATAGCACTCTTCACATCTTATCGACGTCTCAAAGTACTTCACAGAATATGCTGTGAAGTGAATTGACCAAATATTTGTGGGCGAAACGCGGCAGCCAATTGCACACAGCAGTGTCCCACAAACAGTTGTGGATTGAAATGACCAATTTATTATTTATTGATGGAGTATTAGTGGGGTATTAATGGTTATTTATGGGGTATTAATGGGTATTAATGAAAATGTAACCTATCCTGTTCATCTTTGCAGCCTACCATCTACACTAGCTTTGCGTCATCTGCAAATCAACTGTACTTGTGATGCCTAGCTCCAGGTTGTTTATGAAGATGTTAAATAAAAGAGGTCCCTCAAGATCCTTGTCCTCATCTTAAAAGCCCTCCAAGGTCTTGCTCCTACCTACCTCTGCAAGCTATTAAAACTTCAACAATCCGTTGGCTACCTCTGCTCTGTAGGGACTGCCTGCTCCACATCCCTCACCCTACCTGCTCCTCTTTTGGCGGTCAGACTTTCAGCCTTTCTGCACCCACCTTTTGCAACTCCATCCCGGAGTCCCTCCATCTTACCCCCTCCCTTGCCTCCTTTAGGACTCATCTCAAGTCCTTCCTTTTCAACTGTGCCTTTAGTCATCTTCCCTCCTCCACCCTCATTGCCCTCACCGCTCTTTGATCCCAACCCACAGCTCGGGTACAAACCAGTGTCTTGGGATGTCCTCCCCTATTTCCATTTCAGATACACTTCAGCACACACCAAGGACATGAAAAATCTATCGAAAACCTCCCTTCTATTGAGGTATCAGAAAACAACAACAAACTGCATTTATATAACGATGTGAAAGTCATTATTTAAATGCAATTTGTTGTTTTTTCTGATAACTCAATAGAAGGGAGCTTGTCGATAGATTTAGTGGTGTGTGCTGAAGTATTTCTGAAATGGGCATAGTTTTAGATTTAGATAGTAGTGGAGTAGGGTTCCACATTACAACAAAAAACAGGACACAACACCATTCTGAAAATACTGAGAGAAGTAGATAATTTAATAATGAGGAAACGACTGAACTTGGATTGTGAATGCTGAACAGGATTAGAGGGATCTTTCTATATATGTGGCGGAGGAGCTCCAAAGGGCGGGGGCAGAAAGCCCGATTAGAGCATAAGTTTACTCAGAGTGGTCAAGATGCTGAATAGGTATTCATCTTGATTAATACCTTTAATAAGGACTGGTTAAATATCATTTTTCATTGGCTTTAAGGACAAACTTTTGCCCTCCTCTTCGACCGTGTCTTCGATCATCTTCCCTCCCTCCCTGCCTGCCCTCCAGCCTCCCCCATTCCGACCCCCAGCTCGGGTCCGAAACACTGGAACGTCTTCCCGACATGAAAGGAGCTGTACAAATGTAATTTTGTTGTTATATAAATGCAAATTGTAGTTGTTGTTGAACTGCAACATTTAAAAGGACAATATCACTCGGTGAGGCAGTTTGGGATCCTGGATCATTGGAAAACAGTGCACATTCCTTTAATAATAATAATAATAATCCTTGCATTTGATATAGTGCTTTTCACGTCGGGAGGACGTCCCAAAGCGCTTCACAGAACACAGTGTAAAGTGAATTGACTGTATGTTTGTGGGCGAACGCGGCAGCCAATTGCGCACAGCAATGTCCACAAACAGTCGTAGATTGAAAATGACCAATTTATTATTGTTTTTGGTTTTGGAGGGATTATTATTAGGGCTCTGTGTGGAGTAAGGAAACTTGCCCAAGGTTTCGCCCTCTGCCTGGAATTGAACTCAGGTCTGTCTCTCACTTGCAAAGCGAGTGCTCTAACCACTGAGCTACAGGACTCCAGGCACAGAGACATTTCCAACGTGTGTCAGTCAGGTGGCATATTCAGTCTGTCTGGGATCACACCAGTGATGGGGTTCCTCATGTACCACACGTGACCAAAACAGACACCCGCCAATCTCCTCCTCCTCTCCCAGTCAGTACTGATGACGTTGTCTCCGATTCAAATCTGGCGCCATTCCCCCCCCCCACCGCCCGCCCGCCTCGCGCTTCCTGTTTCCGGTCAGTTGTCAGGTGAGGGTCGCGTGACGGCGCGTGCGCGGTGTCTGGGTCTGTGGCTGAAGATGGCAGCGACCTGAGAGCGAGAGGCACCCACAGCGACACAGCCCGAGCGGCTCACTGCAGGTCAGCCCGGCCCGGCCCGGCCCCGGACACTGCGGCCGCCAGCGGTTGTGTGTGTGGGGGAGAGAGAGAGAGAGAGAGAGGGTGTGACAGGGCTTCGGCCTCGGCCGCCCGGGCAGCAGCGGACTTCAGTGCGGCTCGGGCGGAGGCCGGCGGGGGTCGGGCCGGCAGGCAGGCAGGCAGGCAGGCCGGGGCGCTCAGTGCTGCCCGCCTCCGGGGCCTCGGCCTGGCTGCAGCTGTTGTTGTTGTTGTTGTGCCGGGACCCCACCCTGTCTCGCGCGAGGAGTTTGTCTCCAGGGCTGGTGCCGTGCCTGCCCTGCCCTGCCTGCCTGCCCCGCCCTGCAGTGTGTGTGTGTCACTGGCTGAGCAGCGGCGGGGCACCGGCAGTCGCTATACATTTTGCATTACATTTAGTTGAACTCGCACTTCAGGCGAGTACCGTTTCGTCACTTGCAGCGGTGGATGGGGTGAGTCGCCGCTGTGTTATTGCCCGACGCCGCCGTGGACTTCGTTCGCTGAGAGGTTCAGTGTCGGGACTGTGGTGTCAGCTGTTTAAAGCGATATTCCAGGAGGAGACCGATTCGATCGAGACCGCCTCTGATTTATCCCTCCCGCAGTTTTGCTCAGAAAGCACAGGCGAACGATAAAGAAAGTCGCTTTTGAACCCTGACTTCCCAACTTACTTACACATCAGTGTTCAGCAGAGCGGCGCTCGGATTTCAATTGGCACTGAAATTACACAGTCGTCCAAAGGGAAGTGTGTGCGAAACGCAACAATACTGCAAATCTGAAACACAAACAGAAGTCGCCGGGAACAGTCAGCACAGCACAGCTCAGCTCAGCACAGCTCAGCTCAGGGCAGTGCAGGGCAGCAGCTATGGAGAAAGGAAAGTGAGTCAACGTTTCGGGTCCACGACCCTTCGTCAGAACTGGGGCACGTTGGGAGGGAGAGGCTTTTAAGGAGAGGGAGGAGGCAGGGCAAGGAATACAGAGGGAACAGGGGGTAGAGGACAGGGGGTGGTGGATTAAGGGGGTGTTAATGATGCAAATCAACAACAACAGCAACAAGATTGTATTTACAGAGCGCCTTTCACGTCGGGAGGACGTACCAAAGGCGCTGGACAGTTGGGTCAGGACCCGAGCAGGGGGGCAATGGTCAGGGTGAGGGGAGGGAAGGGAGGGAGCGAGGAGGGGGATTGCCACTAAACGGGGCGAAAGGGGGTGTTAATGATGCAAAACAAAGTGGGGTGGGGGGAATTGCAACAAACAGGCAGACCAGAGAGAGGAAAGGTGTGTCTAGGATCTAGATGTTGTGGTAATGGTTACAGAAGAGGGGAAGGTGAGCTCTTATGGTCTGAAATTATTGAAATCAATATTGAGGCCAGAGGGCTGTAAGGTGAAGTAGATGTGTGTGTATAAGAGTTGGAGGAGGAGGACCACCCTTTTAAGATCTGTAAGATGGCCTTAAATGTGTGACAGTGACTGAAGAATAATTGTATATACTCTTCAGGTATAATTGTATATACTCTTCAGGTAGAGCATGTTAAATGATTGTTCCTGCTATAGATGTCTTTGGGTGCTGTGAATTTGGAAATGAGGACTCAGCAACAGGTTAACATTGTACGGTACTTGTAATTTTAACTAAAAATAACTCAAATCAGGGAATTCTACACCTAATTGTGTTCAGTCTATACAACAGCTTTCTTAAATTTAATTAATAGTGTGAATGTAAAATAGGGCTTTTCTTTGAACACAGGATTCCTTGTGACCTTGTTTTATCTTCAATTATTGCAGAGTGATTACTGGACCAAATCATCTGGAGTATTTGGGATCTTTACCATCAGTACTAAGATGTATTTTAAAATGTTTAAGCAGTGCAGACATCTGTGGACAGTATAAATCTGCCCAATATCTGAGTATATTGGAGAGTATTCATTTTATACACTATCTTCTCCCTTTTCTATGATCTTTTTCCTATGGTCCTTTTTGAATTTGGCACTTTCACCTTATGTCCAATTGATTCTATCGATTTTTCAATATGGCTTCTAACTATTATATGATTATATTGCAACTAGGCTTCTTAAGAATGGGCTATATACAAAACCAGCACAGCAATGCTTATTAGCTATGTAGTAGTAATAATAATAATTGTTACATAATTGCAAAATATTTGTTTTATTCACTGAGCCGTATTAATTCTAACTTTCTGTCTTATAGTGCATTTATTTGTTCACCAAAAGTTGCTAAATGTTGGATTTCATTTGAGAATTTTTTTAATAGTAGAAATTTTAGCTTTTTCTGCATCCTGTGAATGTTTTCATGCTAGGATTTTTTTCTCATGCTGGATTTTTCCATGTGCTGGGAGTTTTGTAGCTCAGTGAATATAGCACTCGCCTTGCAAGTGAGAGACCTGGGTTTGATTCTTGATAGGGCGAAACCTTGGGCAAGTTTCTTTACTCCACACACCTGATAATAATCCCTCAAGAAAAAAAAACAATAATAAAATTGGTCACTTCGATCCATGACTGTTTGTGGGACACTGCTGTGCGCAATTGGCTGCTGGGTTTTGCCCAAAATATACAGTCAATTTTAATATTGCGCTTCCCAGACAAGGCGAAACGTTGGACAAGTTTCCACACTCCCCGTGCCTCTATTTACCTAGCACAAGTAGGAACCCGATTATTAGTCAATTGGTGGATCGCTTTTCCGGAGGTAATAAACCCTAAAAAAATAATAGATTGGTCACTCAATCCAAGTCTGTTTGTGGGACACTGCTGTGAGCAATTGGCTGCTGCCTTTTGCCCACAAAATATATAGTCCATTCACTTTACAGTATATTCTGTGAAGCGCTTTGAGATGTCTTGAAGACGTGATAAGGCTCTATTATCAAATGCAATGATTATTAAATCTAGGTTATTAAATAAGCACAAGTTTCAATACTTGCTTTTAAATTCAATGTTGTCTTTGTCAGCAGTTCTTGATTATGTGTTAACTGCTTTAGTCAATGAATTTATTCTTCTATAACATAATCTTTTAGTTTTAAATTAGTCTTCATCCCAATGCTTTCTGACTAAAATGTCAAATTTGAAACCGTTTAAGCCTTTCCTGACGCTGCAAAATTAAATTTGGTGGATTGTTTTTCCATGGTAAAATGAAGCTTGCATTCTTTAAACACAGCATACTGGTTATGCACTTTGTTTTAGATGGCATGATCAATATAGCTAAGTGCATATTGTTAGAGCAAGTCACATAAGATGTTTTTAAGTGCATTGCATTGATCAACAGAATAGGCTTGCTTAATGCCTACGTTCTGTTTGATTTAGTTGCAAGTTATGTAATGTTAAAGCTTTAGTTGATAGAATATTAGTTGTCTAAATATTAAAAAACAGTGCAGATCTGAACTTGGTCAAAATTAATTACCAGAAATTTATAACTAACTCTACATGATTTAAGTGTACAGTTCTTTCCACCATCTATCCGTAAGAGTTGCAGCCTCAGTCCTAAGCTTTGTTTATTAACATGGTATGTAAAAAAATGAAATTGAGAAGCTCAAGTCTGCTGATGACAAATTGACCTGTTGAAAGGGTTTCTTTTCACAACTAAGCATGTAAGTGAGTGCAAAATGGAGATTTGCCAATGGAATCTTTTAAGTGTGTGTGCGTGCACAGAAAATAGTGTAGAACTACTATACGTTTGTGGAATAGGTATGTAGAACTAAGTGCACATTATTCCAATTTGAAAACAATACAGTACAGTACATTTGTTAGGCTTTGGAGTGTTTTAACTTTGATTAACTTTTTTTATTTGAGGATTTTTCTTGTGTGTAGCCTTGGTCAGATCAAATCTGCGTTATTTAGTGGCTATGAATATTTTGTACTCCCAATTTTTTTAGGGGCATTTATAAAAAGTACCTTCACTGAATTAACTGGCAGAGGACTGACAACTCATCGCAAGTAAGTTAGTCTTCATTTCAGTCATGCATGTTCATTCAGTTAGTTCAGGCATGTTTATACATTATAAAAAGATGCGGAACACCATTTGGGGTCTCTGTTGCCTTTGGGTCTTGTTTCGTTCCTTCCCTTTATACCTATACTGACCACTTTTTATTTAAAACATGCTCTCATTAATTCTCCCTTTCGTGCAGAAAGAAAACTGAAAGCTGGAAGTCTGAAATAAGTTTCAGATTCACCATAGAAGGAGGTTTATTCCATAGTTTACCAGTTTTTCTCCCATGTCTGAACAGTATACCAGTAAAACCACCCCTTCTGTTTTTGCTTTTAAAACGTTTCTGTGGATTACTGTGCTTACTCTTATTGTTTTGTGTTGGAATAAACTAAACCCTTGTTTGTTGCTCACAGAAAAAAAGTTCCAGGATGGTAGTTGTGCTGGCTTGACTTTTTTTCCAGTGCCTGTACTCAACAAGGCATAAGGATCAGAATAGCAAATGCAGCCAGTTTAAGCTTCTGTGTTAAATATTCAATTCTTAGTTATTGTAAATTCATACCCTTTCCCCAGGTAGCGCAGAGAATGTATTTTGGAGTAATTGGACATAGTGACTGGTGTTCTGAGCTGCATGTGTTTTTGTATTTGTGATTCAGTAACTTAGAAGTATGAGACAATTTATTATTTTCTGGAACTAAAAGAAACAAAGTTTCCCCCCCCCCCCCAACAGTTGTAGAGAAATTTTAAAGAATTAGATGAGCATTCACTTAACTGTTTATCATATGCCTTCAGAAATGATTTTGTAAAAGACTGCTTACAAAGAATTTCCGTGTGGAAACGGGCCACTTGGTGTTTATACGCCACACAAATCTTCACCTGTTCCTTACTGCACTCCCGTATCCTTCTCTCCCATTTGAATGCATCTATACTAACTGATTCAAGCACTGCTTCAGGCAGCGCGTTCCATAATCTAGTGAACAGTCGTGGTCCTAACACGGATCGCTGCCGAAAACCACTTCCTTTTGCCAGCCTGAGAAGATGCCCTTAACTCCTACCTTTTCCTTTCAGTTTTCCAATCATTCTTTAATCCATTCTGCTACCTCACCCACAAATTCACATTACCCTATTTTAGTCATGGACCTCTTTTGTAGCATTTTATCAAAGGCCTTTTGGAAATCCAGATACACTACAGCCATTGCAGTTCCCTTGTCTACTTTATTGGATTTGATGAGGTTGGTCAAGCATGACCTCCTTTTATAAATTTGTGCTGACTGCTCTTAATTATATTCTCCTTCTACAGATAACTGGTTAAGTTCATCTTTTATTCTAATAACTTTCCCAGACCTGATGTTAAGCTGACTTTTCTTTTAACTATCACTTGTTCACCTATCTCATCCAAATTGTCGGAGGCAAAAAAATTGCAGGGACAGCAGTCCTTTTCAGTATTTGGTGCTGCATAGGAGCAAAGTGTGTACATAGTTTTCTCTGAGCATGGCTGGTTGTGAGTGTGGATATTATAATCTTTATATTTGATACGTTTAGACTAAACTAAATTTAGGTTTGTTCGATTATAATTTCAAAACCCCCAACATGTGCCTTGAACCCACAAACTGATTGAGAAGGGGATGCTATCATCTGAGCTTGGCTGACGCTTGTTAACATATTTAGTATTTCACATAGTTTATCTTGGGATAGAATATTTATAGCCCAGTTATCAGACAAGAGAAGGGAAATAATCCAAATGCTGAGCTGCAGAAAGACAGTCGGGTAAGTAGATAGAAAGTGCCAAATGGAATTCAATGTAGTCAAATGCAAAGTAGTGTGTTTTGGGTGGAAGAGCAAATAAATGTGTGTCCTAAATTGTAATGACTTTGATACTGGAAACTAAAGAGCACAGGAACAAAAATACCGGAGGGCAAGTAAACCGGTCCATTAAAACAGTAAATTAAATTCTAGATTTTATATATTATGGCAGTTGAATGCAGGAAGGCAAAATAATAAACTTGTTTGTTGGAGTTAGAGAATTGTTCTATTTGGACACTGCATTAGAGAAAGGATATCATAGACTTGTGCTAGGAAGATAACCAGGGATGAAATGTTAGATCTGTGTGGAGAGGTAAAGGTGGGCTTTATAAAGCTTTAGCAGATAAGGTTAAGGAGAGGGTTCAAAATGATGACTGGCTTCAAATGGAGCTAAATTAGACTTTCAACTGAATTGATAACAAGGATATAAATTGAGGATCATCAACATTGGAATGTCTTAACAATGATTCTTGAAGCCAAGTCCTTAATGATATTTCAGTAGATTGGAAAATTACTTGAGTAAAATACTGAAGGAATGAGGAGGTGGGAAGGGGATGAGGTGGGGCTTGTTATCACCTTTATGGACCTGATAGGCTGAATGCTCCCATTCTGTAACCATTCTGTAATTTCTATGACACTTGAAAGTCATAGAGAGAGTTGATTTAATGAGACTTGCCTATACTCCATGTCAGACTAAACCTTCAAACGTTGTATAGACATGTTTAGGCTCTTAGTCACAATAAGAGTTGATTGTGCTTAAACCAGGGCAGATTAATTCCAGCTGCTACACCCCATCAACAATCTGTATAACACGTGCAAAGAATGTCAGTTGTGAAGCGTCAGGTGTTGCTTGTACATGTGCAGAGCTGGAATTTTTTTGTTTACAGAAGCTAAATTATGGAAGCTTCTGGACAAGAATTGCTGGAACACCAATTGAACCTCATGAAAATATCTAAAAATGAAAATCAACACTTGCCTGACCAGTCTCGCTTTTTGAGATGATATCTCAAATTGACAATAATTTTAGAAATGACAGATGTTAGGAAATTTCACACTTGAGTACTTGGGTTTGGAGTTGTGAAATGCCACTAGAAAGTGTTTTTTTTAGATTTTTTAGCTGGAAAGTAATATCTATAGCAAATCTATCTGCAGCTCTAGAGCAGACCATAACACATTTTGTTAAGGTCTTGTTAATAACCTTACTTTTTGTAAGGTTATTATGCTTAATTCGCCCACAAAATATACAGTCAATTCACTTTACAGTATATTCTGTGAAGCACTTTGAGATGCCTCAGTGTTGTCCAGTCTTCAAAATGAAGATTAGGTATTGGAAGGCTGGCAATCTCTGCATAACTATATCCCAAATTAAATCTCTGACTTCAGGAGCAGAACAGTGAGGAACGTGATTGGGGAGGGAGGCCAGAGGAAGAGGTCAGAGGCCAGAGGAAGGCTTCATTGCTTAGAAGTAGAGAAAGTATAACCCAAGATACACTTCAAGCAATCAGATGGCTTTAATGAATTGTGCCACTCTGGGTTGCTTGAAGTGTATCCTCGTAGTAAGTTACTGAATTTATCCTGGGGCAGTGGGAGATGGCTCCCAACTCATTAGAAAAAATGAGGAATGTTTTCTCATAAGCAAAATATGTTGTAGGTTCCTGAATACAGAATGAAAGTTCACCAATTATTTTTTGACTTCCTACCTGTTAATCTTTGGTGTATGTTATTTTTGCGTTTGTCATTGGATACCTTTGGAGCATCCTACTCGCTGGGTAATGCCTTGGTTAGCAAAGCTCTTGCAGATTGATAATCAAATCTTTTAATTTGTTGCATTTTCCCTGGCTATCTACTTATATTTAGCATGTTATTCTTAATTTTGCGTCAGTTTGTATTCATAGACTCATTTTTCAACTCAGGAGGAGGCCATTAGGTCCATTGTGTCTATCCTTGCTGTAAGAGCATTCTGTTTAGTCCCCACTCCCCTGTCTTTTTCCCTCCAATCCAGTATACAACATTTACATTTATATAGCATTTTTCGCAGCGGGAGGTTGTCTCAAAGCGATTGTCAGTGCATCATGTAATTTGAGCGGGCGCTGGGCTGGTTGCTCCAGAGCGGGTGAGCCATACTAATGGCTTCCAGGAAGCGCCACAAGGTTGTTGAGTCAGGCATGCGAGTGCTTTCTCATTCTGCTACAAGAAATGTATTAGTACCTCATCACTTCACTTGTTGCCTTGTTTGAATAGCCTGTATAGAGATCATGTTGCATTAACTTTACAATATCTCTGCAGGATTATGATGTTATTTCTCTCTCTCCCTCCAGGTCTCGCATCAAAATGAATATTATTAAGGAAAACAAGGACTTAGCCTGTTTTTATACAACAAAACACTCATGGAGAGGAAAGTAAGTATTCCTCCTTTATTAGATCTTGATAGCGGTTTGGTGTAAATCATGAAGCAAAATTTTGTGTAGCTGTGGTTATTATTTACTTTTTTTGTAAAAATGGCCTCTTGATTTTTCAAGCACTCTGCAAAAATCCTCTGTTGGTCTCAGAGTTGCCAGGGTTAAATGAGACAAATATTGCAAAGGTGCTATCCATGTCCTAGGAGAGCAAAAGGAAGACTGAATTGCTGAATGGAATTGTCCACTCAGAATTTAAATTGGTCCTGAAAAATATGCAGGGCAAGTTCTAGGATTATTTCCTTCCTGAATATAGCTCTACTCATTTGAAACTTTCATTGTGATAAGAATGGGAAGTGAAAAATGCTTGCTAAATGGCAGGATGACGCCTTAATGCTTTCATACTTTATTTTAGTTTAAGTTTAGGTTTAAGTGATGAAAGACTCAGCATGTACCTAAGATGAAAACATGATTCAATTGTGTGTTTGTGTGACAGGAAATTACTTCAGTTGGAGTTTGCAATTTTTATCCTCAAAACACTTTGTTTATTTTCTCATTTATAAAATAGAATGCACATACTGACTTATATAACCTGCCAGTCAATGCTAAATACATTAAAACATAGACTGTTTTTTTTTAGTGAACAACTGCATGGCATCTCTTAAAACATAGTAGTCACTACAATTGTCCCAACAATATTGCTCATAGCCACAATAAGAATAATTGACCACGTATAGTGGTGACACATGTACCATTTATCTCTTACATTCCCAAAATACTAGCTTTCAAGAAAAGATTCAGTGCTATTCTGCCGAGTCTCAAACTACATTGAAGCAAGGTGCAATTGGCTTTGGGTGATGCATCCATCCTCAGGCAATCAAAAAATCTGGCAAAGTTAGATCTTCACCAAATTGATCCCATGCTGCCTGGAGTGTTAGCTCATTACCATTCTAGCTACAGTTTGGTGGGTGAACACCCTTCAGCTGCTATGCCCTTAACCTCTGGAACTCCCTTCCTCTACCCCTCAGTCTTGCCCATGCCCTTTATCCGACTTTAACTCTTGCCTTAAAAAAACACTACGGTCACCTTTTCTCTGCTATGCCTCTAGCCCCAGACCTGTGAAGCTCAGAAGTTTATCCTGAAGGGCACCATATAAACACAAGTGTTTTTGCTTTTCCATTGATGACTTTCTTTTATGAATGCTGATTTCTGCGGAAGTTGTAAAAATGAATGTAACAACAACAACAAGCTTCATTTATAGAGCGCCTTTCATGTCGGGAGGAGGTCCCAGCAACTACCCAGCAGTTCAATCTCTGTAATGTGAATCATTATTGTGCCTCTGTTAGGTTCATTTTCCATGTTATTTCATAAGTCAAATGGATACTGCAACATTTCACTTGGGTGGGGTAATCCTTTACAGATTGTGACGTAAGTCTGCTTCCTTGTTCAAAGTACTATATAAACAATGCTAATTATAGAACCTAATGAGTTATAGTGTGGAGATTGTATTATGTACTTTCATACAATAAAAATGCTTGATTACAGTACCGTATTGCAAACATGATGAGTTAGGCATTTATGAATATTTTGGGTTCTCTTGAATGAGACTGCCATATCTAGATGGTTTCATCTCTGAGCTGAATGGTATTTTCCATTTATTCTACCTTTTTCAAACTAATTGAAGTTTTTTCTGCTTTAAAATCTCATCTTTTCAAATTCTTGCTTGCATTTCATTTTTTTCCAGTTATTGTTCATTTTGGAAGGTGAGAGGGAATTTAAGATGATTGGTATTGTTTTGACTGTATGGTTCTCAAGGAGTGACAGATTGTGACACCTTTTTGATTTTTTGTGTAAAAGAGTATATTGATCCATAAATAGCACCTTGGGCAGCACTTGATCTTTTTGTGTGCAGTTTGTATATATTCTTTAAAAACATGTGTGCTTTCAAAAAAAAAAAAAAATCCTTGTGAAATTAGTTCTGTTGGACCACGAGAGGGAGACTAGCACAGTTGTCGGTGCAAACAAAACATTATTTACAACTATTTTGAATCCTCAAACTTATCTTCATTTCTCATATCTTGTTTTCTGAGGTGGTTTGTTTTCTTAGATGCTTTCCAGAGCTGTTTAAAAGGGAGATTGCTTGGGTGGGAGGGTGTCAGAAATTGTATGTAGACTAATTTTCATTGTGCCATTTGGAGCAGTAATATTATGAAATTCTTGGTTTCTGATCGTTTGGGAAATTCAGACAAGCAGCGGAGTACATAAGCAGAATTGAAATGTGCTTTCGCAAGCAGTCTTGAGCAGCTCTTCAACAGCTGTGTGGCAAACTTCCTGTGCGAATTGATTGACATTATGGTTGGAAGAAAACATTGAGCTGAATCAGCTGATATTTGAGGATTGTAAACTTTCAGTATTGAAATGATTTAAGTTGATGGAATTGTGCAAACTATGTGTTAGTAAAATAACTAAAACTTGATTTAAGGCCACTTATTAATAAAATGTAAGGTTAAAAACAAATCTTGATTTTATTCTTTGTGTTGCTTAAAGTGACTGATTCTGCAGTTTTCCTGTGGATGAATGAATCTTGTCTGTCAAAGTAAATTTGTTTCTATTGGAAACGATAGATTTTGTAAAATGTCTCTTCTGACATGTGTTCTGCTCAAAAAAATCAGATCTTCAAGTTCAGAATTAATATGCATTGACCCCAGATTTGCAACTTTCCAGCTAATGAAATATAATTTCTATATGTAGATCAACTCGTGGTCAGGCAGCCCTACCACAAGAGCTGGTTGCTGTCCAAATCTACTTTCTGGAACAGTGGATTTCAAAATCTTCACTCTGAGAATAAATTAATTCTTGTGTCAGTCCAAATTCCTTACAGGCCTCATTTTAAGATTGTGACTTCGACTACATATAGGTGAAGTTTGGAACAAATCTCGGTTTATTTTCATTTATCATAACCAGAGTAGAGGAATTGGGATGCAAAGAGTAGATTGTAAGGACTGTAAGGACTTTGACCTATGTTAATTGAGAGAAGGGAACCAAGTACACTGGAATATGTTTGATCAGTATCATCACAGATAGCATTATGAGCTCGCCTCCAATGCCTGTTGAATTGGCTGGACAGTGGGTGCATTCCCATCTGGTGTCAGGAAAACAAAATTAGGCAAGCAGATTGCAAACAGCAAGAAATCAATTATGGTCAATTTGTTCCTGGCTACTGTGTGATCTGAATGAACCTGGAGCCTCACAGCCAAAAATTCAATTCAATTGCCTTGTTGCATGCTCCTCAGCAGCTCAAATTGTGATGAGGTGAATCTGTGTACTGATACATTTCCCTACATGTGTAGATAAGTATAGAGATTAAGTAATTTTTAAAATTGGGATAAAAATTGATGATGCCGAATCCCACGTGTTCCAGTGCTGCTTTCAAGAAAGGCATCCTTTATTCCAGAGGACATACTAAGTTAAAGCATTCATCTGGCTTGTTCACCTAATCACTGACTTGGTTTGAAAAATTATTTAACTTGAAGCTTCTTGTTTTTCACATCCATGTATTGAGATTAATGTTTGCTTTTGCCTTAGGTACAAACGTGTCTTCTCGATTGGTTCACATGCTGTAACCACATACAATCCGAGTACCCTAGAAGTTACCAACCAGGTAATAAACAACATTGTTGTCTTAATATTTTGATAAATACAATAAAACTTTGAAACAAATTGTTGCATTGCCTAAGAACTAATATTCATTGCATTAAGAAAATGTCTCCAGGAAGACTGACTTGATGGGCCAGTTGAGTTGTTGAGCTTCTATAAATTTTTCGGTCCTGAGTTTCTCTTTCCTTCTCCCTTGAAGGTAGACTCCTCCACTAGTTTGTTGTTCATGGGCACAAACACTCTTCACTGGCTTGTCCAAGTGGCAATACATCATTGTATCCTATTTAATCATAAAATGCTGGTTTCAGTAGAAATGATATTTCTGCATAAATAAGCTTAGATTTAACATATTCCAGATGTTTGCAAATTGTTTCCACTTTTCGTTCCCTTAATTTAGTTGTGCTTTTAACTGAAAGGAAATAGCAATTGCAATAAGTTGTACTGAAGTTCAGGAGGATTTGAATGTTTATTCTGTTTACAAAACCACATGTTGCACAAGCTCTTGTCTTTAAGAACGACTTAACATTCCATAAAAAAGCCACAGAACATTTTGTAATTGAAGTAAACCTCTTTCTTATAGTGGCCTTATGGTGAGATATGTAGCATCGGGCCAGTTGGGAAAGGACAAGGCACTGAATTCAATTTAAGTTTTCGTAAAGGAAGTGGAAAGAAGTCTGAAACCCTAAAATTTTCTACAGAGCATAGAACAGAGTTGCTGACAGAGGCACTGGTAAGATTTCAACTTTTTATCTAATACAGTATTTATCAAAGTGTGGGAAATCACTTCAATGTGTAGTAACTTACTGGTTGTAAACCAAATCAAATGGATTTGACTTAGCATTATTTATCTTGTGCATGTAATTGTCCAGCTAGTTTGATCAAATGATGAGCTGGACCTTTTCTCTGTTTCAGGTGTTCTGCTACTTAACTGCCTCAGTTCAGCATGTAAATTAACTGCTGTGTGTACATGTGCTAGAGGATTAAAAAACTATTGCTTTGTGTCTGAGTCAAGGTCAGATTGGTGGGATGAAAAGTTCTGTTATCTGTTAGGCCGCTTGAAGTTCATGCAAATCATATTATGTACAAGTCCAATGTTCCCTGTACTTTGTTTTGGTTAGAAGTGTTTACACTTTTGGAAGTAATGGTTTTCAAGGCTTTTTAATTTGTTCCTTTAACTGGCATCAAACACTATAGTTGGGGGCAGACTTCTTGCTAAGTGTATAAATGTTTTTCTTAAATATACTTGTGAGGCTATTCAAATCTGAACCTTCATAGTTAATTAAATTCTGTTTGAGTGAGATAGTTTGGGAGTACAAATTCTGGTGAATTACCTCTCTCAAATCTTGAGATGCTATGACTAATTCTGCAATATTTATTGGTACTATTGAGTTTGACTAATACAGAATTTGAAGTTTTCTAGTATATTCTGCACGTGAGGCCTTCTGGAGCAGTACATTATCACAATCTTCTCTGTAAAGAAATGTTTCTTCATTTCACTTTTAACTAGCTGTAAGCGTATGCCCCCCTTGAATTGGATCTGTCTATCAGTAATGCCAGTGAAGATCACATTTACTTTTACAATTAGGTTCTCTGGTTTCCTTTGAAATTTAAGAGTGTAACTTCAAATGCATCTGCACGTGCACAATCGCACTGTTTGGATGAAACTAGAATACATTGTGTGGTCATATTTGTCTGCTCTCCTCATTTTAAATGCTGCAATCAGATGACCCTTTAACCTCACTGATTCTGGGGAATATAAACCCAAATTCGGGTAGATTGCCCCCAAGTAATCATTGGAAAAATAAGCCTTCCGGTACTGTCAGCAAGTGGAAAAATGCATGGTGTCTGCAAACACCCTGAATTTCTTACTATCTTTGCATGTCAGCATTATAACTCCCCCTTCCTACCCCATATAGTTTTTTGATGTCTAAAGTAAATAGCGGATTACTCTCATGGGCAATCTACATTGAAGTAATAGATTATGGAATGTTTTAATTTGTAAATTATTTTGCATGTTAAACTAGAACCTGCTTGCATTTGAACAAACTTCCCACATCAGCTGTGTAGACAGTTGATTTCAAGAGGGACATGGTGAAGATTGTAAATTTGTAAACTGTAACATAGTTTTGTATAGTTGCAGTCTTGACTTAAGCTGATAGAAGAACACCAACTTTTAAGAAAATAGGACTTCTCAATAAGCCTTTATTTTATGGGTTGTATATAGCAATTACAGTGATGGCATATACTAAACACTAATGTGCCATCTTTGATGCAGATTTAACTTTTGCTGTTAAATGTTTTAAAATTTCTTGACTAGAGTATCTTATTTCCTTTTTTAGAGATTCAGGACAGAATTTTCAGAGGGTAAAATCACTGGAAGGGTGAGTTGCTAAAGATTTCCTCAGATTCCAAACCCTTAACCGGCTGACTTGTCAAGTTTTGCAACCGTTTCTTTGTTTATAGATTTGAGCTATGGCTTATCACTGAAAAGTACAGTTGACATTAGGTACCCCTTCACCATACTTAGACTCTATTTTTCGTTGGAGTTTATCTTGTATTTTAGTTTCTAGCTCACTGGATCTTTCCTGTTTGTGATTGAGAACATAACCTTACAATCTGCCTAAACTTCCTGAGTTTGAAAGGCTTCAATGGAAGTTATATTTGACCGTTGCAGATGAATAGCAATTGTTTTTGTTTTTTGTCGTGTGGAAGTCTGGTTCGTTGCATTTCATGTTTTAATGAATCTTAGTCCACATAGAAGATATGGTTTACAATTCATTACTCTGTTGCTAGTCTCGTACAAGACCCACATGATGGAATGGTATGTGAAATGAAAACTTCTTAGTTTGAGATTGAAGATAATTCATTGCATTACGCTTCTGACGGCAGATTCAGTCACTTCAGTAATGTGTAGGTGCTTTGGCTTCCTTTAAAATGTAAGTAACTTCACATATACAATGGTATTATTTTGGATGAAGCTAGAGTGCATTGTGTGGTCAGATAATCTAATCTAAAATGCATACATGTTGGTTTGAGAGGCAGTTGCATTCAACAACTTTTCGTAGTGTTTCATATAAGAAAAATTCTGCCCATTTCTTCCATCCTGGTATTTAATTTTGTTGTTGTTGATACCACACACAGCCTTTCTATGCCTCAATTGATTTGTAATGTAAATGCAGCAGAGACTTGGTTACAATGCTGTAGTGTAGAAGGTATACTATATGTAGGGTGAGTTGACCCCAGATTCCATGGTAGCAAAATTAGTGGGATCCTGTATCTCAGTGGTTAGAGCACTTGCAAGCGAGAGACCTGAGTTCGATTCTCAGCAGGGCAAACCTTGGGTAAGTTTCCTTACTCCACGCACCTGATAATAATCCCTCAAGAAAAAAACAATTATAAATTGGTCACGTTAAACCATGACTGTTTGTGGGACACTGCTGTGCGCAATTAGCTGCCGCGTTTCACCCACAACTATACAGTCACTTTACAGTATATTCTGTGAAGCGCTTTGAGACATCTAGAAGATGTGAAAAGCACTATATCAAATACAAGGATTATATTGTTGAAACCAGTACTGACATCCCTTTTTCTTCAATGCAAAAACGTCTCCCACAGATTAACTTTCACACTAGTCACTTGACTACACTTGAACAATTTAAATCCTGTTTCCACATCTTGTGTAAAACAAATTGCAAGACTTTGTACAAACACGAACCTTTTGGATGTATTAAAATTGCAGGTGTAATAGCTTTGCAATCCAGGTATAAACATTTTTACAGGTGATTGGGATTTCAGCAATCCAGACTGATATGTCTGCCTGGACCTTTAGGAAGAGAAAATATTGGTGAGATGTAAAATTTTTAAGGATCTGATAGAACTATGATCAGCATTATGAATACTATCTGTTTCACTTTTTTTAGCGATATAACTGTTACAAGCATCACTGGAGTGAAACCAGAAGTCTGTGGCCCTTGAAGTTACACCTGGAGGCATTGATCAAATTGATCCTTCAACTAATAAAATCCTCTGCTCCTATGACTACAAAAATATTGAAGGATTTGCAGAGGTTTCAGATTATCAGGGAGGGTTTTGTATAATTCATGGAGGATTTAGTCGACTGGTAAGTAACCTTTTTCACAATAGCTTTACTTTGTCTGCTAAAAGCCTAGTTTCAATATTTAATGTGTTAGACTAATTTGTAATGTCAAATTGTCTGTATTGCAAAATTGATGGTTACATTTGCAGCTAATAATAATAATAATAACAATCCTTGCATTTGATATACCGCTTTTCACATCGGGAGGACGTCCCAAAGCGCTTCACAGAACACACTGTAAAGTGAATTGACTGTATTTGTGTAATTTATTATCAGTCTGTATGCTTACTGTAAACTGCCCCTCAAAATTTCAGCATCTTTTTGCATCTGAACAAAGGGACGAAATCATCAAAAGTGCAATAGACCATGCAGGCAACTTCATAGGTATCTCCCTGCGTATCAGGAAAGAGCCACTCGTGTTTGATTTGTATCAGAATTATCGTTTTGGAAAGTACAGCAATGATGAATCAATTACATCACTAGCAGAATTCATTGTACAAAAAATTACACCTAGACATCTGGTAAGAATTTATTTTTGGATTACTATATTTAAGATTTTTAAAAAAATGTAATCTAGAGATATTAGATTTAGAAAGCAGTGCAATTATTTGACCAATAACTGCATTGATGTTTTTATAATTGTTTTGTATTGTGTGTAACAGCATAGAAGGTGGTTGTGTCTGTTATGAAGCATGCCCACAATTTCTAATTGAGCAGGTCACAATTTAATTATTTTTTTCCTTTTCAGGATCCAGTAAAGAGAGTATTAGCACTTACAGAAACCTGTTTAGTGGAGAGAGATCCAGCCACTTACAATATTGTCACGCTTAAACCTTTGGGAGAGGTTTGTATGATTTTTTTTTAAGAAGTTTAGCTTCTTAAGAGTTTGCTGTGTTTTCTTAATTTTAAGGTACAGGAATCGTGCTGTACACTTGGCAAAGAAGTGGGCAAATCCTTAATAGCTCACTTAGATGTAGGGCCAGAAGGTTCAGAGTTTGATTCCAAATGTATTCCTTTGGACAAATTGATTTTATTAATGTGTTTGCATTTGCCATATTTCAAAAACAATATTGTTATGATTGTTTGAAGGATTAGCTAAAAAAAATGAAATAACTAATTGGGAACTACCATACATTTGAGAAGCACAGCATGAGGTGTACAAAAACTTCACAGGATATGTTGGGTGCTGTGTTAGTGGGTCTGTGTGACATCCTGAGGGAAGTAGGCCAGGATTGAATAGAAGTGGATTAATATTCAGAAATGTTTGTTTAAAAGTAGCATACGTGCAAAACGATTTCATACCCAAAAGGAGGTTTGGTGCGGATGAAGTATGTGTTAAGGTGTAGGATACATTGAATTAGTTGGCTCAAATAGCCTTTTCTTGTTTTATTTGCTTTCTGATCTTCTAAGTATTTTCTACACTTCTGCAAAATTGAGGAACAAGTGAAGGGTAATTGTTAAGTTTTCGGTACAGCTTGTATTTTGTTATTATGTCATTTTAAACATACTGAAATGAAACGTATTTCAAGCAGGAGTAGACTATCAGTTCATCTAACTTACTCATCTATTTTTGCCACAAGATTCCTTTTGATGTGAATTATTTTAGTTAACAGGAACTTGTATAGTTCCCTTTTAAGATTCTTTGCTAGTAAATGGGTCAAAAATAGTCAAGAAGGGACTATTTTTCTTACAATACTGTACCTCTACTTCAGTAATCTTTTTCTTGCAGATATTTGCTCTGGTACGAGATTCTGAAAACCCTCAGCAATTTACCGTAGAGTATATTAAAGGGCAGATTCACAAATACGCATCCACCGAAAGGTAACTGATTTCAAGTATGCTAAACTAACAAAGGGAAAAAAATAGATGGAAACTTAATGCATAGAGAAACCAATCTAATATTATGACAAGAATGGAGACCATGTCATCCAGTAATGTGATTAAATCTCTTGTAAGACTATTTTGATCCTTAATTTATGAAAACGGGGATTCTAGTCTTCCTGGGCTAATTTTGACTCTCCAGTTTGCATGTTGAGAGTTCCATTGCAATAAAATGACCTATCAGTAATATTGTAATAACTGCACAACTAATGAACTAAACTTGTGCTGTATTAGTTCTGCTTGCTTAATCTTCCCTCACGTCGTCCATTTCTCATCAAGATTTGGGTTCACATTCAGATTATAAATATTGTTAAAAATGCAAATCTTAACTGGTTCCTGATTTTCTTGCCAGTTGGAGTGCAGCAGTGTGGCTTCTGATTGCCTGAATTTCAGTTTCAAAGTTTTTTTTTTTTTTTTTTGCTGTGCTGTATTTATTTTGTCTTTTTTTTCCACATAGTTTGAGTATCAAATACGATTATCCATCACATCTCATCTATGGTATCAACAGCTGTATGAAAAATCAGCTGACAAGTTTAAGCTTGTTTTGATGCATTTTTATGCTTGTCTAGGAGAGCGACGATGCTGGAAATTGAGTATTTTTGGTGTTGATCCAGTACTCAATCAGATGTGCAGACATGCACCAAACAATATATTGCACGTTTATATCATGCCTTTCACGACTTCTCAAAAGGCTCAATCCATCTGACTGAGCACCTGAGCTGGGAGTAGGAGCTGAGGTCGGTAGGCAGGAGAAAAGTGACCAAAGCTCATCCAAGACTTTATCTGATAAGTATTCAGTCAGATTAGCAGTGGTCTTGGAAACAAAGGTACAGGACGAGAGAGCAATGAGTGTCAACCATGTACATGTGGAAGTGAACTCCCACGACAATCAATAATGAGTGGGAACATTTAGATGGTGAAGACGAGAGGACCAAGGATAGAGCCTTGTGGAAAGCTGCATGTGATAGTATGGGAGGACGAGGGGAGAAACCATTTGATACCAAGTAGAGATGCGCGGACAGATGAGTGAAACCAGCGTAGGACAGAGCCATGAATGTGGAGATGAGAGCTGTTCTGAACCTGTATCCATTATTAAATAAACCAGGTTTATTTTTCATATGTCCCTTTCAGTCCACTGAGGATATTTTCATCTATTTAGTCTGCAGTAATTTCTCTTTTACAAAGTTGTAATTGAATTACCAGACTTTTGTTGAAAGCCTTTGCAGCTTCAGCTATTGATTTTTAAAGTACTGGATTTTAGGGTTCATAACCTGTGCACAGTATAAATATTTAGGTCGTATATTTTATGCCTTGTATTTATGTAGAGATGATTTGATTATTTTAAAGATATGGGCATATGAAATTGATTGACTGGTGCCCATGATTACTAATTTGTACATACCATGAATTAAACCAAGTAATCTAATGTGGGGAAATAACTAGGGAATGTTTTCTAATTTTTTGTAAACTTATTTCATACTCTTAATTAGGGTTGTGATTGAACACAATCTGATTTTATCTGAAGTAACTTGTGCTGAGACTGATTTAAGCAAATTAGATGCATTTTTGAATAATCTGAACACATTTTCATATTCAGAGATTCTCTACTGGCTAGCCTGCTGGATGGAGTGAGAGCCTCTGGTAACCGAGATGTATGTGTGAAGATGACACCAACTCACAAGGGGCAGAGATGGGGGTTAATGAGTATGCCAGTAGATGAGGAAGTAGAAAGTTTACATCTTCGGTTTCTAAATGCCCCACCAAGTAAGTGTTTGAATTCATGTGCATAATTATTTTTTTGAAAATGTTTGAATTATATTCATTAATAATAATAATCCTTGCTTTTGATAAAGCGCCTTATGTAATCAAAATGTCTCAAAGCACTTCACAGCATATACTGTGAAATGCATTGACTATGTATTTTGTGGGAGAAATTTTAAGTGTACTATTTACTGCATTAACACATCAGATGTTTTGCTTAATTGACTATTCAGATTTGAACAAAATTAAGTGGACTAATATACTGGTAGTTTTGATTTTGAATATAACTTTAGACTTTACAATTGAAAGATGCAGTTTTACATAGTAATACACTATTAAAAGCATTCTTTTTTAATTTGGTGGACAGACTCTTCATCACTTCATCATAAGGATTTTGAAAACCTAGCATTGTGTCAGCTTGCCCATTGCCTTTAAAAAATGGGTCTGTAGCTTCTTGAAAAGTAGAATTAAAATGTGCACAAAGTCAACAAGGAAGAAAGTACACTTTGGCAGCTGATAATCTACGTCTGGATGAAAACCTCATTGTAATAAGTTTCATTTCAACTTGTGTTTCAGATGGCAACTTTGCAGATGCTGTATTCAGGTTTAATGCTAATGTCTCATATAGTGGAGTTCTGCATGCAGTGACTCAAGATGTGAGTATTGTTTTCTTAAAAGCCTTACAAATCTTCACTTTCTACAAGTTTTTTTTCTTCTAGTTCTGAACATGTTATTTATTTTCTGCAGGGCCTGTTTTCTGAGAACAAAGAAAAACTGATTAATAATGCTGTCATAGCATTACTATCTCAAGAAGGAGATCAAACATCTAATAACACAGAACTAGAGAGCCAGTTTCAGGCTATAAGACGACTTGTTGCTTCAAAGGCAGGCTTTCAAGCATTTACACAGCTACCTAAGTAAGCAATCTAATGTCTAAATCGGATGGTAACCTGTCTTGTAAGTGTTGTAAATTAGCCAAGCCTGGAAGTTCTAGCACTCGTTCCTCATTTATTTCTGTTTCATTGGATTTAGTTTAAAAGCCTCAGAGAGAATATAAGTAAAAGTTTTCACAAGATCAGTTTTCTCCTGATAAGGGAAAGCAGTGGAGACTGAGGAGGCAGTTTTGTCAAGTTTCATTCTTCACACTGCCTTGTGGTCAGATGATATCGTAGGAAGTGTTGATTCCATGTTCCCTTAAACCTCAAGGTGAACCAAGCTAAAAGTAAAGGACTGATTACATGGATTTGTTTTCAGGATTTGACTGCCTTTAATCTTTTTGCTTCCATCTGGATGCTTTATCCCTGATAATTTAACAGTAGAAAGCATCCTACAAGCTTTCTGCTGTTAAATTATCATGGATGTTATTTTGTTGGATGTGCATGTACATTAATAATGATTATTATAATAAGTATTATAATAATAATTATAACAATAATAATTGTTATAATAATCATTATCAATTAACAATAGCAATAATCATTATTATTAATGGACTCAGCAAGTACATATTCCAGCTATAATGCATTTGATCACTTAGAAATTAATAGAAAATTTGTAAATTTCTTTTAATGTCAAATTAATAAATATCCACTCCCAGTGGATAATTGACTATCTATTATTCTGCCAAAGACTATTCTTTAATGCTGTAAGGATTCAGACTAAAGAAAATCTTTCAATCAATGAATGTCTCATTGATCTTGATATGCATTCTCTAGTAAAACACCATTTCGTGCATCAAAATGGCAGAGATTTAAAAAAAAAGCTGCAAATTCTTTTCTCCAATTTTGTGACTGACTGCTAAGTGGAATAATCTGAAATATGGTGATATGAAAATATTTACTTCAAATTGTAGAAATTGGAAAACGACCATTAACATTTTAAGCTTAATTGTTTAAGCTTAACTGATTTTGTTATTCTGGTGGATGCACTTTAAAGATGTAAACTATTTTGTGCAGATTTCGGGAACGATTGGGTGTGAAGACAGTCAAGGCTTTAAAAAGAAACCATGATGGTGTTAATCATTCTGCTATTGACATGCTCTGTGCCCTTATGTGTGTAAGTACAAGATCACTGTACTTGATTTCATTCAGTGTTGATTATAGTAATGTTTTAAACTTTAGGTGTACCTAATTACAGCATTTTGAGCATCAAAATGGTTTCATGGACATTTGATAATTGCAAAGTTGCTCCACTTTACAGTTTATCATGTGAAATACTTTGAGACAATCTCCTGATGTGAAAGGTGCTATGCCAAATGAAAGTTGGCTTGGTAGGAACTCAGTGAATATCTCTTTTGTTTGTCACAAAACACAGTCACTCCACTTTGCAGTATATTCTGTGAAGCGCTTTGAGACATTCTCCCAATGTGCAAGTTGCTATATCAATTGTAAATATTAATAATAATTCTTCCATGGATATTGGAGCTGGACCACAGATCATGGATAAAATCCAAGGTTTGATTTGGCTTTCAGCTTCTTCATGAGGAACTAGACCTTGTGGAAATCAAAGAATGTCGATGTAGGTGGATTTCCCCCGGGTCTTGCAATGTTCCACAATCTCGTGTAAAACCACAATCTGCGACACATGCTCTTCATGAGAACAGAATCCACTCTGTTCCTTCCAGGCCTCCAATGCGTGCTGTTACTGCTTGAAGCACGCACCACTTTAAGAATCCTGAATACAGTGAAATTTTGCTGTAGTTGTTTACCATTGTTTGATGGATAACATAATTTCAGTCTGGTACGCTTGCTGGGTATACTGTTGTACAGGATCCTTTTGATCAACTTTAGGAAAGGCAGCTCCAAGTTATTAGTTCCTGGCACGGCTGTCATTATGGTGCTCCCCCTGTTCTTTAGAATCATACAGCACAAAAAGAGGCCATTCGGCCCATCGAGTCTGTGCCGGCTCTTTGAAAAGAGCAATGTAACATCACTGTTTTGCCCCCAATTCTCTGGAGTTCCATTCCTGGAGTCCCTCCAACTCGCTCCCTCCCCTTTGAAGGCATGTCCAAACCTAACTCTCTGACCGCACTTTCGGCCATTTTCCCCCAGGCCTTTCTCAAATAGGTAGCCTTGCCAGCCGAAGATGCCCCCCCCCCCCCCCCCCCACCCGGCCCATACCACAAGGAGCTGCTTACCCATAGTCCATGTGCCATTCACAACCCCTTAATTGCCTCAATGGCTGTTATTGGATGCGATCCTACAATGTAATACGCCGAGCCACCCAGGCCGGCGCCGAGCTGCGCCATGATCCACGTCTTGGTGACACAGTGCTCGCCATCGCCCGCCTCCCAGTAGCCAGTAACATTTAGGAAATGTAATGCCATTTTCATTTAATCTCTGCACTGTTCTGAGTTAATCATACAAAACTCTGGAGAGGCATATAATTATCTATGGAAAATCTAGCATGACAAAATGTCGACTTCATACATTAACGTGCAAGCAAATGATTCCCAATCGAGTTCCTGTCTGATATTGACTCAGACAAAGCTGCACCTTGTGGGTTAACTGACACTTCATATATTGTGAGTGATCCAGACACTCACTATTCAGGAACTTAGAAGTAATTGAACCACTAAATGATAGCAGTTTTACCACTAAACAAAAAAAAACTTCAGACAACCCAATGTCTGGGATGAGGATTGAGTTAAGTGATGTAGATTTGTGGAGTAGGACACCACCAAAGGATAATCATTTGAGAATGAATACAACTAACAATATTCAGTGCGACATATGTTGATGTGTGCTTTGACTGTAACAATCCAGTGGCTACAGCATCTGAAAAAAATTCAGAGTTCCCTCGGGGTATTTAGAGACGACGGAAAAGAATAAAGCTCCAGTGATCATTTGGAGAGTGTCAAATACTGTTCCATTTTTGATGGATAAGCCAGCATACATGTTTTCCATATTTAAGAAGAGTGACAGGTCTGACAACCAATGGCTGTTAGCTTAATTTCAATATCTGGAAAATGATTAGAAACAAAATGGATGGTTACCCCGAAATGGAAATACAGTAACCCCCCGACTTACCCTCGGGTATCTGGAATTCATATCTAGATGGACTGGCCCCCATGAAAAAAAAATCCTTGTGTCTGTGTGTGGACTCCTGCTGACTCACTCTTCCAGCATGTGCCCCCACCTCACCATCCTCGCTAACAGCAGTGGCCACAGATATTGACTTGAACTCAGTTTGAATCCCGCAAGCAGAAGACAGCTTATTCGCTATTCTGTGCTTGCAAGATTCAAATGATTATAGTGCTGATCCTGGCATTTTTGATAAATGACGGCACTAGCATTGTAATTACACTTGGCTGGAATTTCCAGATGGCCAGAAGGTTCTGGCTAGCTGGGGTTTTCACCCAATAAATAAAGCTATTAATGGGTTTGTTGGTTACCAATTGAAATATCCTGACTAGCACTATCTAAACGTGAAAATGGGTTTAGATATGGCTTTCAGCTTCTTCATGAGCAATATGAAGGAATCCCAGAGCGCATTCAGCTTTGGATACTAGGTTTTCTAATTCCCTTATTCATTAATCTATTAACAAATGGTTTTCTTGGACTAATTGTGTAATTAGTTCTCAGAGTAACATGAATCTTCTATTTCATTGTAGCCTATGCATGATGACTATGACTTGAGGCAAGAACAGCTGAACAAAGCTTCCCTTCTTTCTTCAAAGAAGTTCTTAGAAAATTTGCTTGATAAGTTCAATAGCCATGTGGTAGGTATATTTACTCGGGAAATATTACTTTTGCTGATGTCATATATAGTAATAATATGACTTAAGTGAACTGGATTTCCACTAAGGTGAGATAATACAAGGATTATTAAATCAATTGTTAAATAAACAATTGTATATTTCTGGAATGTCTTTTTAAACTTGAAACTGACAGCTTATAGTGAAAGGATACATTTAAATAGTATTCATCTATCAGGTGTATTTGTTGAAAATTTTGCCGTAGGTTGATATTACCATTAATTGAGTGAGTCGCAGACTTCGGTGTGTGCATAATTATGGTCATTGGTTGTGCACTAGACTGGAAGTAAAACTATCTGTCCATTCTTTCTTCAGCACTGAGACTCCAAATACCACTTAATTTTTTTAGTTCCCAAGTGCGTGTTGTGGAAATTAAGGACTTGAACGCATGGCTAAAAGAGTGGTGCGGAACTCAGGGGTTTCTTTTTATGGGCCATTGGCATGAGTATTGGGGGGAAAAGAGAGCTCTTTCAGAGAAATGGGCTGCATTTAAATCGGGCTGGGACAAATGTCCTAGCTAAACAAATTAATAGGGAGGTAAATAAGAATTTAAACTAGTAAAGGTGGGGGAATGTATAGGTAAGAGAAACCATAAGTTAGCGTTAGAAAAAGTAAAGATGACAGTGCAGAATAGCATGCCAGATAATAGGAATATGTTAACTAGGGGTAAGAAGCTTGGCAAAGTAGATAAGGAATCAGAGAGTAGAGGAAATGGTAGGAAATTAAAAATGTTATATCTGAATGCACGAAGCATTCGGAATAAAACTGATAAATTAAAAGCACAGATAGACACATATGGATACGATCTAGTAGCCATCAATGAAACATGGTTACAAGGAGATCTAGGATGGTAGTTAAATATTCCAGGGTTTTCAGTTTAGAGGAAAGATAGACACTGTGGGAAAAAAGGTGGGGGGTGTAGCCCTGTTAATTAGGGATGAAATAAAAGCAATGGAGAGGAAGGATCTGAAATCCGATGACCAGGAGGTCGAGACAATATGGGTGGAAATAAAAAATAATAAGGGGCAGAAAATATTAATGGGAGTGGTTTATAGACCCCCAAACAATGATCACAATATAGCACAAGGTATTAATCAAGAAATCAGTGGAGCATGTAGGAAAGGTAAAGCGATAATAGTGGGTGATTTCAATCTCCACATAGATTGGGAAAACCAAATCGGCAAAAGTAGGTTAGAAGAAGAGTTCATTGAGTGTATGAGAGATAACTTTCTAGAGCAGCATACCGAGGAACCAACTAGGGGACAGGCCATCCTAGACCTTGTTTTGTGTAACGAAACAGGGCTAGTTGGCAGTGTAGGTATTAAAAATCCTTTAGGGCAGAGTGATCACAATATGATTGAATTCTGCATTAAGTTAGAGAGGGATATAGTTAAATCCGAGGCAAGTATTCTGAATTTAATTAGGGCTAATTTTGTAGGTATGAGGAAAGATTTAGGTAAAATAGACGGGAGAATCAGGTTAAGGGGTAAAAGTGTAGACCAACAGTGGCAAATATTTAAGAATGCAGTGCATAATTCTCAGCAGTCGCATATTCCCTTGTGGAATAAGAGTACCTTATGAGATAGTGGAGGCCTTGTGTCTGATCTTCCAAAATTCCTTGGATTCTGGAACAGTCCCCATGGATTGGAAGATCGCAAATGTCACACCACTATTTAAAAAAGGTGGAAAGGAAAAGATGGGGAACTATAGATTAAGGATGTGGTAGTGAGGTATTTAGAGGAGCACAATATAATTAGGCCAAGTCAACATGGCTTTACAAAAGGGAAATCATGTTTGACAAATCTCATAGAATTTTTTGAGGATATTTTGAGTAAACGAGATAAGGGTGAATCAGTGGATGTGGTCTATTTGGACTTCCAGAAGGCATTCGATAAGGTGTCGCATAAAAGGTTAGTCCAAAAGATAGGGTCCCACGGAATTGGAGGGAGCATATTAACATGGATTGGGGAATGGTTAATGGGTGGGAAACGAAAGAGTAGGGATAAATGGGTCCTTTTCAGATTGGCGGGAAGTGACTAGTGGAGTGCCACAAGGATCAGTCCTTGGGTCTTCTTAGCTATTTACCATCTACATCAACGATCTGGATGAGGACATTGAAGTTAATATATCTACAACACCAACAAGAAGATTCCATTTAGAGAGCGCCTTTCACGTCGGGAGGACGTCCCAAGGCGCTGGACGGTTGGGTCAGGACCCGAGCAGGGGGGAACAACAACAACAACAACAACAACAAGATTCCATTTATAAAGCGCCTTTCACGTCAGGAGGACGTCCCAAGGCGCTGCACAGTTGGGTCATGACCCGAGCAGGGGGGAAATGGTCAGGGTGAGGGGAGGGGAGGGAGGGAGCAAGGAGGGGGAAATGGTCAGGGTGAGGGAGGGAAGGGAGGGAGCGAGCAGGGGGGAAATGGTCAGGATGAGGGGAGGGAAGGGAGGGAGCAAGGAGGGGGGAATGGTCAGGGTGAGGGGAGGGAAGGGAGGGAGCGAGGAAGGGGAAATGGTCAGGGTGAGGGGAGGGAAGGGAGGGAGCGAGGAGGGGGTAGAGAGTCGAGAGGGGAGCTGAAGGCACGGTCAAAGAGAAAGGTTTTGAGACCGGCCTTGAAGGAGGAAAGGGAGGAGGCGGCGAAGGCACTGGGGGTGGAGTTCCAGAGCCTGGGGGCTGAGAGGCTGAAGGCCCGGCCACCGATGGTAGGGCGGTTGGGGCGGGGGACGTGGAGCAGACCAGAGCCTGAGGAACGGAGGGTACGGGCGGGTAGGTAGGGGGATAGTAGGTCGGAGAGGTAGGAGGGAGCAAGGCCGTGAATGGCCTTGTAGGTGAGGATGAGGTTCTTGAATTCATCCTCTGGGGGATGGGAATCTAAATTTGTGGATGACACAAAACTAGGAGGAAATGTCAAGAGGTTGATATTAGTCAACCTCTAACCTCAAGTGCAGTGCGATATAGATAGGTTAGGTGATTGGGCAGGTAGATGGCAGATGAAGTATAACGTAGGGAAGTGCTACGTTAAACGTTAGCACTTGTAGTGCTACGTTACTACACCAAAGTGCTAAATTGGTGGGATGTGACTAGTGGAGTGCCACAAGGATCAGTCCTTGGGCCTCAGCTATTTACCATCTACATCAACGATCTAGATGAGGACATCAAAGTTAATATATCTAAATTCACGGATGACACAAAACTAGGAGGAAGTGTCAACACAGAGGACGACATTAAAAAATGCAGCGAGACATAGATAGGTTAGGTGATTGGGCAGGTAGGTGGCAGATGAAGTATAATGTAGGGAAGTGCGAAGTCATCCACCTAGGTAGCAAAAACAGTAGAGCGGGTTATTTTTTAGAAGGGGAGAGATTGGAATGTGTTAGTGTCCAGAGGGACTTGGGTGCCTTGTACTCCAATCACAGAAAGTTAGTCTGCAGGCGCAGCAGCAATTAGGAAGGCGAACGGATTAGAGTATAAGAGTAGGGAAGTCTTGCTGCAACTGTATAGGGCCCTGGTAGGACCACACCTGGATAGGCTGACCAATTTGGGCCTATATTCTCTAGAATATAGAAGAATTAGAGGGGATCTTATAGAAACCTATAAGATCATCAATGGGCATGATAGAGTAGATAGTGGGAGATTGTTTCCCCTGGTTGGAGAAACTAAAACCAGGGGTCACAACCTTAAAATCAGAGACCAGCCCTTTCGCACTGAGTTGAGGAAGAACTTCTTCACTCAAAGGGTGGGGAATGTATGGAACTCACTACCCCAAAGGGCTGTTGATGCTCAGTCCTTGAACATATTCAAGACTGAGATAGATAGATTTCTTATTGCAAAAGGGATTAAGGAATATGGGGATAAGGCAGGGTTAGGTTATTAGCTGGAGTTAGATTAGAAGATCAGCCATGATTGAATGGCGGGGCAGGCTCAAAGGGCCAAATGGCCTACTCCTGCATGTTATGTGCAGGGCTAGTCTAAACCACCAAATCTCTGTATTCATTGGAATCGTAGTGCTTCTGTACACATTTTCCCCAGAGGGTTACCTGACTTTCATTTTTACTTTTCTTCATATCTGTATAATTTAGACACTGATTGTTCAGTTAGTGGGTAGTTTCATTCAGGTATCTCATAATGTTGGGCTTAGTAACTGCATGTACACTAATTCCAGATGTTTTCACTGATTACTATTAGGTACAGTTGCAGTACCCAAATTTTTCCTCAGGAGATTTATGAATATGTTAAGATCATTATTCACAGATTATTATTCAGAGGAAAGAAATCTAATTAGAAAAAAAATGCATCCAGCCATAATTAAGCCCACATCCACACTTTCATGTTTCTCTTTGCTGTTGTTGAGATGGTTTAAAATTAAGTTATGTTAACATAGTTTTATCCTTGTTTGGACATGATAGTTCAGAGGTAAATGAAGATGCCATATTCTTCTTGGTATAGTTTATTTGTATCCTATCAATGGAAATTTTGGGTTTGCATTGCTTAATAGACCAGAGCAATGAAGTTTGGAACTGATCGATTGTCTGCCTCCAAGGTGAAAATTCATTCATTTTTCTTGCAGGATCATGGAACAGGTGCCCTAGTGATCAGTTCCCTTTTGGACTTCCTTACCTTTGCACTCTGTGCTCCGTATAGTGAGACAACTGAAGGACAACAGTTTGATATGTTGCTGGAAATGGTGGCAGCTGTTGGAAGAACTCTTTTTAAACTTTTCCAGGTATGTTTTTAAACTTGCCTTGGAGTTCACCAAATTACACTGAGTTTGAAGGAGACCAGATGATTGGTTTGACCTGTGCAAAAATCAAATTGTTGACTTAAATTGGAGGTTTATACGGATCCAACCTCCCAAGAGTCTGACCCATATACTGCACTGTATTTTCTCAACCTTGACGGTGTAGATGTCAATGTACATTAGCTTGGTTCCATTTTTTAAAAAATGTTGTGCAAAAATGGGAGTCTCTTTACAAGGTAAGAAGGACAGTTAATTTTGCAACATCATGTAAGATCAATTTGCAACATCATATGCATAAAATTCCTTTTGAGACTTGCGCTCATGATTATCGCTTGATTGCACAACCCTATCTTAATGTTTCGTGGGAGATGTTCAGTAGTTTTTCTGTATGAAAACTATTTGTTGTACTTGCTTTCAGCACCCTTCGATGGCTATTGTGAAAGGAGCTGGCTTAGTTATGAAGGCAATAATAGAGGTAAGCTTTATAATAGATTCTCCAAAGGAGTTAGTTTTGTAAATTAAGAATTGATTGGGTCACTGAGTTTATACTATGAATACCAGAGGTTTAACAATCTTTTGTCTGGTTAGTTAGCTGATCTCAACTAGGACATCATAATGGATGCCATGAATATTCTTGACTTGCTGATATTTGAGGGAAGGAGAAGAAAGTAGTTGAACTAGCTCCTACTCCTAATTTCTATTTAATGACCTTTACTGAAATGTAAATGCATGACTGTTTAGTCTCGGTTGATAATGACAACTGGGCTCCAGTCACCTTGAGGTAACTTGCCCATTGAACCAAAGCTATAAACTCTCCTCATCTGAGAAATGGATCGTATGTCTTTAAATATGGGAATGTAAATAGACAAGGCCATTAAATATGCAGATTCAATAGCATAGCTTTTATATTATGGGCATTGAATATAAGAGCAAGAAGTTGATAAACTTTTACAAGTCATTGCCTTGGCTACAATTTTACTGAACCATCTCTATTTCTTCCTAATAAGGAAGGTGACAAAGAGATAGCTGCAAAAATGCAGGAGCTTGCCTTGAGTGAAGGTGCCCTACCACGTCATTTACACACCTCAATGTTTACAATTAGCACAGATCAGCGGATGCTGACGAACAGGTATGTACAATTGAATCAAAGAATCGTACAGCACAAAAAGAGGCCATTCGACCCATCGAGTTTGTGCCGGCTCTTTGAATAGAGCAATCAATGTCAATTCCACTCCCCAGCCCTTTCCCCATAACCCTGCAAACCTGTCCTCCTCAAATACCCGTCCACCGCGTTTTTAAAAGTTTTTATCGAATCGGCCTCCACCACCCTTTCAGGCAATGAGTTTCAGATTCGAACAACTCGCTGCGTGGAAACATTTCTTCTCACCTCCCCCTCTGCTTTTTTTAGAGACTATTTTGAATCTGTGACCTTGAGTCACCGACACACCCACCAGTGGAAACAGTTTTTCTCTTTCTAACCTATCAAATCCCCTCATGATTTTGAAGACCTCTATTAGGTCTCCTCGTAACCTTCTCTGCTCCAGTGAGAATAATCCCAGGCTCTCTAGCCTTTCCTCATAATCAAGGTCCCTCATTCCTGGTACCATCCTTGTAAATCTCCTCTACATCCTTTCCAATGCCTTAACATCCTTCCTATAGTGTGGTGCCCAGATCTTGTTTCACTAGATTGTGTTTCCAGCTATAAAATCTGAAAACAAAATATTAATGATGGAAAATTGTTTCTATTCAGGCAGTTAAGTAGGCATTTGGTGGGACTTTGGACTGCAGAAAATCTTACAGCATTAAATTTGCTAAAACGTATTTTGGTAAGTGAAAATTTAAATTGATCTCGAAGTCGTGTTTATGTTCAAGCTTTTTAAAGCATAATACTTTGGTGTTAATACTGAACAAATTAGCAGGTATTTTTGCTTGACAAAAGATACCAAATTCTGAAAAAACATTTCATTTGATATAGTGCCTGAATGTCAGGACAATGTGGCAAAGTTCTTCACAAAATTGACTTTAAACTAGTGATTTTTTTTGTAGGCAAATAATTCACTTGTGTCTCAGATCCCTCTCGTGAGCTAATTATATCTAATTTTCTAATACAATCCGCATCCTTGGAGTGGACTAGTCTTGATATTCATTACTTTGTTTAAAGTAGGAACCCATAACGGGAGAACTGGTGATATCCGAATTGAAACACTTAAGGGACTTAATCACTTAATCTCTGATAAACTACTATTTTCAGAAAGTTTTAAATTGAAATAGGATATGTCAGTATCCAATACCAGCAGTGAGAGTTTGAGGTTCTGCCTTTTGACATTTGGTCTCCTAAACCTACAAAGTAATAAATATCAAGAATAAGCCACTGTAATATCAGAGACAGTAGAAGTCTTGGTTTCCAGTTGAGAGTAGTTGTGTCAGATATGTTGTTGCTGGCATTTTGACTAGATTCTCATCTGGGAAAGCCCCTGGTTACTTAATTATTTGGCATTTTTACCAATTACTTGGCTGTAAATTACCAAGCAGTAAATAGGAACTGGTTGTTAGTCGATTGGCGAATCGCTTTTCCAGGGTTAAGAATTCCTTCAAAAAAAAAAAAAAAATCGGTCACTTCAACCCACTACTGTTTGTGGGACACTGCTGTCTGAAATGGACTGTCGTGTTTCACCCACAAAATATACAGTCAATTCACTTTACAGTATATTCTGTGAAGCGCTTTTAGACATCTTGAAGACATGATAAGGTGCTATATCAACTGCAAGGATTATTATTATTATTTCAGCAGGCTGTTCTATATATGGACCACTTCTATAAACAAAAAAAAAACTCTGTTCACTTTCCCTTATCTGAGCTTGAATCAACATCCAGAACAGGTTACCAAGAAGGGTGATGGAGGCTGGATTGCTGGACTGACTGCTTTAAGAATCGGGTTAATGTCAAAGTTATTGTTGATTGTCATTGGTAAAACAGCCATTGATCAACCAGCAGCTACTAATATGAACCTAATGTTGGGAAAAAGATCATTGACCATCTCCAGACTACAGCATGTTGTTGCAGACATTTTTTTCCCATCCTGGCTTTCTTTTGAATTCAGTGTATTCTTTACGAAAGTGCCTTGCTTGACCAGTTCTGCCTTTTGATGGTGGATTCTTAAATCTGGTGAAGGTCTGCATTTGCAAATCTATTAATTTTCCTGCAACCAGCAGTATTAGGTCCATATTGTAAATCAAAGTCCCTTGCAATCTAGGAAAAGTAACTATGGTGCTAAAATTTTGCCAGCTGGTTTGTTGTGTGATGTGGGTGAAAAATGTATTTAAAATGCAACCAAAGAAATGTACTTCTCATTTTAATAATGCCACAAATCCTCTGCAGAAATAAACCAAGTGTAAAATGTTTGACCAGTTATAGCTTATAACTGTAGCCATGCTCTCCAGCCAAGTTCAAACTTCAGTAGCTGTCTTAACTTCAAACCTTACTACTTCAAAGCTCCTCTCCGTTTCCCCCCTTCATTAATGCCTATTAACTTCTTATAACTTCCTAATGTCTTGGTTTTCTTGGTATGGCAATACTTTTTCCATTTCTCCCCACCCCTCCACACACCTAAAAATAATTTTCTTTTGTTTTCAGCCAACAGGTTTGCTGGCATATCTCGATAGCACAGAGCAAGTACCAGAAAAAGACATTGACAGGATGCACATCAGGGACAATGTAAAAATTGCAACGGTAAGTTGAAGGTTTATTTTTGCGATAGTGGTGCTGTGGCCATAATTTATGTGAGCATGGAGTGAGTTACTGGAGAGCAGCCAGTATTTCAGGGGTGCAGGAGAAGAGAAACTGGTCAATAATATTTCAGCTTGACTACAGTATTGGTTACGTGAAAGAGCTGTGCTTCCTTTAGGTTGAGAATATAATAATATAATCCTTGCATTTGATATAGCGCTTTTCACATCTTCTCGACGTCTCAAAGCGCTTCACAGAATATGCTGTGAAGTGAATGTATATTTGTGGGGGAACGCGGCAGCCAATTGCGCACAGCAATGTCCCACAAACAGTCGTAGATTGAAAATGACCAATTTATTATTGTTTTGGAGAGATTATTATTAGGCGTGTGGAGTAAGGAAACTTACCAAGGTTTCGCCGACACAACAAATTGCATTTATGCAGCATCTTTCATGTCAGGAGGTTGTCCCAAGCGCTGGAAATTTGAGGGTTTGAACCTGAGCTGGGGGCTGATCTGCGCCCTCTGAATTGAGCCTTTGAATTATTGAAACTAAATGAATAGAAAACTTTTTAGGTGCATATTTTTAAGCTTGCTTCATCCTTTTTAATTTTTTCTGCAATCGTGTGCTCCAGGTTTCTAATTCATTTTGTGCAAGAACCATAGATGTTTAAATGTACATTTCCTTTTGAATTCAATAGGATCAGTATGGTAAATTCGGTAAGGTCCCAGACTGGCAACGACTAGCTGGAAAAGCCGCTAAAGAAGTAGAAAAATTTGCCAAAGAGAAGGTTGATTTGCTTCTGTTGCACTGGAGAGACAGGATGGGTATTGCTCAAAAGGAGGTAAGGGGAGTTTAATTATACCACTGTATATTAGCTGTGAAATGTCCTGCTTGGTCTCGGATATTTTTAATACAGTATGTGAACAAAATAAACATTCTTGTATTGTGTGTAAACTAAATAAAATTCACCTTACAAAATGCAAATGAGATTTGCACCCAAATTCTTATTTATCCCCACTACTTGAATTATAATGTATTACTTAAATGCCATCATATTGTTTGGATGTTGCCTTTTGAGAGCTTGGTGTTTTGTACTCACTTTGGTCAGATATTTACATGGACTTTCATAGTACTATTTCTTTCCCTATTCTGCCCCCAAAAAAGCAACAGTTAGGAATTTTGCTATTCTTACCTTAAGAAGTATTCTTATGCTCAAACAAGCAGTTGATGTCATTTATAAAAAAAATGCATTGTGAAGTTTCAAAGTCTTATTCAAGATTTCAATCAGTTTTGACATATGGTGTCAGTTGCTTGAGAATTCACTATCTCAAACTGCCTAGTCATTCTACCAGAGGGAACTATAATAGAAAATGCAGATGCAAATTGCTATTCACAGGGCATTGATATATGTGGATAATGCGTAAAACAAAAAGTATCAATAATAATAATCCTTGCATTTGATGTAGCGCCTTATCACGTCTTCATGACGTCCCAAAGTGCTTCACAGAATATACTGTAAAGTGAATGGCCGTTTTTTTAAAAAAATAATGTGCTGAGGATGATCATGTAGTCTTTAAGCCTGTGTCCATATTTCATTGAAACGAATCCATGTTTTATTGAAACCAATCCTATAAATTGAAGGATTGGTGTATTTGAAATTTGTTTTAAGAATGCTGTGTTATGGTTAACTGGTGTTTGCAGGCAGTCACACTTTCAATGTAACATTCTGGTATTTAATGATGTGGATCTTCATTGGAAGTTGGATGTGTGGCTTCAGTTATGACATGATAAAACTGGCATGGCTTGGTGTTTTTTCTTGCAATATGGCAGCAAATAAATACTAACCAATGCCGTTAGAAATGTTGGTTTCCTCTTTGCTTTAAAGTTTACTTTGGCTTTCTTTTTATTCTTGCTGTCAAACAAAAGCAGGACAGGAACAGTCTGGTAAGTAGAAGCTGTTTTCTTGAGTTTGTTGACCTTGCTTGTTGTCCTATCTCCTGCCTGTCTTCACTTGGTGGTGTTGTGGTGTAATACATTGGGCTGGAGTTTCTGTCGTGTTATTCTGGGATGATGTTTAAACCTGTAGGTAATCTTATATTGTAAAGAACAACTGCAATCAGGATAAGAATTGGTCTGGCTTTCACCTTTTCATCTCTTTCTTTCCACCCACCAAAAATCTGCACGAAGCAACAAAACTATGGGAAATGTAACAGTGACATTTCTACCTGTTTTTTCCCATGCTAGATTATTGCTGTTTTTTTTTGATGGGTGGCGGGGCAGTTAAGTTGTTTCTTGTTCACCTGGCCAATGCTAGTGTTCGCCTACAAATGTCGACAACTACACTTCACAAGACTGGCAAAGAGGGAGCAAGGCAGAGTGATTAAAGCAGGCAGAGTTTAGGGTTGATGTGGCTCAAGGCACAACTGCCACCGAAAGCATTGATGTTTTGAATCAATTGCATTTGTGAATAGTGGCGCTGGGGAGACCAGCAAACAACAACAAAATTACATTTATAGAGCGCCTCTCACGTCGGGAGGAGGTCCAGAAGGACATTGGAGAAATCCAGACAGCAGGTGATGAAAGCGTAACTGAGAGTTTTAGCGATGTTGAGTATGGTTGGACGTGGGTGGTGTGGTGGTGGAGGAAAGCGGTCCTGGTTAGTTACTGGATGTAGGGTAGGAAGCACAACTGGGTATTGAGCCAGAAGCTTAGGTTGCAAACAAGTGCTGGAAGTCTGAGGGATAGGCAAGGGAAATTAAGGAGGTCAGAACTGCAGGTGAGAAGAAGTTGACAGGAGCCAAAGAGGTATAGCTTCCGTCTTATACATGTTCCGCTGCAGAAAGTTGGTGCTCATCCAGGCCTTGATGTCTGACAAGTAGACAGAACATTGGTGGACCGTGGATCATGGCTAGAGGAGGAAAGGTTGATTTGGATGTCATCTGCATGCGTGTGGAATTTGACCCCGTGTCTGACAATGATACATACCTCTAGTAGGGAGATGCAGTACATTCTAAATCTGGTTTATTTGACTAATGCTTTGCATAGCTGTGCTCTGAGATAGTAAATTTAAGATCAGTTTGTTTTTCCTCTAAATCCTCCTTGACTACTGTTTTGGTATAATTCAACTTGACTGAAGTTGGCTGAGAAAAAAAATGATGGATTCCTTACTGTAGATGGTAATATTTATTATCTGAATGTTAGTTTTCTCGTATTCCAAATTTCCCAATATACAATTGGTGAGGGGAAGATTGCTAGTCTGCAAATTGTTATATGCTGCCAGGATTAGACATATATTCCACTGTTTGGAATATTGATTGGTATTCAGTGGTTATATTGTATTAAATGAATGAGGAAATACAATGTCTGCCTGTTGTTTTCTTGGTTACAAATGTCCCACAATCCCAGGATCTGTTGACTTAATTCCTTTTTGTGTAAAGCAAAACTGATTGATTTGTTAGAAAAATGGAAAGTAGAAATGTTAAGCCCCTGAAGGATCTGGATCTAGTGTTTTCTAGATTATGCTAAGAATGAGGACTACTTCAGGCAGTATAAAAGTGTGTATTCTAATGAAAGGCTTTCGTTCCTTTCAATAAATTCAAGCATTTAAGTCTAGATTGAAAGGAATGTTTTATTAACTGTGTAACACAGGAACCATATTGAAACTGGCAATGTTACTAGGTTAATCCAAGCTAACCGCATGGACTCGTATTGCCTCACAAAGCAAGTGATGTTAGCAGCAACCTAATGACCTGGATTTTGGCCACATTGGAACTCATTCATTTGATACAGTATAACTAATGTGGGTCTGATCTTGTGGAGCGCACGTCCCATGAGTTTCTGGAACTATTTAGTGATTTATTCTATTAATTTAATGTTGCAAGGCATTGTGGTGATTGTAAGATTGCTTTGGAAGCAAACATATAGCTGGTATCATGCAACACAGTAATATGATCTTGAGTATCCCATTGGAGGAAGATTTTAATATTGGAGAATTAGTATTTCAGTTAACTGATGATTATAAAGGAATCCCATGTTTTTCTCCATAATCCCTAAAAATGCTTATTTTCCATCCATCTATCTCTTTTGTACTCAAAGTTTTCTGATTTCACTTTTAACTGGCACTTGTTTTAAATTCCACGATCGGAGAGTCTCCCTATCTGACATATCAATTTGCCTGAATTAAATAGCCCTCAACTCTATGGAATATATTAAGCTTATCAAGATCCTATTCATTGCTTGCATCCTTTTGGTAGACTTTTCTATTAAAAAAAACTTGCCATATGTTGTTATTTTATTGTCTCTTGATTGGAAATATTCCATCCCTTCAGAGAATGTTGGGCACTGAGGGTGACACTTTCAGCACCTAGTTCAGGGCTTCCATATCTAATCGCCTGCCCATTGCTCAAGGTGTTTTGATTTCAGTAGAGCAGCTTTGAGGTGCTTTGGCATTTGGTAATTTTGACAAATTATACTTAATATAGTGTAAACTACTAGGGGGGAGTGGATTACATCAAGCATTTCTTAGAATTTTTGGTGATTTGCAGTTTTTCTGACCTATAAGTGTTATGAAACGTCCTGATAATGGTTTCATATTTGTAGATGTTTCCAGACATGGGTTTTGTTTGTAATATTGGAAGTTTGAAATACAAGTTGCATTTGAATTTTTTTTTCTGTCGCGTACAAAGCATAGGCCTTTATGCATAGTAGTTCCATTGATGTGCCTGGCTTTGAAAATTAATAGGTGGTATGAATTGGAACTAGACTACAGATATTATTGTTGTATTTTAATTTATTGTTTATCCTCCATATATGCCAATGGATTGGCCCAGTTGCCTAATGAGGTGCTGTTGCAACGACCAAGTACCTTGCATTCCTGGTCTACTCCCATGTTCACAATCCTTTATCTGCAATTTCTCAGTAATACCTCAAGATCCTGGTGGAATACAATTCAGTCAATTCCATTACTTTTTTTTCCACATTTGTTTTGCCCAGAATATTTTAACAAAATATTGTTTGAAAAATTAAAATCTCTGTACAAGATATTGTGTTTAAAGGGAGCATCTTATGGTTTCTCGTCATGACTTTCCATCAGTATACATATATAGGTTAAATTACAATTGGCAATAAACTACAATTGTGGAGTCCTGTAGCTCATGGTTAGAGCACTCGCCTCACAAGCGAGAGACCTGGGTTCGATTCCTGGCAGGGTGAAACCTTAGGCAAGTTTCCTTACTCTACACACCTGATCATAATCCCTCAAGAAAAAAAGCAATAATAAATTGGTCACTTTAATCCACAACTGTGTGGGGGACACTGCTGTATGCAATTGGCTGCCGCAATTCGCCCACAAATATACAGTCAATTCACTTTACAGTCTATTTTGTGAAGCGCTTTGAGACGTCTTGAAGACGTGAAAAGCGCTATATCAAATGCAAGGATTATTATATTATGTTGAAAAATATATAGATGTAATTTAGTCTAATCTAGTCTAATTGTGAGCCAATTATTAGTGCAGGGAATAATTTATTTTGCAGGTTAGTCAGTTGGAATATTTTCCTCTTTCCCAAAATAGTTATCGACATGCATCTTAAGTGTTTTCAGGAAGAAGTCTGATATCTTGGCATACTCTGAGTTCTGTGTACCAAATAGATACAGTTTTTATGCAAATAAAATATTGTGGAAAAGCTAGGAGCTTCTGCATTTTGAGCATTGACAGAAAAGGTTCTCTACATGTACCCCAGCAAATATGGCTTGATCTTAACCTACGAATGCAATTCTATAATTGTACTAAAAAAAATTAAAGAAGGAATACTCAACTTTCTGATAGAAAAGCAATTAATTTGGGATTTTATTGTTAAAAGTAAATTCCATGAACCTGACATGTGATGGCTGAGAGATGGAATGACAGTACATTCCTGATAACTTAACCATGGCTTAATTTGTCACTATTACTTAAATCATGATGTCAATATCCTGGCCATATTTATTTATCTGTTTGTACATATGCCTCACTCACCATTCTAGATAACTTGTCATTGGGCCGTTTTACCTTAGTGTGATGAGAAGCGCTTTGAGAAGTCTCAAAGACAAGACGCTATGTGAAATGAAAGGATTATTATTAAGAGTTTACTTTAACTACTGTACAATGCTTAGTTTCTTTGTTCTCTTCAGTCTCACTATCTCTCTGCCCAAAACTCTCTTACGTTGTATCTGGTTGCTTTTTGTCTCCAATTTTATTGATTTATCTTCATGTTATTTGATTGATATATACATTTCTAATTCTATCCTGTATACTCTCTTGTTTCACATGGAGCACCTTTTCAAATATACCAATTTTTTCATGTATTCTGTATGCAACAAAGCAAAATGTCTTGATTTTCTGAGCTGCTAGGATGTGGCAAACAAGCTGCTAATTCTCTGCAAGTTTCAGAATCGAGAGGAATTTATTTTCCTTCACAACTGTGCATATTTGTGTCGGCGTCTACTTGGTCAAACTGCATTTTTGTTTATCGAGTATTGGAATGTCTGTTGGTAGCGAGCTGAAAGCCATCAGTAGTAAGATTCAAGCGGGATTTCTGAAATGTCTTTAGTCAGAGAATAACTTTCTGTTGTCCATAGTTTTTAATGTTGAATCCAGTTCCTTTTGATTAGTAAATCCTTTAAATGCAGCCATTTTTAAAATTATTTTTTGGATGATACTTTAAACTGAGGCCCAATCTGCCTGTTCAGGTGGATGTTAAAGATCCCATGGTACTGCTTGAAAAGAGAAGGGAGTTTATCTCAGGCTTCTGGCCTGCAATCCCCCAAATAAAATGATCATTCACTTCTTGGCAGTTTTGTGGAGCACTCCTATGTGCAAATTGGCTGCTGCATTCACCCAAAATAAGGTCACAATGCTTTAAACTATAACCTGTTTGGGATGTCCTCTTGACATGAAAGGCACTATATCAAATGTAAGGATTATTATTATTGCTCATAATTCTGGTTAGTCCACATTCTAAAATTCCTCTGATGAAATTTTAGAATTCAGAATTGGTTTGGCTTTAGCTCAGATGTGAAAGCTTTACATTTGAGTTGCAATTGAAAAATGTAGTTCTTCATCTCAACTCATGTATTTATGCACAATCTCAGGAAATTGAGAAATCAATTTTGGTGGCATTTGAATTTAAATGCAACAGTTATTCAAGGTGTTGTACCTATCTCTAGCCAGGAATGCAGAAAATCTACAAATAGAGCTCTGCAAAAAAAAAAACTGAGTTAGGGTTACCTCTACTGATTCTCCAACTTTTTTTTCTTCTCTTGCTATCGATTTTTATCTCATGATTTCTTTCAATTTTACTTTCAGCCATCAATCTATTTTTGTTCTGGATTTCCTACATTTACCTAATATTTCAGTGCTCCTGTACATATTTTTTGCTGTGCAGCCAGCAGGCTGCCATTTCCCTTGTTCTGTTCCTGTCAAAGGAACTTGCTGGCACATGGAGGGGAACTAAACTGAACCTCAAACGAGAGGTTGGAAATCTGTCATCATTTTACAAGTTGACCATTGGTGAGATACACACAATTTCCTAACATGCACACAAATCTGATTAGAGCATCAAATATTTTGGATTTTTCTGTTGAATAGCTTTTTCTTCTGTTAAATATTGTAGCTCCTTCAACTGACTTTTTATATATTTATTTTAATGCATACCCCAGAAAGTATCAAATCTTGCACCATAGCATAAGGTACAAAATATATTTTTGTCGAAGCAAATCCATTAAATCCATTAAAGTGCTTTAAACTGATTTTAAAGGCTGCACGGGTACTCAGAAGCTATAAGTTGAAAAGAAGAATCAATGAATGTTTGTGTTGTTGAGGTTTTGAATCCCTGGCTGTAAGTGATCTTTTGGGCAGCTGCAAGTGGTAATTTAAGTAGGCTGAAGAACGGATATGAAATTGCTCTGTGCTATTCTTCCTTTTCTTTCTCCCTGGAATAGCATAGCTGGGATGTCAGATGAAAGGTTCGAACCAGTGGTGTTAGGTTTGCAATATAAAAGCTAAGAGTTGGAGGGACTTGCCTGGGAGTGGGAGATTTACAAATCATAGTATAGTGAGAGTTCACTGAGAGATAATTGGAATAGATTTGTGTATACGTAGTATGAATGTGTGAAACATTGGGTGTAGAGATCAGATCTAAGTAGCAGTTACTTGGGGGGAACGTCATAGTTTTTATTGGAAATTTTCCTTCATGCAAAACACAATGGAACTGAATATCCTTGGATATAAAATTTCAGAATAAAAAGGAAAAGAATAAGGGGAGGAAGATAGAATTAAGGTTATGATTATAACATTGGAAAGGAAGGATATTGTAAAAGTTATGTCAGGCAATGTAAAGATTGAAGCAAGAACTAAATTGCCTAATCCCATTACACACCACCCAGTAGTAGAAAGAAATAGAAGAAGAAAATTGTAAACAATTCTGAGTTTTCCAGAAATCAAACTAATAATGGGAGATTTTATATCGAGGTAGACTGGGTTGGGAGTAAGTTGCTAGGCAAGATGAGTAGCAAATCATAAAATGCAACAGCTGAGAATTGGACCCAAGCAGTGGGTTGGAATTAGGAAGGGTGGAGGGCAGGAAAGGTAGGGGTAAGAACTGTTTTCTGGATCAGCCTGCCAATGCCATTGTCAAAGCCATGAACAGAGTCCAATATGGATTCATTAGATGCTACGTAAAATGGTTATGGGGGGAAAAAAATAGGTCCAAGGTCACTGTCAAAGCAGGTTAAGACAGGGATTGAACAGTATTGTAATGAACTTTTTTGATGATAGGTAGTAGTCTGTCATTGATGAAATTAAGTTGCAGTAAAATAAGCTAGTCACAAAGTGCAGTGTTTGCACAAACAAAGGGTTATCTCCACACGACCTAAAAGCAAATTTCTGATTCTTCTATAATTGGACAATCTTTTTTCCAGGCCTTTACTAAATAACTTTGGGTTATTGATAGATGGTGCCTTGGCACTATAGCTAAAGTTCTTCAACTTTTTACAGGGCAAGGATCTGATGTCTAATGGTGCAGAAATAAATTTCCCTTGATAGGCTTCTTGGTCTAGAGTGCTGACATTAAGATCTTGGATATTGCTGATGTCCGCTTGTTTTTAAGGCTCAAATAGGGCCAAATTACCTGAACCAGATGTACCAGAGATTTCAGTGTAGTCCCTTAGCTGAATCATTGGTTCCAACAGAAATATCTCGGCAACAAAGAGGTAAGATTAGCTTTGGGAAGCAAATGAACAGATTAGCTATCAATTTAAAATGTATGCTTCTGTGCTGAACATTGCTGGTCCGGTCTGACCGTACTTGTCTTTAAATCGTGTTTATCCTTGGGGCATTTTTGTTTAGATATGCCTGGGTTGTTTGGGAAACAATACTTTCTAGTGTTTGTCATTCTGATGTGAAAGGCGCTATACAAATGTAATTTGTTGTTTTGTATGATTGTATGGTGGACATTAGCTACTAATGATCATGTTTGGGTCTATCCTTACTTGTCATCTTTTCAGCTTAAGTAAAACTTCCATCAAAAATGTATTGGTGTGCCCAGAGACTGTCCTTCTTCCACTTTGTTCTGCCATTTAGTTTAAAGTTAATTTGTGAAAGTGTAAGTCAACATTAGTTGCAGTATAGATGACTAATCTTAGTGGAAGCTCCTAAGAAGTCCCCTTTTCATCCCAGGTTTCACAGTGATATTTGCCTTTTTGTTCAGGTAGATCTTAAAGATCCCATGGCACTATTCAAAATAAATATTCGAAAAATACTGCTTATAGGAAATTGCTGTGTTCACCCTACACTACACAGTACAGCCACTACACAGAAATCCTGTGAAGTGCTTTGATACATCCTGATGTGAAAGGGACTATATCAAATGCAAATATTATACTTCTAAATTACAGGACTCTGCACTCCTTGAATGGATCCAAGAAAAAGTTTCAAAAGGAAACCTCATTAACCTTCAGGACATTTTACAAATAAAATAGCTGCATTTCTAATGCAGTGGGAAAAATTGCAAATTCCATCAATTTTTAGGAAGGTCTAGGCTGTTTTGAGGTATAACTTGTTTGTTCAAATTCTTTCTACAAATGGGGCAGAAAAAGGGAGCCATTGGCATTATGTACCTATTAAAATTGTACTCTTTACAGGAGCCATAGTAATTTACCATTGAGAAACACAACTCCGTTCTTTCTTTTGGCAATAATTTGACTAGTGTGCAGAACCTTGCACCATTTTTACTTTTTGTTCCAGTTCAGCAGAGTTTTGCGGAGAAGTCTTCAATTTCTGACAAAAACACATTTCTTGTTCTAGCACCCTCTACTGGTTTGAGATAGTTAATTTTCATGGCAAAATGTCTGGATATTGAACTTGTTATCCTAAATCTAAGGTCTTAAATATTCCTTTTTGCAGGAATTTATCTCTTGGAAGAAGCGCTTATCCCTCTTGATCATTGTGGAATCACCTAAACAATGTCATTTATAATTTCTCAGGATATTTCACTTTCTCTGGGCACCTTATTGGCCAATATTCAAGTTGTCCCAGACTACATTTATATCCTGGCCAAATCAAGTAGTATCCCTTGTCCCTTTTACTAATTGTCTGTTTGGGTTTGCACTGTTCTTCTTGACACATTAACACTTAAGGTATAAGGCACTGTGGCATAATCCATTCCTGTGGAGGGTAAACACTCTCTGATTTGGTATGTGAATAACATTTAATTTTGAGAATGTAAATGTTCTCAATTGAAATGAAAAAAACTGATCAATATAGAAGGTTTTTCTGTGGTATTGGGATAGATAATATAATGTCATGAATTGAGAATATTTTCAATGAGCATGGTTTTGGGCATGTAGAGGATAAACTATTCAGAAAAAATACCTATTTGAGTAGGTAATATAGCATTGCACTTGAAGAACTATGTAAATGAGCTCTTGATCAACTTTAACTATTTTGTACAATTCAATTGGCACTTCTGACGCAAGTTGATATTCAATGAAGCTGTGTTTGGGACTGGAAGGTGTTTGCAGGGTTATGGGGAGAAAGCTGGTGATTGGGGTTAGTGAAAGTGACTTGCTCTGTCAAGGAACTGGCACAGACTCGATGGGCTGAATGGCCTCCTGTGCCGTAACATTCTATGAATCTATGAATGAATCTATGAAGATGGGGCATTAAATTGTTTTCTTAGCATTTTAAAATGTGTGCAGCCTTTAAATGGAGTTGTTGCTTCATCTACTAGCATGCAAGGTTATTTTGTGCAGTGTATCTGTATATTGTAGAATTTGACTGTCTTTAATTATTACAAGGTAATCTGGTGGTGTGGATGTAATATATTATATATAGTAAAACTCACATAAGTCATATCAGTTGGGACCATAATTTTAATTTTCTTATTTAAAAACTAATTTGTTTAAAAGCTATTTCATTTCTTGTAGAATCCAAACCAAAAACCAGTTGTTTTGAGAAAGAGACGACAAAGGATTAAAATTGAAGCTAACTGGGAACTCTTCTACTACAAGTAAGGCCTTTGCAGTTTTGTTTGCTTGTACTAATCCTTCAGATATCTCATGACTGTCGGATTTTGCTGTGCACAAATGGGTGCCATGTTGTCGGCAAGTTATCACTATACCTGATACCAATTACATATGAATCATTTGAGATCTTTCCAAATTACTGATTCTATTACTGTCACAGGTGTCACAATGGGTCAGTTGTGAAGGACTTATCATAGGAGCTGCTCTTTGAAGTGTATAGATGGTTTGGTAGGCAAATTTGGTAGCCAATCTTCATAAGCAATGTTACACAATGACCGATCAATCATTTGTTTGAAATTTGGCTGGGGAATTGGTACCTTGCAATTTAAGAGTGCACTGATGATGGATTCTAGTAATTTTTTCATTGCTGATTTTAAATTCGCCTGACTGCGGATAAATTGCTTCTTTCTCTCTTTAATAATTGTATTTTTTCTACTTTTAATCCTTTGATTTTAACACTGAATTTATACAGTTGTGGAGATTCTGTGATAACTCCATGGAAAGAGAGGATAATTTAATCTTTGCCCTGGTACAAATACTTTATTTAAAATGGATTACGTTGAAATGTTACTTTTCCCACCCTTTAAGATTTTTCATTTAAAAAAACTAGTCTAAATTGTATGTTTTAAATATCTTGCAAACTGATATTTCCCCCCCTCTTACAGATTTCAGATGGATCATGCCAAGTCCAACTTGATTTGGAATTACAAGACAAGAGAAGAATTGAGAGATGCATTTGAGGCGGAGATGAGGGCATTTAACATTGACCGAGAACTTGGTAGCGTTAGTGTCATTTCTTGGAATCACCAAGAATTTGAAGTAAGAAAAATTTAATTGCTGTCCTAGTTGAAGTTTGTAACAACCACAGCAACTTGCATTTATAGAGTCCTGTGGAGTCCTGTAGTTCAGTGGTAGAGCACTTGCCTCTCAAGCGAGAGACCTGGGTTCGATTCCCGGCAGGGCGAAACCTTGGGCAAGTTTCCTTACTCCAACATACGCCTGATAATAATCCCTAAAGAAAAAAACCAATAATAAATTGGTCACTTCAATCCACGACTGTTTGTGGGACACTGCTGCGCGCAATTTGACTGCCGCATTTCGTCCACGAGTATACAGTTAAGTCACTTTATAGTATATTCTGTGAAGTGTTTTGAGACATCTAGAAGACGTAAAAAGTGCTATATCAAATGCAAGGATTATTATTATCTAGTGCCCTTCATGCAGGGCAGCCTCAGAACATAGAAGTGGTGTAGCCTTACGCTGAGCCGGAGGGAGGGAGGAGGTGACCGTAAGCAGCAATAACAACAACTTGGATTTATATAGTGCCCTCCACGCCAGACGGCGTCTCACAGTGCTTCACATTAACGGATCCCGGGGCTGAGCCAGGGGGAGGGGGATGAAGGTGACCAAAGGCGCGGTCGAAAAGAGAGGTCTTCAGCCGAGACCTGAAAATAGGAAGAGAGGGCGCGAGGCGAAGGGAGTGAGGAAGGGAGTTCCAGAGCATTGGGGAGTAGTGGCTGAAGGCACGGCCGCCTATGGTGGAGTGGAGGATTCGGGGGACAAGGAGGAGGCCAGACCTGGTGGAGCGAAGACAACGGGCACTATTGTGAGGAGAGAAGTCAGAGAGATAGGGGGGGTGCAGAGGAGTGAAGGGATTTGAAGATAAGAGTGAGGATCTTGAAGTCGATCCTCTCTGGGACAGGCACCCAGTGCAGTCTGGCAAGGACTGGGGTAATCGGGGAGCAGAGTTTGGTGCGGGTAAGAATGCGGGCGGCAGAGTTTTGGATTGATCTGGATTTTATGAATGGTAGTGGAGGAGAGAGACCGGCGAGGAGGGCATTTGAATAGTCCAGCCAAGAGGTGACAAAGGCATGGACCAGGGTTTCGGCGGCTTTTGGAGTGAGGTATTGGCAGAGACGGGCGATGCGTCAGAGGTGGAAGAAAGCGGTGCTGGTGAGGGACCGGATGTGGGGGAGGAAGGATAATTGGAGTTTGAACCTGACGTCTAGGTTTGTCGTGGAATAAAACCATAGACCACACAAACAATGAACAGTAATCAGTACAGGCTTTATTACAAGCTTAATTACAAGCTTACCGGTAAAGGGAAGCACCCAATCAGGTTCCCAAGTCATCCGAGATGGTACTTCCACCGAGTGAATAAGGACAAATCTTATATCTTGTCTGATTATGCGGCATTTTACAACCGATCATAATTCCTTACTATAACCCGTGACAATTCTGCAGCATTTTTACATCCAATTATAACAATGAACAGTTTTCCTTTGTCTGCTATAGTTTCACACACTCATATCAGTCATGTGATCTTACCCAACCCTGAAGAGTGGAGCCATCTGGTTTTAAGCAATCATCTCTTCTAGTCTGGGAAAAGGTTAGAATGTCTGAGACTTTGTGTAAAGACCTTGAATAAGACCACTGTATAAGACTATGTGGCAACACTGTGTACATGCTTCAATTATCTATCACGTGAACCAACCATGTACGTCGTCAGGGTCGTATAACCTTTGTAGGCTGATGGTACATTTAGTGTCACCTTCCACAGGTTGCGTACGGGTTCGGAGAATTTTTAGGGGGAGGACGGGTAGGTGGAGGAAGTGAGAACCATGCGATTTTAGACGTTGACGAGAGCCAAAGAGTATGGCTTCCATCTTTCCAAAATTACCTGAAGGAAATTCGCGTTCATCCAGCTCCTGATATCTGACAGGCAGGCAGACAGTACATCAGGGACTGGGGGTCGCAAAGTGAGGTGGAAAAAGAGTTGGGAGTCGTCCGCATGCATGTGGAAGTGTACCCCATTTCTGCGGATGACATCCCCAAGAGGGAGCATATAGATTAGGAAGAGGGGGGGGGCCAAGGATGGATCCTTGGGGTACCCCGCAGGTAACCGGGTAAGAGCGGGAGGAAAAGCCGTTTGTGCAGATGTACTGCTGGCGGTTCGTGAGGTAGGACTCGAACCAGGCGAGTGTAGTCCCACTGACGTGGATGACAGAGGAAAGGCAGTGGAGAAGGACGGCATGATTGACTGTCGAAAGTGGCGGAGAGGTCCAGGAGGACAAGGAGGCAGAGGGAGCCCTGGTCACAGATAGAGAGGATGCCATTTGAGACTTTCACAAGTGCAGTCTCTGTATTGTGGGCAGGGAGGAAACCGGAGTGGAGTGGTTCGAAGAGAGAGTGGGAGGAGAGCTGTGCGCGAAGTTGATTGGCAACAACGCGTTCAAGGACTTTGTCAATGAAGGGCAAGTTTGAAATAGAGTGGTAGTGGCTAAAGTCGAAGCAAAGTCGAAGAGGAAGGTTTTCAGTTGTGATCTAAAAGCAGGGATGATGGGGGCATGGTGGAGGAATTGAGGAGCAGAGTTCCAAAGCTTCATGGCCTCATGGCTGAAAGCACGGCTGTTGATGGTGGCGAGGAAGGGATAAGCAGGAGGCCAGAGCCAGCTGAGCAGAGGTAGTGGGTTGTGGAGTGTGGAGAAAGCAGGTCAGAAGGTAGGGAGGTGCAGGGTGTGAAGGGATTTGTAGGCAAGAGAACGGATTCATTTCCAAATCCTCTCAGTGATGAACCAATGGAGCCTGGCAAGGACTGGTATGATTGGGGTTTAGTGTGGGTGAGTAGAACTTGTTCAAAACTCGTGTTATGTTTATGGATAGTGGAGACTGGCAAGGCGGGCATTGGAATAGTCAAGGTGGGAGGTGATGATGGTGTAGATGAAGGTTAATCTGCTTCAAGTCCACCTTGCTTTTAACCATTTGTGGAATCAATTAATAGATTAAACAAGGTAGTGAGTAGATGCTTGGAAAATCGAAAAGGATATGGTAGGAAGGCAGTGAGGTTTGATTACAAGAGGTGATGGAATTTATGTCATGGAATGGTGTGTTGCAGTTTCTGTGACTCAGCAGCATAACTTGTCTATTTGGATTTGGTATGAATTATTAGATCTGAGAAGACTTCTAGTATTGCCTACTTGGTTGCAATCAAATAAGTCATTATTTATGGTTGATCGGCCACAGTAAAGATATCGTGAGTGATCCGATGACCCAGATTCAGTTTAACGGTTAGTTAAAATCACTCTTGAATAACAAGGGGTATAAGCTCACCTAAAATTTGCCAGCCTTCACGTGTCCTTGAAACCCCCCTACCCTCTTATTGGTGTATAGTTCCACAGAGGTGGCTATCACTGGTATCTCTTCTCCTTAATTGCGTACGTTTCACAGGTACTTTCAGTCAATGGTAATCATCCATTTGGCCATTTTTCATCCATGTTAGGGGCATCACATCCATTCTCTAGGCTTAGTTGGTTTTGTATACACACGCACCAGGAACAACAAAATTACATTTATAGAGCGCCTTTCATGCTGGGAGGATGTCCCAAAGCGCTGAACAGTCAGGTGTCGGGGCCTGAGCATGGGGGAGGGATGGTGTAGGGGTGAGGGAAGGCAGAGAGGTGGGAGGGCAACTGAAGGCATGATCGAAGAGAAGGGTCTTGAGACTGGCCTTGAAGAAGGCAAGGGAGGAAGCGAGGCGAAGGGACCATGGGATGGAGTTCCAGAGTGTGGGGGCAGAGAGGCTGAAAGCCCGGCCACCGATGGTCGGGCGGGAGACATGGAGCAGGCCGGAGCCCATTGAACAGAGGGAGTGGGCAGGTTGGTAGGGAGCCAGCAGGTCAGAAAGGTAGGAGGCCATGGATGGCCTTGAAAGTGAGGACCAGGATCTTGAATTCGATCCTTTGGGGGATGGGGAGCCAGTGGAATCGGGCGAGAGTGGGAGTGATGGGGTCACGGAGCCTGGTGCGTGAGAGTACACGAGCTGCAGAGTTTTGAGATCTGTAGCTTATAAAGGGAAGAGTTGGGGAGGCCGATGAGAAAGGAGTTTCTGTAGTCGAGCCTTGATATGACGAATGTGTGGGAGAGGGTTTCTGCAGCCTGAGGGGAAAGGCAGTGATGGAGTCTGGCAATGTTGCGGATCAGAAATCACTGCATTTTGATAACGTTTTTTATATATAGTGTATATATATTCTACTTCTGTAGATGGTAGTGTACAGCAATGCCTGGCCTTTAGCCCGGCTTTGACTTGCTCCTTCCCTTACCTCTTTCGAGGTTGACCTCCATCCATCATCCTCTCTGACTATACTTTTGGCCATTTTTACTCCCTCACCTCAGGTGCAAACCCAGGACTGTCCAGTGCCTTGGGATGTCCTCCCAACATGAAAGCTGCTATGTGAATATATTTGTTACATCTCAGTATACTGCTGCATATTTGCTCTACTATTGTACATGACCTAGTGGACAAGATATGGTTCATCAATGGTGTGAAAATTCAGCATGTTTTTATTTTTATATATCAGGTTAAGTACGAGTGCCTTGTGGATGAAATCAAAATTGGGGATTATTATCTACGCCTTTTGTTAGAAGAAGATGAAAATGAAGAGACTGGTGCAATCAAGAGATCGTAAGACTTGTGTTCCTTCTGACATTGTTCTGCTTCATTACATTGCATGTTTTATCTTGCTCTTTTTCAATATGTGCATTTATTGTTACAGGTATGAATTTTTCAATGAGTTGTATCATCGCTTCTTACTTACCCCTAAAGTGAATATGAAGTGTTTATGTTTACAAGCTTTGACAATTGTTTACGGCAAATGCTATGAGGAAATAGGACCATTCAGTGATACAAAATACATTATTGGAATGTTGGACAGGGTGAGCATTACAAATCTTTCATATTTAATTTGTTTATAGCTTTACAAACTGAGCTGAGCTGCATATTAGGCCGTGTTCTTAGTGAAAATTATACTCTCTCTAAGATTGAAACCAAGGAAGTGCCTGACATATGGTTCTTCAACCGTTTCCCTCTTTCCCTTTGGTCCTACTGTACCCCTGTGTCTCCTCCACTGGAGCTAATCCTATTCCTAACTTCCTGCGCTTTCTCTACATGCTTTTTAGATGTTCAGTTCCCTTTTAAATGTTAAATGGCTCCTGTTGTTGAGATGTACTAATCATGGGTCTTTAATAGTTCTATGATTTTCAATGATGCTGCACCATTTCTGCCTGTTGCTGGGTATCTGCAGTGTTAATTCAATATTCATTGAATTTGTTTAAATGGTTGGCTGTAATTGAGAAAAATTATTGTGTTGGCACAGCGGACAAGTAATAGTAGGAGCATTCTGAACTATAGTCACTCTATTGTACCATTTCAATCTCCTTTAAATTTATAAAGCAAATTGTTCATTAGTTTATAGTTAGAGAAATGGCCAAAATATTGGGTAATTGGATAAGATTATATACCATTAAGGTTCACATGACCAAAAGCTGATATTTTCATCCACACAAATCTGTATTGCCAGATTTCTGGACATTGCACATTAATTCCACATTTCAAGACCTTTGCAGTTTAGGTTATTGTCAAAGTTAGTGTAGTTACCTAGGATAATTCATTCAGTAAAGTGTAGGGCATCAATATGTAGAGAACCCATCTAATTTTCCCACAAGACGTATTTTTGTATCCATCTGTAAGGCTGAACCTTGCTAATCATAAGGTTATGAACCATTTCCTCATGGGCTTATTCATGAAGAAATGGTACAGGGTCTTGATTGAGACCACTAATGAGATGATGATGAATATCAACAGGCTATTTGACCATGGAGGGCAGGCCATCACAGCCAAGCCTGATCCTATCCTTGCCCAGCCTGCACACCTTTAGCAGATGTCTGGATGGTGATGGAACAGGAAATATAGCTCATATTGTCCCATTCCAAAGCTTTTGGCATAGAGTATCAGCTTGTTCAACAAATTAGGATTCAACTCTTTCTAGTTGTATGAACTAGTGCTGCAACAGCCTTACTCACTGGGCTGTAGGGAATTTCTGTCCTTGAGGAATTCCAATGAGCTGGAGTAGTATTTGCCTTGACGTAGATTTGCCTTTCAATCAAGCCTGGTACGCAGTGCAGCTTCAGGCATATTGTAAATGCCATTAGACTGATTCGACATCCCGCAGCTCAATGATTCTTGTTGGAAGCAAGATTCTGGCTGAGTGCTTAGTGTTTTATGTGCTGTTTTACAGAAGGATGTGCATGATTTTGCTGTGCAACATTTTTCTTGAAATCTATTAATCTTTATTAATTGATCATTACATTTGCTACAGCACCTTTCACGTCAGGAGGATGTCTCAAAACACTTCACGATTATACTGTAAAGTGTATTGACAGTATTTTGTAGGTGAACACGTCACTCAATTTGCACGCGGCAATGTGCGACAAACAGCCTTGTACAATTTTATCTGGGGGATTGTTGAAGAAACTTTATTTTTTGAATTGCACACAGAAATGTCCCACAAACTGCTATGAAATTGAATGACCAATTTTATTTGCGGGATTGTCCGCTAGGACACTCGGAGAAACTCCCTTTTCTTTTTGAATATTAGAACAACTTGCATTTATATTGCGCCCCTCACGCAGGGCAGCGTCCCAGAGCGCTTATTACTATGAGATCTTTAGCATCCATCAGAACAGCCAGATGGTTTAATGTTTTATCCCTATAATACAGCACACCCCTAACACTGGATTGTCGGCCTCGATTGAGTGCAAAGTCCTGTCAAAGCTTGAACCCGCAACCTTCTGGCTCTGAGGCAAGAGTGGTACCAATTGAGCCAGATTGACTTGCATTGTAACTGAACTGATTGGCAGATGACCCCTGAGACACACTCCTTGTTCCCAGAATGTTGAACAATTTAATTGGCAACAGTTGCAAATTTAAGAGAGCACTCCTATCGAGTTAGCGAGGATCCATGAGGAAGGGATATGATGAGGACTGATGTGTGGTTAGCTAGTTCAGGGAACATGTTCACAAAAAGATTGCAGGGGTTGAGGGAGTCCTTTAAGAACTATCCTCTCCCGCACCAGGCCCTGTGACCATATCACCCCCATCCCCGCCCAGCTCCACTGGCTCCCCATCACTTAGAGAATACAGTACAATATCATAGTCCTCACCTTCAAAGCCTTCCACGGCCTTGCTCCTTCATACCTTTGTGACCTCCTAAACCCAAACCAATCTGTGCGCTCCCTCCACTCAGCGGGCTCCGGCTTGCTTCACGTTCCCCTTCCTTGCCCGCCTCACCATTGGTGGGTGGGCCTTCAGCCTCTCTGCCCCCAGCCTCTGGGATTCCATCTCACAGTCCCTCTGCCTCGCTCCCTCTCTTGCCTCCTTCAACAACAACAACAACAAGATTCCATTTATAAAGCGCCTTTCACGTCAGGAGGACGTCCCAAGGCGCTGCACAGTTGGGTTATGACCCGAGCAGGGGGGAAATGGTCAGGGTGAGGGGAGGGAAGGGAGGGAGCGAGGAGGGGGAAATGGTCAGGGTGAGGGAAGGGAGGGAGCGAGGAGGGGGAAATGGTCAGGGTGAGGGGAGGGAAGGGAGGGAGCGAGGAGGGGGAAGAGAGTTGAGAGGGGAGCTGAAGGCACGGTCAAAGAGAAAGGTTTTGAGACCGGCCTTGAAGGAGGAAAGGGAGGAGGCGGCGAAGGCACTGGGGATGGAGTTCCAGAGCCTGGGGGCTGAGAGGCTGAAGGCCCGACCACCGATGGTAGGGCGGTTGGGGCGGGGACGTGGAGCAGACCAGAGCCAGAGGAACGGAGGGTACGGGCAGGTAGGTAGGGGGATAGTAGGTTGGAGAGGTAGGAGGGAGCAAGGCCGTGAATGGCCTTGTAGGTGAGGATGAGGATCTTGAATTCGATCCTCTGGGGGATGGGGAGCCAGTGGAGGTGAGCGAGGATGGGAGTGATGTGGTCGCGAAGCCTGGTGCGGGACAGTACACGAGCTGCAGAGTTCTGAATGACCTGCAGCTTGTGGAGGGAGGTGGCAGGAAGGCCCATCTCAAGACCTTCCTCTTCAACCATGCCTTCGGTCACCCTCCTACCCCTATCTTCCACCCCTCCTGATCCCAACCACCAGGTCGGGTCCAGATCCCTGACTGTCCAGTGCCTTGGGATGTCCCCTTGATGTGAAAGTTGCTGTACAAATGTATTTTGTTGTTGCTATTTTGGTCAGGTGATTATCTCCCGCTCAGGTATACTTTGCCTTTCCATCATGCACAATAGTTCTGACCATTAATTTTCTGCCACATTCAATCTGATGATTCATTCATTGTTGTGTACTGTACCTACAGTCTATATAATTCTACGTTTGAAGATTTGCCTTTTTTTTTTGATTGACTCCATCTTGTACTGCTTTTTGCCTGAGTATTGCTCATTTGGCTTCCTGCTGACTTGTCTTTCTATCTCTGGTTGAAACCACCTCTAATTGTCAAATGCTTTGATATTCTGGGTGTTTTTACCATCTTTAAGAGCTTTAAGAATCCAAGATGATTCTTAACATGTTCACTGGAACACTAGCTGTGTCAATGTCTAAATTCTCCAGGTCAGCTGGAGAGTAGAATTTAATATAGTGTTATTAGCATTCCAAGCATGATGTGTAATTATATATTGTTGGGAGTAAGTATTGGGATGCGCAACAATTGGTGATGCTGCTTTTATGCAATTTTCTGCATCATTTATAATGTTTCCGTCAGAGGCTGAGTGCTCATCTGACCACACTTAGTTCAGACTATTCCCCTATTTGCATATCCTATTATAGAACTATGACTAACTGAGATTGGTATAATTATCTGTAGTAAGTTTATGTAACCAGTTATGAAAAAAAATTGAAATAATGCTGCACCAAATCAGTTGTGTTGATAAATTGTCCTAAAAGGATTTCACAAATACAGTTGATCCTAACACAATTCCATGATATTAAATCTACAGTTGTCTAAATTCATGCTGGTATCTCTTGTAAGGTTATATTCAAATTACAAATTATTTGCGAACTTTGCTTTTACAGTGCACAGACCGATTGGAGCGAGACAGACTCATTCTTTTCCTACACAAACTGATTCTTAACAAGGTAAGTATCATATGAGCAAAATTTCAAAGCTATCACTGTTGGTTATTGTGCATAATGTGGACCATTTACTGTCAGAAAGATCATTTAAAATGTGTTGCAAATTATGGTTCAAATGAAAATTGGAAATGTATAATTTTACAGAAAAATGTGAAGGAAATCATGGACTCCAATGGAGTTCGAATTCTTGTGGATTTGCTTACACTGGCTCACCTCCATACCAGCAGAGCTACTGTACCACTGCAGGTAAGGGCTGTTACCTCATGTAATCATGTTTTAAGAATATTTTATTTAAAAAATGATAATCCTTTTTCAATCTTTCAGAGCAATGTTATCGAAGCAGCACCTGATATGAAGAGAGAAAGTGAAAAGGAGTGGTATTTTGGCAATGCAGATAAAGAGAGACTTGGTCCTTATAGCTTTGAAGAGGTATATTTTGGGTTTGCAATTCTGTGGTAGTTGTACAGCATGAGTGAACCTTGTGATTCTTTAGGGTGCGGGGAGGTAAGCAAGGTCTCCTTGGGGCTGAGCTGGCTCCAAGATCATGCACTTTGCAGTAATGTTGGGACTCCAGCCAACCCTCTATGGTGGTCTTGGTGGTAATAATAATAATCCTTACATTTGATATAGCGCTTTTCACATCTTCTAGACGTCCCAAAGCGCTTCACAGAATATACGGTAAAGTGAATTGACTGTATATTTGTGGGCGAACGCAGCAGCCAGTTGCGCACAGCAGTGTCCCACAAACAGTTGTAGATTGAAAATGACCAATTTATTATTGTTTTTTTGGAGGGATTATTATTAGTTGTGTGGAGCAAGGAAACTTGCCCAAGGTTTCGCCCTGCCTGGAATTGAAGTCAGGTCTCTCGCTTGCAAAGCGAGTGCTCTAACCACTGAGCTACAGGACTCCTCAGTCGGGTGGGTCCACAGTTAAGGCACTGCTGATGGCACATTGATTCATTGGCAGGACTTGAAAGGACAGACTGGTTACCTGATGCAGTGATTCTTGCCATTCAGCTCTTGTTAACCCAGAGCTCTAAGTGTGAGGTTAGCACTAACTAGACAAGGTTGTCAGACAATGCTCTTGATGGCAAGCATTGCTGTTTTAGCTAGTTGAACTGCCGCATTACATCAGCACATTCTGGGGTCCCAAGCCTTACCTCTTTGCCAACCTGTGCTAATAGGGTGTCTCCCTCCAGAGAAAATGTGTATTCGATACACAGAGAATTTTTGTGTGCAGGTGGCATGTATGTGTGAAAAACTCAATGTAGTTTAGATACTTGTGTGTGTTAATGTGTTTCTGCATGTATCAGAAGCCTTGCTGATCAAAAAAAATCTTCCTGATTGGAGACCACTTAGTTGACGTAATATTTGCAGTCTTCTGCATCATTTATAACCTTTCCTTCATAAGCTCACCTGACCACACTTAATTCAGACTACTCCCTTGACAATTAAATGGAATATATTCAACCTCCTACTAGAGCAGGGCCAGCTAACTGCGGAACCTGTCTGGCTTGTGGGAAGACTGTCTGATCATCTTTAAACAGGAAGCCACATGTTCTGGGACTATACTCTAGTTTTTGTTTGTGAGAAATATATCCAAATATAAATAAATCAGTTTTTGTTTTATCGTGATTTTTTTCCTGTTTTCTGCCTAGATTCAGGAGTTTTGGAAAACGGGTGTGCTGGTACCAAAGACTCGTTGTTGGGCCCAGGGTATGGATGGCTGGCGGCCACTACAAGCTATTCCACAGCTGAAGTGGTGTCTATTAGCCAGCGGACAGGCTGTACTGAATGAGACTGACCTTGCTACTCTGATTCTTAACATGCTTGTCACCATGTGTGAATATTTCCCCAGCAGGTACAAAGCTTCTATTACACTTATTTTTAAAGCTTCAGAGGCAGTAATGACTTGTATAGTAAGCTTTTGAAAGCTGCTTTTTATTTTTTTTCAATGTATATTCGGTAAAGTAAAACTATTTAGTTTTCTAATTGATGAACAGCAATATATAGAGTAACTGATTCTAATTATTCAAAGCATTTTCTTGAATAATTTTCCTTAATATATTTCAGAGATCAGGATAATGCCATTATTCGACCACTTCCCAAGATAAAGAGGCTACTTACAGACAATACCTGTCTCTCTCACATTGTTCAGGTAGTGTAATTTCTCTTTGGCAACTTGTGCCTAATATTTTATGGAATTGGGTATCTGTCCGGGCATTCCAATAAATATCTCTGAAACGTCCATGTGTAGATGGGATACATGGAACTCTAATTTGGACACCCTTAGGAATGGTGATGGGTTTCTGCCTGTGTCAGACATCTGGCTGATCAAGAAAAAGCTTTCTTTTTTTTCTAACGTAGCAAAATGTCACCTGGTTTGCAGTAATCTTTAATTTTACAAATACGTTTTAGAATTTTGCTCTTTAGGATGCTGACATAAACTTAATTATTCATGTGTTTTCTCTCATAGCTGTTAATAACATTTGATCCTATCCTGGTTGAGAAAGTTGCCAATTTGCTGTACCACATTATGCAAGACAACCCACAATTACCTCGCCTCTACCTTACTGGTGTGTTTTTCTTTATTATGATGTACACGGGTTCAAATGTGCTGCCTATTGCCAGGTGAGTTCATGAAAAAACTTTATAAAGTGGAAACATTTTATTTACTTTCAAATAACACTTTGGTCCAACTCAGACTTACAAAAACATTTAATTTACAAATCTGCACTCTTATCCTCTAGGTTTTTGAAATATACTCACCTGAAACAGGCATTCAGATCTGAAGAGGTCAGTGCAAAGAAGGAACTCACAAGTTGTATCTTAACATTGTATTTGTATTAACAAGCTTCAATACATGTTACCGTTTAAAAAAAATGTTACCGATTTGAAATTTACATGTTAGCTTTGAAATTTGCCATTTTTCTCATAAATGTGACTTGGATGCAAGTCATTTGACAAAAGCAGGAGATCCTGGCCTATTTTAAGAACGTTAGTTGGAATTCATATGACTTTATTTATTACATTTCTTCCCCCCTCCTCAAACAAGCAGAAATTTAGCATGCATACCTGTGAGTTCAAGGGAGGACACATTTAGAAAAATCCTGGTAGTTCATTGCAGAGTATTTCTTAAAATTTACAATGAAATTGTTAATCTTTTAACGTGAATTATCATAGGTATTTTGTCAGACATATGCTATATGGGGGATGTACCTGTATCATGATAGCTCTCTGCTGAATTTATTTCATTTGCTCTTTCCCCAAAGTCTTCACATCCAACTATCTAATTCCATTTTAAGTAACACAATTGAGTGCTTGAATTCAGATCCTTACCTCTCAAATCATCTCCACAAACGGTTTCTCCTCTAACCCCACACCGTCTCATGCGGCGTTCCTCGGTCTCTGTCCTTGGTCCCCTCCTCTTCAAAATCTATTTGCCCCCTCTTGGTGACATAATCTGCAGTGGTCAACTTCCACATGTATGCGGATGACACCCAACTATCTCTCTACCACTGTCTCCCATCGCAGGACGCCAAAACCCTCATACACGCATTCATAACATTCAGGTTTGACTATGCAAACTCCCTGCTTGTTTGTCTCCCCAACTCCTCCGTCCAGAGGCTGCAGATCATCCAGAACTCTGTAGCCCATGTCCTCTCCCACACCAGGCTCTGTGACCCCATCTCCCCCATCCTCTCCCCACTCCACTGACTTTCCATCACACAGAGGATACAGATCAAGATCCTGGTCCTCACCTTCAAAGCCCTCCATGGCCTTGCTCACCCCTAACTCTGCACCTTCTAACCCCTTACCAACCTGCCCTCTCATTCCATTAGCGGGCTCCGGCCTGCTTCACATCCCCCGCCTCACCTGCTCCACCATTGTCGGGCGAGCCCTCTGCCCCCACCATCTGGAACTCCTTCCTGCAGTACCTCCGCCTCGACCCTTCCCTTGCCTCCTTCAAGCCCTCCTGTTTGACCGTGCCTTCAATCACTCTCCTTCCCCCGACGTCCCGCCCTCCACCTTCCCAATCCCGACCCCCCAGTTCGGGTCTGAAACAGACTATCCAGCGCCTTGGGAAGTCCTCCCAACATGAAAGACTCTATACAAATATAATTTTGTTGTTGGTGTAAAATTGTGCTGCAATCAATTTAGGCTATTTGGTATTCGTTAACATTTCGTGGCCATACATCTTAATGTTTGATGTGGATCCTAGTTGATTTTGACTGTTAAACTTGCCCTTATCCTCATGAGTTCATATGTTTTCTTGATTCCTATGGGATTAAAATTGTAGAATTTTTCTTCACTACCTTGGAATTGAGGTGTGTATAGGTTTGGCCCTTTAGAGTGGAAGATTGATTGCCAATATAGATCACTTAAATTTCATGGAATGCCTAGACCATTCTAGTTATGAAACGTAATCTTCCAACTTCTTTTGGTGCTCGATTACCTGTCTTGTTTTGTTTAAAAAAAGGTTTCTTATTGTTCAGCGCTGAATCTCAGAACAAATAATTAATACTGTATTTAATCCTTTTGGATTTATCTTTAGCTCAGTTTCTATAGTTCCATCTCTAGTCTTCATTGATTCCCAGTGCCACATTCAGTGAAAGTTCAGATGTAGTTAATGTTAGAGTTGTAAACTGAGATGGCTCCAGTCAACGCATTTTCCTGCAGAAATCTTTTGGAACCTAAAAGGTTTCATATTATTTCAGCGGATTATTTTCCCAGTCTTGTATATATTTTCATATATTTTGCACAAACTATGGAATGAAAGAAAATTAAGCCTGCTCCTTTGGCTTCAAATAATATTAGTCAAGACTATTTCAAACAACACATCTAATTTCTTGTGGAAAACATTGTGCTGAATTTCTCCTGGTCCTCACTAATAAATGAAAGAAAATTCAGTTATCTAACTTGACATCTTAGATTCTGCATTATTGGAATAACACTTTCATGTTCTTAGAAGCAGGTTTATTTTTCATCTTGTACTGACCAGTATGTCCAGAACCCACATTATAATAATAATCCTTGTATTTGATATAGCATCTTATCACAAGACATCTTCGAGACGTCTCAAAGCACTTCACAGAATATACTGTAAAGTGAATTGACTCTATGTTTTGTGGGAGAGCCACAGCAGTTAATTGCGCACAGCAATGTCCCAAACACAGTTATGGATTGAAGTGACCAATTTATTATTATTATCTTTTCCGGGGTTATAGGAATTATTACCCCAGAAAAGCCATCCATCAATCGACTAACAACCGGGTTCTTACTTACTGCTAGGTAAACAGAGACGTGTGGAATAAGGAAACTTGCCCAACATTTCGCCCTGCTGGCAATGAAACCTAGTTCTCTCGCTTGCCAGGCGAATGCTCTATGATTTATGAAGTTCTTAGCCCTGATTCCAACTGTTTCTTTGATATTTTCAATCATTGAAAGGGATGTCAGATTTTGTATCTTATTACTTAAATCCCTCTTTGGAAAGGTTGGAATATCACAACTTTAACAGAGTGGAAAAAAATTGTAATCCAACTGTTCTCCCCATTCAGACTGTATTCAGAACACCATTTGTAAAATGTCTTAATCCTATATGAGTAGCACTGCATATTGTTTTAATTATTGTGAAAATAGCATTTGAAATGTAACTTTTTTTCCCTCCTGTTTATTCAGGCAAAAGGACAAGACTTGGTGCAGCGAAGTGTTCTGGGGCACATTCTTCCTGAAGCAATGGTCTGTTATTTAGAAAACTATGAACCAGAAAAATTTTCAGAGATTTTTCTAGGTGAATTTGATACTCCAGAAGCAATTTGGAGCAATGAAATGAGGTACTAGCTCAAACTCTTCTTTCGGGCATTCAGCTATATCTGTCACAGTTCATCAATCTGTGGAAATAGACTGAATTTTCTAGCATTGTTTTCTGTGCTACTGACATTTTTTTCTGGAATCCTCAGTTGAAGCAGTAATCTGAGCCATTGCTACCGCACACGCTTCCCACGTGAAGTTAGGACATTTTCTTTAGGATTTATATGGTGGAGCTCTTCAGGATTATAGAGGGCTGTGTTGGGTTACATAATAGGTCATATTTACTCTTTGGCAAGTCAGTAACAAGCGGGCACACATTTAAGTTGGTCAGAAAAAGAATTAAAGGGAAGATTAGAAAACAAATCCTTTACACACCTGGTGAATTGAATGTAGAATTTTGAGAATGTTGAACAAGAGTCTTTAAATTATCTTGAAGGCAATTAGATAAACTCATGAAAAGGAATATTAGAATATGAAAATTGTTTTCTGATGCCTGTCTAAATATTTACCTTGCCAACATTGCCAATATGGACTTGACATTAATATGTTGATCCAACCCTCTTGACTCCAGTCCCCAGCAAACCCTTCACTGTTCAGCTCCTTGGAGTGTCCCCCTGGTGTGAAAGACACTAAATATATGCAAGTTCTTGTTATTGATCCAGTGTATGCAGAAATATTTAACAAAAATGTTGTGTATCCATACTTTCAAAATTGCTGAAGTTTCAGATTACAAATTACAAATCAACAACAAATTGTGTTTAGATAGTACCTTTCACATTGGGAAAACATCCCAAAGCACTTGGTAGTCAGTTTGCATGTGAGCTGGGGTTTGGTTTGGGGAAGGGCGGGGGCCAAGGTATGTTCAAAGAGGAAGGAATTCCTGAGAATGGGATCAGAAAGGCTGAAAGCCTGATTGCCAATGGTGGGGCAGGCAAGGGGGAGGACGTTAAGCAAGGCAGTACCCACAGGATCGAGGGAGTGAGCCAATTGGTAGAGTTTTAGGTGGGGCTGGTCAAGACTGTGAAGGGATTTAAAAGTGAGGATGAGGATCTTGAACTTGATCTTCTGTGGAGGATTACTACTACATTCTGAATTTATTGTGAGTTATTTATATTGCCAACAATTTCTCTTATTTTTAAATGTAAAATAGCTAACTTAGTGTAACATTCCTGTGAAGGTACTGTACATGAAGCTTTTAATGTGTTAAGTCTAATCACAAATTTTTATATCAATTGTAGGCGTCTAATGATTGAGAAGATTGCTGCCCATTTAGCAGACTTCACACCTCGCCTACAAAGCAACACAAGAGCATTGTACCAGTATTGTCCTATACCAGTCATCAGCTATCCCCAGTTGGAGAACGAACTTTTCTGTAATATCTACTATCTTAAGCATCTCTGTGATATTGTTCGGTTCCCCGACTGGCCTATTAAAGATCCTGTAAGTGTTGATAGTTACTTTTCTCAAAGGAAATGTTGTCCTGAAAATGATTTGTAGCAAATAAAGAATGCATAGTACCAGGTCTAGCATATTAGTAATAGTAGTTCCCAGTATATTGGAGCAAGATCAAATTTAAGTTTAGAATAAGTGTCTTATTAGTTAACACCTGCCTGATTTTTATTATTTACAAATCTGCCTTCAGGTAAGATTGCTCAAAGACACTCTGGACGCTTGGAAAAAAGAAGTAGAAAAGAAACCTCCTTCAATGTCCTTGGATGAAGCATTTGACGTTTTAAATCTTCCAAAGGGACAAGGAATGTGAGTATATATTTGGTGATAGATGGAGGTTGAATTTAACATTCTTTATGATGTGTTTAATATCTTCTACTGCCATTGGTTTATACTCTATTGGCTTATATTGAAGTTGTGTCAGATTCATTGAAGGAATATTTGCTTGAGATAAAGACTGGAATCTTTCCTGTAGGATAGATGTCTGACATCATCCAAGTCCATTTGCTCATGTATTATAGTAAGGCAGCACCACTCCCAGACTTTATGGTTTGTTTTCTCCTGGAGGATGACCTCTCTTTTGCAGTTTTTTGTAGTTTTTTTGCTCCCCCCTACCTCTCCGACCTCCTAACCCCCTACTACCCTGTTCGCTCCCTCCACTCAACGGGCTCCGGCCTGTTTCATGACCCCCGCCTTGCTCGCCCCACTATCGGCAGGTGGGCCTTCCGCCACTCTGCACCCACCCTCTGGAAATCCATCCCGCAGTCCCTCTGTCTCGCCCCCTCTCTCGCCACCTTCAAGACCCTCCTCTTCGACCGTGCTTTCGATCTCCCTGCTTCCCCACCCTCCACCCTCCCCCACCCCGACCCCCAACTCGGGTCCGTAACTGTCTGTCCAGCGCCTTGGGACGTCCTCCCGACGTGATAGGCACTTAACAAATGTAATTTTGTTGTTATTTTGCTGAAGTATCTTTAAAATTTGGAATTTTACATTTTCTAGCCCATTGTTAAATGCTTCATTGCTTCATTTTAGAATATTAAAGTGAGTTTCCTAAATGTAACTGTTCCCAACTTTGTTTTGAACTTCTTTGGTAGAAATGATGAAAGCAAGATAAGAAAAGCCTACTTCAGGCTTGCACAGAAATACCATCCGGACAAGAATCCTGAAGGCAGGGTATGTTCTGTGAATAAAATACTTATTTTTATATGTGAAAATGTTTTATTCATTTGAAGTGCAAAATATTACATAAAATATATTACATAGCTAGTATTGATCCCCCACCCTGTGTTTCATATACCATTTAAAATAAGCCAAATTGGTTGGGGAGCATATTGAAACAGATTTTCTTTTATTTTAAATTTGCATGAATTTGTTCTAAGCAAAACAGTCAATTAAAGTATTATGACTATTTTGCTCACAAAACATCAAATGTTTTCTGATCTAATCAAAATATCTGTGTTCTAAAGGATATCTTTGAAAAGGTGAATAAAGCCTATGAATTTCTGTGCTCGAAGTCTATGAAAATGGTGGATGGACCTGATCCAGAAAATATCATTCTCATCCTGAAAACTCAAAGTATTCTTTTCAATGGGCACAAAAAAGGTAACTACACCTCCTCTGCCTTCTTCAGTACATTGTGTAAACACACTTTCTTTAATTTTCATCAGATTGTTAAGACTGTCACCAGAGTAGAAATGGGGAGGGTGCAAAACCTCCCAAGGGTGGTGAGCGATCTTGTGAGGTCAAAGTGCTACCCTGGGTGTTTCTTTTCCTAGGACTGTAGATATAAGGCAGGGATTGTAACCTAATTTACAATCCAGCACATACCAGGAATTAAGTTCCCAAACAGGAGGATGGAGAGGAAGCTCTCATGTAGACCAGGGATGGCCAACTCACATGCTTGATCTGATGACGCAAGTTGGCCATCCCTGCTCTAGACAAATGCCTGATTTCTACCCCATTAGAACAGTTCATGACTGTGCCCAGTCTGTCTTGTCAAATCCTGGACATATTGCAATAGTACAATGCCCAATACACCAGCCTTCTGAAATCATACAAATTAGCTTCACTGACCCATAGCCATCATTTTGCACAGTCGAAGATATAGAATCTGAAAAATGTTAATATAGTGAACCAACTTATGACTGGTTTATGTGCAACTTCAAAATAAATCAGGGTCTCGGAATTCCAGCCTTGAATGTTTCTGCTTTATAACCTCTTTTAATGGTGTACATAATAGCAAACCCAAGATTTGAATTCTGCCACCAGACAAATTCCAGATCTGTGGGACAGACTTGATTCTTTTTCCCCCCAAGACTTGACAAATAATGATGGTGGCTCATTGGGGGAAGAAGCTGTCATTTTGTGAATCTGGCTTGTGATCCTGAATCACTTTGTATTTGAATTCAAGTAGGTTATGCTGGACACTTTGTTCTCACAATTGCATTGCAAGCTAAGATAGCTCCAAGATGGGCTTGGGCACTTACACCATTTGATTGATTTATCAGAACTAGATGTTTCAAGTTTAAATTGCATCAGGTAAATGCAACTGTTAGCAATTTAAGTAGATTATTTTCTAGAAGGGGAGAGACTAGGTAGTGTTAGTGTTCAGAGGCATTTGGGTATCCTTATACACCAGTCACAAAAAGTTAGTATGCAGGTACAGCAAGCAACTAGGAAGGCTAATGGCATGTTGGCGTTCGTTGCAAAAGGGTTAGAGTACAAGTGTAGGGACGTCTTGCTGCAGTTGCATAAGGCCTTGGTGAGACTGCACCTGGAATAATGTGTGCAGTTTTGGTCTCCTCATTTAAGAAAGGACATACTTGTCTTAAAGGGGGTGCATCGTAGATTCACTAAGTTGGTTCCTGGGATGAGGGGGTTGACCTATGAGGAGAGGTTGAATAAACTAGGCCTATATTCTCTAGAATATAGAAGAATTAGAGGTGATCTTATAGAAACCTCTAAGATTCTTAAGGGTCTGGATAGGGTAGATGCCATGAGACTGTTTCCCCTGGTTGAAGAATCTAAAACTAGGGGTCATAGTCTCCAGATTAAGGGTCAGTCTTTTTGAACTGAGTTGAGAAAAACATTTCTTCCCTCAGAGGGTAGTGAATTTGTGGAATTCTCTGCCTCAGAAGGCTGTTAAATAAATGGTTCTGCAGCCAGTCATCCACAGCAAACGAACTAACACATTCAACTGCCATCATGGCCACCCGAACATATTCTAGACTGAGATTGATAGATTTCTAAAGGATAGAGGGAATACGGGATATGGGATAGGGCGGGTAAATGGAATTAGGTTAGAAGATCAGCCATGATCTTATTAAATGGCGGGGCAGGCTCGAGGGGCCTGAATGGCCTACTCCTGCTCCTAGGTCTTATGGTCAATTTGTTCTGTTTAGAATTTTCTCATAAATTGCATTTTTCTTAGATTTACAGCCCTATAAATATGCGGGTTACCCAATGTTGATCAAGACCATTACCATGGAAATATCAGATGATCAGCTATTTTCCAAAGTTTCTCTATTGCCAGCTGCCACTGAATTGGCTTTCCACACTGTCAATTGTTCAGCACTGAATGCTGAGGAGCTACGCAGAGAGAATGGACTAGAGGTACATTTATAAAGCTGAACAATAAATGTGTAGAATGTATTTAGGAAAGAACTGTACTGTAGAATATAAAATTAGACAAATTATGGTTCTGTACTTCAGTGAATTTGATAATGCACCTTCAGTTATGTTACAGCTTGAGTTTATCGATTTTCTAAAAAAGTGTATTTTTTGGGGGAGATGATAATCCTTGTGTTTGGTATAACCCTTTCACGCTGGGGGAATATGCTTCACGGCATTTTACTGTGAAATGTAGTAACTATTGATAGGCGAATGTGACAGCCCAATTGAGCACAGCCATGAAACAAATGGGGATCATTGGCCGGGACAAGAGAAACCATCTTCTCTTAAATACACAAAGTAATTTCATTCTATTTAAATGGTCTCAAATGATAGCTGTAATTAATCAGAACGTGAAATATTTGCCCCAAGTGACTTTTGACGTGAGAGGAAAACATTTTTAAAAACAAATTGAATAAACATTCTAAAACGTAAAATATGAGAGAGAGTAATTGGAATCTGAGCAGTTGGCACCATTGGATATATCCCAGATTATGTTGAATTAACTCCTGTAATTTCAATTTTATATAAACAAGTGTCTTGAAATTTGTTTTTGTGCTCGTGACTGCATCATTGCTGGATGCACAACATAGGTTTGACCAGCTGAGATTCAATTTAAATTGAACCAGATTGAGCTCTCGATTCTGTTAGTTTGGGTTGGCTAAAGACTTTCTATTGAGACATCAATTGTGGATTACCACCAGAAACTGAAGTAAGAATTTTAGGGGTTGTTAGAATAAGATATAGTTTAACCACAAATGGCTGAAATGGAGCCTACAATCCATTGAAAAGAAAACCTTCATTAATGAAACGAGTAACTGTAATGAATAGATTATGAACAAGATATTATTAAAAAAAATGTTGCCAGCAACCATAAACAAAATAACTTGCAACTTCCCGATTTAAAAACAACTCTGAAATGTCATACATTGCCCTAGTTTATTAGTGTATTCAGTAGAACTTGCATATTCAGTACTAAACCAATTGCGACTTGTATATACTAACGTCTAGCTGGATTTCCAAATGGGAGTGAATTGACTTTATATTTTCTGGGAGCTCGTCTGAATACAGCTGGGAGCTCTTGTGTAAAATAAATTCCCAAAGCTCAGGTCAACATTAATATCGAGACGTAAACTGTCAAACCTGCTTTTGGATACTTCTGAGGCCATTTTTTGTAAGCGTGCAATTTTATACAAGAAATAGAGTGGTTATAGGTTTGCTTGTTTTTCAGGTGTTGCAAGATGGTTTTGCACGTTGTGTGGCAGTGTTAACAAACTCCAGCAAAAAAGAAGATATGGCTGTGCAAGTAAGCATAGTTTAAATTTGCCTTTAGTATGAGTTTTATTCACTGAACTGATCCTATAGAATTAATGTTCCCTTTCTGCTTTAGGTGTGTGGACACATTTGTAAATGCTACAGTGTAGCAGCTCAATTTGAAGATTGCAGGGAAAAAATAACTGAAATGCCGAACGTCATCAGAGACCTCTGCCGATTGCTGTTTTATGGGAAAGTAAGTACTTGTGCACTTAATGCTGCATAGTCGTAATAGGCTTCTATTTTCCATCACTGCTACAGATTTTTTTAAAATAGTGATGTCTAAGCACATTATACCTATTAATATTTGATTATGCTGCAGATTCTGAACAATATAATTCTGATCACAATATTTTCAATGCTCGTCTTCATGTACAGTGTCTGCCCCGGGTGGCCATGATGGCAGTTGAGTGTGTTAGTTCGTTTGCTGTGGATTACTGGCTGCAGAACCATTTATTTAAAGCTGGTGTTCTGTGGCACCTGCTTGTCTACCTCTTCAACTATGACTATACACTGGAAGAAAGTGGAATTCAAAAGTGTGAGGAAACCAACCAGCAGGTATTTATTTAAACTAAACACCAGTGTGTATAGTGTAATGTGTGCAAACTTAATTTCCATTGTACTAGTTCTTTTTACATTTAAATTGGTTGAAGTTTGTGCTGCAAAATTGCAAGACATGAAGCAATTACTTGCTTGCAAAATAGATTTGTGAATAATTAATAGTTTGTGATCTTTGTTTTGAAAAAAATCAATTGCAACCAAATTAATTGCTACTTTTAAACAGGAAGTTTCTAACAGCCTTGCAAAGCTTTGTGTAATTGCTTTGAGTCGGTTGGGTGGATATCTGAAGGAAGAAAATGCAACACCTGAAAATCCTACAATACGGAAAAGTTTGGGAGCTCTATTAGCACCTTATGTCTCCAGAAGGCTTTCTCAAGATAGTCCTGCAGAGGTACATCTCTTTTTCTCTTGTGCTTTTTTAAAAAAACAATGTATAAGCGTGCCTGGAGCCATTTAACATTATTGCATTGCAACAGCATCTTTGAGTGCTAGTATTTTCGCATACCCTTTATATTTACATTTTAGCATAAACTCAGATGCTTTCGTAAGCTTTATTTTGTAAGGATATAATCTGATAGTTCACTCATGCAATATTCCTTCATTGTATGCAAAATGTTGGGCATGTTTCCTTACTCCAAACGCCTCTGTTTACCTAGCAGTAAGTAGGAACCCGGTTGTTAGTCAATTGGCGGATCGCTTTTCCAGGGATAGTAATCCTTAAAAAAACAATAACAATTAGGTCACTCAATCCACGACTGTTTGTGGGAGACTGCTGTGCGCAATTGGCTGCTACGTTTCGCCCACAAACCTACAGTCAATTCACTTTACAGTGTATTCTAGGAAGTGCTTTGCGACGTCTAGAAGGCATGAAAAGCGCTATATCAAATGTTATTATTATTATATGTTTTGGGATGTTTCTATCAGATCTTAACTTTAAAGCATTTTTTCAATGATTCATTTCAGTCAGCTAGATGTCCGACATGTGCAAAAACTCATTACCATGCTCAAGTATTTCAGCCAAAGAGTTCCATTTATGCATGATTCCTATCCATAGAAATGTCCCTGTGTACATATCCTGCTTACTTAATCTCAGACGGTATTTGGTGCAAGTTGGCAAGAGCAAAAGCTTGTCATGCTGCTGTTTAACCAGCTAAAGCCGCCTATCTTGGGTTTGTACGCACTATTTGGCAAACGACTCACTGCTTGACCAGCTAGGAACATCCTATCGGTTGGGACTTTGGCTTGCAAGGTTAATGGGAATTGAGTGGGAAGTCTCCCTGCCCTCACTGACTAGTATTCATTCTTGTTGGTTAAATAATCTTTCTCCCTATCAAGGTCTCTTTACAAGATTCAATTGATTCAATTACAAATTAGGCCCAATTATTTTCCCCATCAGCTCGCTGAATTTGTTGGGTGTCACTAATTTATTAAGGCTTTAATAAATTAAAGCTACACCTTTTACAGAATGTTGCTGGAGGAAAAATAAGGCACCAAGAAACTCCAGTTCTGCATATTTTAAATGTGAATTTTTTTTAGGAAAAACGTTGTTGAGCATGTAGAAATTGACTAGCACAAGTGTAAGAACAAGAAACAGCAAAGGATTTCAGAATGGAACTAGCCAATTTTCTGTTCACAAAATATTTGGGGCCATCAGATTCAGAGAAATGACAAAGTGTGGTGAAAGGTATGTTTTGTGACTGGCCTTGAATGGAGGGAGGGAGCACTAATGCTGATTTGTGCTTAATTTGTAAGCTCTGGAAACTAGCTATTGTGTTATAGTGAATCCTTGGTACATTTGTAGTTTAAGGAATTTGTGGACGTAACTTTCAAATCATCATCATTGAACTCGTTTTCTATTTTCAGATTCTCAAGATGCTCAATAGTAACACTGAGAATCCATATTTAATTTGGAATAATGGTACCAGGGCTGAGTTGCTAGAGTTCCTTGTATGTCAACAAGAAGGCATGGTGAAAAGGGTAGGTCTTTTGAAATTTTTCCTGAATTGGATAATGGTTCTGTTCTGAACTGACTTTCAGTCCATCTGACAATGTAAATAAATACCACCAAAGCTTCATGTATCGTGTCTGGGTACCAAAACATGTTTTTATACTGTTTTATTTATATAGTAGACTTATAATCAGTCCAAAGATCTCGGATAATACTCCCCAGTCAAGAGTTGAAGTTCAGTCTGAGGAAAAGACAAATAATGATCTGGAGTCTTTCAATGGACTATGCCTCATTCTGTGGAAATTATTTAATGCCTTCAGTTCAAGGATAATTCAGAGTTTGAATTTGGCTCTCTGGGAACCTTTTCATTCCACATAAATCATTTGCTCCCTATTTAGCAAAGATCATCCTCTTGGCTTTTAAAGGGTTTTTCGTGTCTTGCTCCCTATGATTTACTTTTCACGAAGAATACTGCAAACAAGCTTGTCTCATGGCCATGGTAGATGAGTTCCTCAGTTTGTTGTGGTGGTTAACTGCTCCTTTTAATAGTTTATCATAAATTCAAGCACCGTCTTCGGCTAATTGCTTCATCAGTTGCTCTTCAGCACTTTATTTTTCTTTTCAAAGGGGGATTGTGATAAAAATTATGGTGCTGAATTTACCTTCAGTGAACATGCTAAAGAGCTTGCAGTTGGTGAGGTTTTCGTCAGAGTCTACAATGAGCAGCCAACATTCCCATTAGAGGTAAGATAATAAATTGCCTTAAGGAGATGGTGACTTTAGAAAATGCAGTATATTGCTACATGAATTAGCTTAAAGTGCTTCTTGGCATTAAGTTCTAAAGAAAATACTATTACTTGCTCATTTAATTCTATCCTAGATTCCAAAGGCTTTTGCAGCAAGCCTGCTGGACTACATAGGATCACAAGCTCAATATCTTCACACTCTGATGGCTATGACTCAGACTGGGAAAGTGGAATCTGATCAGCATGGAGACAGGTTAAGGCGGGCTGAAATGGCCTTAGAAGCCTTGCGTAATGTCATCAAGAACAACCCAGGTCAGTGTCCTGAATGGTGATTGGCAATATACAGTAAGTAGAAATCTTATTGAAGGGATTCTTATTCCAATATACTTAGATTGATATATTTAGTGAGGGAGTGGTCACCTCCCCGTTCCCTCTCCCCCTAGCTTGGTGTCAGACTCCGCCACTGTCAAGCGCTCCGGGACCTACCCCGTGTTAAGGGTGCTATATAAATGCAAGTTGTTGTTGTACACAGAGAGGTACCATATGATAGGTGGAAGTTAGAAACAATTTTATTTGAGTACGAGAGAATATCTTTACCTTTAACTCCATAGAGATGTGGTAAGGCTGACAGTTCTGCACAAAGTGTTGGACAACTACCACTACAAGTTATTCTAATCAAATGATTTGTTTATGCCTGGAACAAAAGCATTGTTTATACCTGGAACAAAAACGTTGCTCTACTGCCAGGAAACTTGTGTTCTTTCTGCACACAAAAAGCATCACTTGTTAGTTGTTGAAACATGTTGCAAAATCTGTTGATCTATCTCAATTTCTCTCGTGTGTAGGTTCCTATGCATTTTCTGAGTCAACTTGTACGATGTTTGCTCTCCATCTTCAATCTTTTTCTAATACTTAATGAATTGTTTTCCTCACATTAATGTTCTCTTTGTGAAAAATCTCAATCAAAACCCTTCCAGAATCTTTATCCAATAGGTCCAAAATTTTAGTATACCCATTAGAAAGGCATCCCCAGGTGATTTATGGATCAGCCACCAAGATAGCTTGTGTGGTATCTTAATATTAAATTTTTCCAGTTTTTAATTTTGGCTAACATTAATTTTGTAGGTGCTGAGTCAGAATGCACTGGTCATTTCAAGTTGATTTTCTCTCTCTTACGAGTGCATGGAGCTGGCCAGGTTCAACAACTAGCACTAGAGGTAAGTTTTGTTGCACACTGATGTTTTCTGTACTCGATCTTTATTTTCAGGCTGTCCTCTTATTGCAGCTAAGTAAATAGACAGCATCACCCTAGGATGCTTCCAATGTTGTTCTGAACTGGCCTCACATAAGCTAAATATGAGCATTATAGGTGTTCACCAGGGATCATATCCGGATATTCTGGCCAAGTGCCTGAATGCCTGTTTAGAGCTGCCAAGTGCAGCGACCAAAGTGGAGGATGGAGCTTGCGTTATGCACTCTAAACACCAACCTGTGAATAGCACTTTAGCTGTGCAGGTCTTCAGCAGTTTAATAGTGAATCTGTTGCTGTCTCAACTTGAAGCATCATCTCAGCAGTTTGTGAAACTTGTTTGTATTCGTCTGCAAAAAGGGCTTCTGAATGTGTTGCTGTTGTATTGCAGGTGGTGAATATAGTGACTGCCAACCAAGAATGTGTAACTAACATTGCTGACTCAATGGTCCTTGCGAACCTTCTTATTCTGCTACATTCATTGCCAACCAGTAAGTACCTAATTTACAACAGATTTACTTTGTTCAAAAAGAATTGTATCAGTGCAGATTTACTTTTCACAAGCAAGTTAATTTGCTTTGGAAACCTACCATCACCTGTATTTAACTAAACAGCAGGTTCTTTTAGAAATGTTGGATGTTCTGTCTGTAATGGTAGGATGAGATACTCCTGATATTTTGGGTTTTAAATTTTTTATAAGCATTATTTTAGAAATCAATTTCATCCCTGACAAACTTGAAAGCATGTGGCTTACTGAAGCTCTTACTAATTTGACTTGGAGTCCTGTAGCTCAGTGGTTAGAGCACTTGCCTCGCAAGCGAGAGACCTGGGTTCGATTCATGGCAGGGTGAAACCTTGGGCAAGTTTCGTTACTCCACGCACCTGATAATAATCCCTCAAGAAAAAAAACAATAATAAATTGGTCACCTAATCCACGACTGTTTGTGGGCCACTGCTGTGCGCAATTGGCTGCCACGTTTTGCCCACAAATATACAGTCAGTTCACTTTACAGTATATTTTGTGAAGTGCTTTGAGACGTCTAGATGTGAAAAAGTGCTATATCAAATGCAAGGATTATTATTTTATTATTAAAGTTGCTAAATGTAAGGATGATTATCTGGCAATTTAGGGCCGACTTACTGAATATTTTTCAATTATTGGAATTTGAGAAAAGTAATGGTTTGTGCCATTGGTCTAACCTTCACTGGTACCTGGCTCTCAAGTGAAAGGTAGAACAGTCTGTAGATAAGAATTGTTCCATTATATACTGACTTATGGCTTTTGGTGTTGAGCACTATCTAATGTGTGTTTTTGGAAGTATTTAGAATTTATTTTTAACTAAACCAGCTGTCCTGCTTGACATTCAGAGCTTTTAATCAGTCACCTGGTGGGGCCAGAAGCTCCTGCATTTGACCTTTTTTTTCCTCCACAATTCTGTCCATCCGACTGGAATATAGCATGACTTCTGTTTGATGCTCTCCATTCAAATGAGGTTAGATTCGAAATGGTAAATAACAGGATATTTTGTACATCAACATGTTTTTTTTTTTCTAGGTCGTCAACTTGTACTTGAAACACTTCATGCTTTGACATCAAATACAAAGATTATCAAAGAAGCCATGGGAAAAGGTAATGTTTGCTTTTCCAACTGCAAAATAAAAAATCACTTAATTGTGGAAAAGCTAACCAAAATCCAGTACAAGGCTTCAGTACTAACCCAAAGTGTAGTTCACTGTTAGAAGCAAAGCAGTCAAACAAGTTAAGCTGAGAAGTTGTGTTATAATAATGTATTTTGCAGGAGTTCAAAATATATGCGCATCAAAAGCTAGAGCTCACATCATGTCAGAAAATTGAATGATTGATGTTTGGATTACAATGAATTACAATTAGTCTTAATCTGAATTTTTCTGAGGATTTTGCATAACAAGATGAATCTAGAAGTAATAGTAAATCACATCTTTGGTACCAAATCTATTTGACAGCTTCCAGTTTCTCTTACAAAAGCAACATAATTTGCTTCTAGTCTTTTTAGGACTTGCAGTAAATTAAATGAACCATTTTTAAAAAGTGGTTTAAAAGCTGCGTTATTCCATTTTTATTTCCATTTCCCTGATATTGAGTTTACTTGAGGATTTTTTAAACTTCTGATGTTGTGCAGTTCTAACATATTTGATGGCACATATCATCGGTTGTGCAATGAGTTGTACCCTTGTGTAAATTCAGCTGCAATTTTGATTACAACGAAGAAAGGATACCAGTGCTGTGAAGTAGTTTGACTTGTTTGCTTCTGTTGCTGAGGCTGAATTGCCAGGCAACAATGGAAGTAAGGTGTTTCCCAGCACGGAACAAAAATTTGAAACCATGAATTGTTACAAATCTATTGCCATTCATTTAGATAAGCTTTGGTAGTTCTAAAATATCCTTAATTTGGGTGTTGTGTTCATTACAATTGAGACCATTATTTGGGAGTCACTGATATGCTGATCCAGTGTCTCTAAGTCTAGACTCTTTACTAGTGGGGATAAGCAGTATGTGAGGTTCATACCATCTATCAAATTAACATAGTTGCATACCCCTCAAATTGCTATTTTGTGTTTGTGTTGTACATGTTTGTTCGTTAAATGAACATCATAAGAATGCCATACTTGAGAATTCAACTGCTGTATTCTGCTTCTGCACAGGTGCTCTTATATATCTGCTGGACATGTTTTGTAACTCGACGAATCCCCAGGTTCGAGCACAGACTGCAGAATTGTTTGCCAAAATGATTACAGACAAACTTATTGGGCCAAAGGTATGTGATTCATAACAATATTTAATGAAATTGGATCAATCAGTGATAAACTACAAGGCACCATTTGACATTAGTTTAGCCAAAAGATCCTGATCTTCTGTCTCAGTGTAAGAAAAACATGCTGCAGGACTTTGGATACTCTCAGAATATTATCTCAATATCTACCTACAAAGAATGGAGTATGTGTGACAGATCACCCCACCCACAAGTAAATCCTATTGGTTATGGGTTGATGCCCCACTTCGGGCTTTGAGCTCATAGTCCAGGTTGACTCTCCAATTCGGTGCTTGGGGAGTACTGCGTTGTGGAAGATTTTGTGCTTTAGATGAGATGTTATACTCTGATCCCATATGCCAGTTAAAATCCCATTGCATTTTTGAAAAAAAAGAAGACAATGTTTTCCTCTGTTCTGGCCAACAAACAAACCTCCAAATAAAAATGAGTATTCACTGCATGGCTGTTTGTGGAACACTTGTGTGCAAATTAACTGTCAAGTTCACCTATAAACATACATTCACCACACCCCACAGTAAAATCCCATGCAGTGTTTTGAGACAGTTCAACAGTGTGATGAGGCTCTATATCAAATGCAAGAATTATGTGAAGATGCTGCATAAATTGATACTCGGGGACATTGAACGCCCTTGCTCTCTGCCCCACCCCCTCGCCTGGGAAAATTCAACGATTCTGGGGTTGTATTGGTACTATCAAACATGAAGGATTTCGAATTAGGTGAGAGGATTCTACTACATCCACTACTACTGCTTGAGCTAGTTTGAAGAGAGTACTTTAAATAGTTCCTGTATTGTAGCTAATTGGAATAAGAACAGATAAATGTGAGGTACTACATTATAAAATAAAGAATAAGTGGAAGTAAATAAATTAAAATATTAAATATAGCCTGAATTGTCTCAATAGAGTTGAGGTTTCTGAGGGTACAAATCCATGCATCACAAGGTAGGATCAGAAATCCATCAAGAAGGCAGATTGGATCCTGCGCTTTATAAATTAAATATCATTTTGGAAGATGAGTTCATTCAAAATGGAAGAAGCTCTCCATGACAGTTTTAAGTGCAAATCATTCAACTTGTATTTATTTATCACTGCAATGCAGTCAAATGCCTTTGTTACAGTTTCTTAATTTGTTTCAATAACAATTGCACTCTTAGGTAAGAATTATATTGACCAAGTTTCTACCTGGTGTCTTCATGGATGCCATGAGGGACAACCCTGAAGCATCTGTGCAGATATTTGAGGGCACCCATGAAAATCCAGAGCTGATCTGGAATGAAAACTCCAGGGAGAAAGTGTCTACAACTGTTCAAGATATGATGCTCAAGTAAGAAGGCTAACATATATTGGTTACCAAAACTCTTTACCTGATGCACTCTTATAGGAAAGTTTACACAATGTCATAAATCATGTAACTTAATTGATGCGCTCAATTTCAGGAAAGGCCATTCAATAACAGAATGGCCTCTTTCTGTCCCTATGTAACAAATTTCATGTTCAGATGTTTTTAAAGAATTATTGCAATGTATTGTGGAATGCTTGCACAAATAACAATAACATTTATTAAAAAAAAGTGTTAAAACTAAAATATTAGGAACCTATTTTATTTTAATGATGATGGCAGGCATTCTTACAAATTGAGGAATAACCAAATTTAATCGTCACGTATACATCCTACTGTAAGTTATGGTAATAAATTCATATGATTGCCTTAGGAACTACCTGTGTACTAGAGGAGTTTCTCAAACAAGTATGTAAACTGGGAGTTGTACATCTTACAACAACAACTTGCATTTCCATAGCACCCTCCACGCCAGCCGGTGTCTCAGAGCACTTAACAATGGCAGAGGCCGAGCCAGGGGGAGAGGGAGGGGGAAGGTGACTGTACACACAGTCGAAGAGGAAGGTCTTCAGGCGCGGAAGAAGGGGGCGAGCTGAAGGGGTTGAAGGTGGGAGTTCCAAAGTTTCAGGGTGTAGTGGCTGAAGGCACGGCCACCGATAATGGAGCAGAGGATTCGGGGGATATGGAGGAGGCTGGAATCAGTAGAGCAGATGCAGCGGGTACTGCTGTGGGGAGAGAGGAGGTTAGAGAGATTGGGGGTGCCAAGGAATGGAGGGATTTAAATATTAGAGTGAGGATCTTGAAGTGTGTAACAGGGAGCCAGTGGAGTTTGACAAGGACTGGTGTAATCGGGGTATGAAGTTTGGTGCGGGTGAGAATGCGGGCGGCGGAGTTTTGAATGAGCTGAATTTTGTGAATACCCCTAGGAGGGCTAGTAAGGAGTTTGTGCAAATTACATTTGAAGAACTTACATTAAGTCTAGTTGATGTCCTTTAATAAATCCTGGATTCATTCGGGAATATCTAAAGTTGAACTTTCCTTTTTTTAAAGCCACTTCAAGCAACAGCGTGATAATCCAGATGTGAATTGGAAGGTAAGACTAAAGACAAAAATAGTAAACTGATGGATATTTCTTGTGATAGAATTTGTAAATGTAAATAACAGTGATGAACTCCCCAATGTCTCACAAATAGGAATACAGTTATTGTGCCTAAGACTAATTTTGTTATTTTTTTGGTGGATTTGTGTTAAATTATGGAAATTAAAAATCATTGACTGGTAACCAAACTTCTTTTTGTGAAAATAATGCCATTATGCAATCAGAGGTGAATTTATTATAGCAAAGTTTTTTCGTTCTTTGTCTTTCATCTCGTTATCCAGAGAAAATTGATCTGATGGTGAAAATTGATTATAAATACTGGTCAACAGATTCCAAGATAACTGATGCATAAAATGTTTGTTTTAGCTGATTTGAAACTTGTATACAACAAGTTTCAAATATTTTGACCCCAAAATAGTCATTCCATTTTACAGTATATCCTGTGAAGCGCTTTGATGTCTTGACGATGCAATGAGGCAATATATCAAATGCAAGGATTATTATATTATTGCTTCATAATATAAGCAGTCATTAGATTTGTGATGGGTGGTGAAAGCTTTACCTTATCTATTGAAGTTTTTTTTAATGAGTGGGGTAAACAGATTATCCACTAAACACCATATAGACATAATCCTCTTACAAAAGCAGCTAAGGTTTCAAGCACCTGCCTGTAATAATTTCCTTCCATTTCATGGAGGATAGGATACATCAAAGTCGGGAGGATACATCAAAGTTCTTTACAGGATTTAACTGCAAAGCGTAGTGATTGTGTTTTGTAGGTGATTACTGCATATAAGAATTTGCGTCCTAAATGGAAGGGAGAATCTCTCTTTTCTATGTCCAGATTAAATGTTGAGATTAAAAACCCCAAACTGAATGCACACTGTAGGTTCCAATTGCCACTAGAGGGAGCAGAAAATCATTCTCTTTCAATCAGTAAGTGGAACAATATTGTCTTGCTTTTTTTCTTCTCCGCCCCCGCCCCACACTTGACGTATTTCCTTGATGATGACTAATGAGTAAATTGTTGGGGCTGATTTAATGACCTTTGCTCAAATGTCTCTGAACAATGTAGTGAAATAGAGCATTGAACAATGTAGTTTGAAGCCAAGCCAGGGGGAAAGGGAAGGTGAGAGGAAAGTCTTCAGGTGAGATCTGAAGATGGGTAAAGAGGGAGCAAGGTGGAGGGATTGAGGCAGAAATTTACAGAGGTCTGGAATAAAAGTGATTAAGCCACACTCTGCCTGTTTGGGTGGACAAAGATCACTTGATACTATTTGAAAAGCGAAGGGAATTTCTCCAGGAGTCCTGGCCATCGATCCAAGATTAATCGGTCATTCAACTCATGGCTGTCTTTGCAACATTACTGTGCAAAAATTGCTGTCATGCTTTCATTTGATTTAGCCTTCAAGCACTTCAAGTAGATTAAATGTATTTTTGGGTAATATATTGATACCAAAATGCATGATTTTTTTCTTCAGTTACCTGAGGACTTTGCTGTAGTGTTTGGTGAAGTTGGAGGAGAACTCTCTGTTGGAGGGGTCTTCTTGAGGATCTTTATTGTACAACCTGGTTGGGTTCTTCGAAAACCTCGTGAATTTCTCGTTGCATTGATGGAGAAACTTACAGAGCTGCTGGAAGCGAATAATCCACATGTAAGTGCTTCAGTGGAAATATGGCCATCAGAAAAATGTCAGTTGATTAAAATGTGTGAGTAATAACCACAGCATTAATTGCATGGGCTGTTTGTGAAATTGGAGAATCACGTTGACCCAAAGAGAATGTTCCAATCTACAGGTTAAACATATGAATCAATGCAGAAATGAAAGACTAATTGCATATTTTCTTCTCTTCTCTCTTCCCCTTCCCTTCAAAGGGTGAAACCTTAGAAACCGTTACCACAGCAACAGTCTGCCTCTTTTATTCCCAGCCTCAGCTAGCAGACCAAATACCTCCATTAGGCCACCTTCCTAAAATTATTCAAGCTCTCAACCATAAAAACACTGCCATCCCCAAGTCATCGATCCGGGTGATCCATTCTCTCGCTGACAATGAGGTAAAATTTTGCTGTGTTACAATGTTGCACATTTTATTCTGAATTTAGAGCTTTACCTGGACCTTTAAAAGTTGGATCCACTGTTGCAGAATGATGTTGAACAGCATAGTTGCTCCTGAACCTTCGATAAATCGTTTGTTCCATGAGAATACTTGACTTGACTTAAGGGTTTAAAACTTTCAGTGGTGAATTCACTCAAAGTTCAGTAATCCTTTTTAAAGACATGCACCATCATGATGTCCAGAACAGTCCCTTTGCTGCTTTAAATTAACTGAAAACTTGCTTTATGTTATAACATTTTGTCCAGTCTGAGATTTAATTTACTAACCACTGCAGCCTTTGTTTCCCTCTGGAAGAGAGCACCAGCTGGTGAGTTTAGAATACTCCTGCAAGATCAGCCTTTATGTTAAACTCTCTGCACTATTGTTGAATCTTTAAACTCTCCATAAATTATGTATTCTTTGAGTTAGTTTCTTCACATGGCCTTAACTTCTGCAGCTTGTCTGGCCTGAGCTTTCAAGTGTTGATTCAGTCAGATGCAAGCTGTTACACTTGCAGGAGCGAGCCACTGGGTCATTTTAAGTGCAAGTAGACGCATTGGTCTATTGAAATGGTGATGATTTAACTTGAATTCTTCCTTTTTAAGTTGTGTGTTCGAGCTATGGCAGCACTAGAAACTATTGGACCTCTAATGAATGGAATGAAAATACGCTCGGATATGGTCGGCCTCGCCTCTGAAGCACTAAATCGAATGTTTCAGAAAGAACAAACTGAATTAGTGGCACAGGTGGGTATGGTTGGAATCTGAGATCCTAGCAATTGAATTGTCTTCCAAAAATGCTAGGTAGCCACAGTATATAAATACTGATCAAGATCAGATTGGTTATAGATTAATTTTTGTTTCACTTAATCATGTCTCTTTTGCGAATCTAGTATTTGCTGAGCAGTTTTCAAATCCTGCAGCAAATTGCATACTTTTGTTTCACTTTCTCTCCTTTCCCTGATGGGCATTGGCTTGCATGAGTGTTGACTATCCTTTGGTACCTTGGGTAATTAGCATGTGCATATTTCCTATTTGACCATGAGAGAAGGGTTTGCTTAACTCAATTGAGCCCACTGCTGTGATTCCCCAATGATGTGCTTGATCACAACAGTCGGTAGAACAATGAAAACAGCTGAGATGAACTCAATAACTGAGATCTGAAACTGGGACCTTCCTAGTCTGGGTGGCTCAAAGCAATCTCATTTGGGGGATTTAGGATACATTTTGTTGAGCCAATTTGTACATTTAAACTCCCATCATTTTCATGTTACTTTATCTTCCTTTTATTAAAAAAAAACACTTATCCATTTGGACTGTCTTGTTGAGAATCTTTTTTGCAACACAGGGATTGAAAGCTGAGTTGGTTCCATACTTATTGAGGCTACTGGAAGGAATTGGTCTAGAGAGCCTTGAAAACCCAGCAGCCACAAAAGCTCAGATAGTAAATGCACTTAAATCAATGACACGGAGTCTGCAGTTTGGCGAACAGGTAAGTTTGTAAAAACATATTTACTTGAATCCAAATGTTGTAAACCCTTCAATCTTAATTAGCTCAAGTTCATTTTTTCCATTCATTTTCTTGGTTTGATAAAATAATCTGGGGAGTGTAGTAAAAGGAAAGTGATGTGGGCTGAAAGCTTTATTAAGGTTTTCTGATTGTCCAAATGTCTTGCTTTGCTCAATGGTACTTGAAGAGAAAACATCTAACCTATTTCTACAGATTTGTTCCAGATCATTTGGTTCTCATCACTTTCAGTTTCTGATGTGATTATTGATTCCCTAGTGTAGTTCCTGTAGCTTGCTCTCCCTTTGGGGTTCTGTGTGAGTGACTGCATCTTTCTCAGCCTTGCCATGATTTATTCAGGGGATTGAGTTGCTGAGCTCAGAAATGCCTTGCCCTCAACCTCTGACTGGGATCAGGAAAAGGCTGGTTCTAATCTTGAGTGTGATCCATCCCCAAAGTGGGAATGGAAAAACCAGAATAAGGGCTATCTTGATTCTTGGTCACTAGGCTCAAACAGGGCTTGCCCAATTGGAGAAGCGATCCAGAGGATTGACTTGCTCATGAAGTCGTGATGTAAGGTATTGGGTCTGCACTAATGTAGACAGCTTGGGACCCGGTTTGGGAGTTTCCTGGGGGGCAACTTGTGTTTTTGTAAACCAGGATATGGTTTAATTGGGTTGGGTGGAATAGCTGGCAGTGAGGACAAATACTACTTTTCTTAAAGATCCAATATTTTGTAATAATGTATGTTTTGTAATAATGTAATTTTTTTAAAGCCTACTAACAAGGTGAGAATTGGTTTTGAGCTCCTGCTATTTTTATCTTAGGTGAATGAAATCCTGTCTCGTTCTTCTGTCTGGAGTGCCTTCAAAGACCAGAAGCACGATTTGTTCATTTCTGAGTCACAAACAGCAGGATATCTTACAGGTTAGTAATGTGTCTGCTTGTATTGCATTTAAAGCAGATGCAGACAATTTTATTCTGTAAAATGATTATCAAGTTGCCAATCAACTTTTTTTCTCCCCCACCCTTCCTTTCCTTACACCCCTCTGTTCATCCCTAAAATTCTATACTAATATTGTTTTCTTGGCTACCTGGGAACACCCCTCTCTTATATGTTCCTCTCCCTGAAACAATCTTACAACTTAGAACCATAGAAATGTATAGCACAGATGCAGGCCATTTGGCCCATTGTGCATTTCATTTCCCTGTTATTTTAGTAAATTAGTATTACATTTATTTAGTCCATATTTCTCCAATGTATTTAGAACCTTTATCCACTTGACCTCATGGAAACCAGGTTATCTTCTGGGTTAAAAGAAGAAAAAGAGCCACTCAGATGTCAGTGGCAATTTGTTGGAGCACATGTTTAATTAATGTGAACCAACTGTTTTGTAACTCTACCTTTGAGACCCAGAAGCTAAATCCAACAATTGAATGAAAACGTCATTGTTTTCTAAGAGGAAAAATGTGTTTTAAATCTCTAAAATACTTGGTGCATCCTTGATTTAGCATTGACAATGACCTTGAATTTATTTACCAATTCATAGGAAATTTGAGAGGTGTATATACTAATGCAAGCTTTTTCCCTCTTACCAAAGAGTGAAATCTATTGCTTTCTCTCTATGCTTTCCCCTGTCATCTTCTGTATCTTTTCTCTTCCCTCCAGGTGTCTCACCTTCCCTTCTTACTGGTACTAGCCCCCTTCACCTCAGAAGTGGCCTTTAGGGCTTCTATTCCAGCACTATGCTCATTTCTCATTAGGTCTGACAAAGGTAGATTATATTCTTGCTAAATTTGTTTTGTGAGGCTTGTAAAGTTAAATATGTGGTTCTTTCACAATATTTATGCAGTTTTATTTTCATTCATATCTTTTGTACTGTGAATACATTACATGTTAATAGTGACCAAGTTTCTGTTAACACAAACGCTCAATGTTTCATTTTAAAATCAATTAATATTCTCAAGATTCTTTACACTATGTGACTGATTTGTTTCCTTATCAAGCTTAATACTTTGCTGTGTATGACTGGTGACATTTACTGATGCTGCACACCTTTTCCCCCAAATTATTGCTTGTTTTATGTTTGTCCTCAACAAAGCACTGTAACCTTTTAAAACCGGATGCACTATTCAAGTGTACCCAAATGTGGTAGAATACTGTTTCTTCTTCTGCCCCCACCCACCCCAAGTTGAATCCTTTGATACACATGACATATTTGGGGTCATCTGGATCACTTTCAAGTACTGGTATATAGAGAAAAATAAACTTATCTGCATATGTTATACAAAGCACATTTCACTAATGCTGACAGCTCAATGTGTTGTGGATGTATAGCATGTGAATTCAACACTAGACTTCCAGATAGTGCACTCCCAGTCTCGGGGATGCTATTTGGGAGCGTTGAATCCCCAAAGCAGGGATTAGTTGTGGGCTTATCTGCTTCATTGAATACATCCCTGTCACTGATGGGGTAAGTGGTTTGGTAGAGCCTAGGGGTTGGTTATCTGCCTTCTCATCTGAGAATAGTGGGTTATATGTATTACAAATATCAAAGGTTTCTAGGAATACATTTGGGGGCACTATGGACCATTCTTGTTTTACTAAGACCCTCTAACTGTAGGGTTGGAATGGAATCAATATGAAAAGGTAGATGTAAGAGGAATGGATCAAGCATCAATAAATAATTATAACCACAAATATATAAATGTAGATTTTGTTGCTGGTTTGAATCTTTACATTTTTCAGTGGAATAATTTTTAAATTGCCAGTTTTGCAGCTGAATATTCAGTTTACTCTGCATATAGTAGAAGTGCTGCAGTACAGTCCGAATTCTACTGAAAATTTACTTTGATTATTTGCATCACTTTATGCAGGCCCTGGAATCGCTGGTTATCTAACTGCAGGGACAATGACAACGGTATTACCAAGTGGGCCACCCCCTGTAGACAATGAAGTGGTTGACTTGGCCAGATGAAAGATGATCTACACTCCATGCCTTCAAGATTGAACTGTCATATCTATGGACTATTCTTGTTTTACTAAGACCCTCTAACTGTTGGGTTGGAATGGAATCAATATGAAAATGAGCTGTCCCATGTCTCCTTTGTGTTGCATTGTAAGTGTAACAGCTCTGTCTATAATTTTTATTTGTAAAGTGATCATTTTACCAGTGATCCAACATGTTCAGCATTTAACAATGGTAGCACTGTATGGATCAAAGCAGAGACAGAGTATGCAAGGTTTTTTCTTGTAACTGAAGTATTTTTGTTCCTTTGTAGCTGTATTAAGACTGTGAATCTCAATACTGGATTTTTTCTTAATTTTATAATTGGTGTTTTACGGTTCTCTGTAAGATAGCAGAGAAGTGAAATTGGTATCTGACGCCCAAATGTGAAACACTTGACTGCCATCTTAAGGGCATGGTAGAATGAAATATTTTCTGAAAAGCAACATTGGCATCAACTAAATGTGTTTCCTAAATCAGGCCTTGGACCTCTCTAATTCTGCTATTTGTTAATCTTCAAAATGAGTCAGCTTATTACAACCATAAACCATTTGTATGTATAATTGCCTTCTATTACTGATGCAAAAAGAGCTTCTGGAAAATGTAACATGGATGTTCACATACTATAAATACCTATTGTCATTGTGACCTGTTCTATACAATACCCATGTGTAAACTTTCTATATTTGAATGTACATTAGTAAATCAGTCCTCCTTGTACATAAAATTTTAAGAATAAAGTACAAAGGGAATTAGCATCCTTAATTATACAGTATTGTAGCAAGTGTGTGATAATTCTACAGAATATGCCTTTGGCATTATAACTTGCTGCTATGTTGCAATTTGATGTTTGAAGCTGATGATAGAATTTCTGAAACAATTGGCATAAAATAGAAATGTTCTTTGCAATTGCGTTTAAAAACTACGTCTAACTTTAGGAATAAAACCGATTTGGTTACTGCTAAATCCAACTGGTAGGTTATTCATTTATTATCCACCTCTAGTAGGCGTGAGTACAGTTAGCTGTTTAGCAATGGGAAGGGGGAAACTAACTGCTCACTCCTTAAATATGTTTCATTGCATGACTTATGATTAGGCTTTACATATTCTCAGTAGATTACACTGATGTAGTCACTGAGGTTTTATCCTCCTATTTACATTGAATGCACTCAGTAAGGGAAACCTTTCTTCAATCAGTATATAATAATAATAATCCTTGCATTTGATATAGTGCTTTTCACGTCAGGAGGACGTCCCAAAGTGCTTCACAAAGCAAAATGATGTTTGAATGCCTTTGAAACACTCATTTTGCCTTCGTTATGTGAAAGCTTAGACTTCTCCAATGCACTCATTGCTGTCTCCCTATCTCCACCATTCACAAGCTGTTAATCATTCAACACTCCACCACCTGCATCAAGCTCTGTGCACCCAATACCCCTGTCCTCAACCGATTCCACTGCTCCCTTTCTCCCATCAGATCGATTTAACCTACAATGCATCAACTCCCTGGTATTTCCTCCTCTCTGATCTTCAGTACTCCTCCAGTCAGTTAACTCCTGCTTGCTGTTCGTCCTCATCCTCTCCTCGCCAACATTAGCCCCCAAAACGTCAGTTCCTACACTGCTGACCTCTGGATCTCCCACTACCAATCCTCAGCCCCTCTCTTTGTCTAAGTCCCACTTCAAATCCTACCTTCAAACACATTTATCGCCCCTCCCCCTTTCTGGGCATCCAACCCTAACCTTGTCAAGACCTCAGATGTTGCCCTATGTGAAGGTTCCTGCATAAATGCAAGTTGTTGATGTTAGGATTCTGAGATAATTGTGATATTTTACCTTTTTTAAAATCATCATTCCAAGTGCTTCAAAACTGCATCAGCTGTTCAAAGGGTTTTCACCATATGTTTCTAAGATGTCTCAGCAGGCTTGATGCCACAGAGATAATTAATTTGAAGACGAGCTTAGAAAACATTGGATTCAAATGGAATCTGCTCTGGCTACAGGTATTATAAACTAGTGGAGTTTGCTGGATTCTATGTAGAATTCATTGCTCTTTACCCTTTTTAATTAGATAGAGGAGTAGTATTGCAAGTTAATAAAACTCACTGAAGAACCCAAGTGCTTTGGCCAGGTGAGTAATTTTTTAAAGCAATTAAAATGTTTATTCATTTTAACAGTGGATAGCTTAACATGTTGCTGACATCCTTTAAACAGTATTTTCATTCACAACTGGTGAGGGCTGTCCTGGTGACTTGGGAATTTTACAGCCATAGAAAAAAGAACCAGCGCAACTTTGGTTTCTACTCTTCCAAAGATCCCCTACAAAATGATTTGGGAGCTGATTTGGAGAAACTCTATATTAGAATGTCAGCTAAGGCTAAATTACAATTCCTGATGTAGAAGCTTGAACCCCAACATTGACTGTGGAAAGAGTGTTACTAATCTTGGGCTGCAGGGTGTGCACAAGCTTAATTGTGCATCAGCCTTTTTCCTCAACACTAGGATTCTGAACTACTGTGTTCAATTATTTTGCTACTTTGGCCATTGAATACTTTCATGGTATCAGGCTGACAGTCGACCAATACACTCAACAACAAAATGACATTTGTATAGCACCTTTCACGTCAGGAGGATATCCCAAGGTGCTGAACAGAGTGTTTCAGAACCGAGTTAGGGTTGGCGAGGATGGAGGGCGGGGGGGAAGCAAGGTGATCAAAAGCACAGTCAAAGAGGAGAGTCTTGAGATGGGTCTTGGAGGGGGCGAGGCGGAAGGATGGAGGGATGGAGTTCCAGAGGGTGGGGGCTATGTGTGGAAAATTACTGTGCATAAGTTGGTTGCCGTGTTTGCCTACAAATGTCAATGTACAAT